AAATACTTTTTATTTATTTTAAGTAAAAATTATAAGAAATATAAAGGTTTTTTTTAAGCTTATATATAATACTTAAAAAATTAACTTATAATTATTAAACTTATTTCTTAATATATATATATTAAAGAATTTTAATAATTATTATATTTAATAATCTTTTTATTAAAAAGATAAGCTAAAAGTAGCTTATAATATTTAATTTTTAAAGAAAGAAAATAATAGCTAAAATTAACTTTAAAATATAATAATACTTAAAAAAAAGAATAATATAAGAAAATCCTTCTTATTTTATAATTAAAGAAGTATTATTTTATTAATTACTTTAAGCTTAATAAATTTAAAAACCCTTAAAATTTAAAGGTTAAAAGGGCTTTTATAAGCTTATTTATTATTATTTTATTAATCTTTAAGTATTTAATTTTAAAGGTTTCTTTTTAAATCTTATTTTTTAAATAATAAAATTTTAAAAGAATATACTTAATTTAATTATAATATAAGGAATTTTTAATAATAAAAATAATGCTTAAATTATTTTTATAAAAAGTAATAAGCATTTAAATAAACTTATTTTACTTTTTATAAAGCTTATAAAGTTATTAAACCTTTTAAATAACTTTTATAAGCCTTATAAACTTAGCTTTTAATATAAATAATATTATAATATAAATATTTTTAAACTTTTAAAAAATAAGTTTTTTAATTAAAATAAAAATATACTTATAAATTAATTTAAAAATAACTTTATATTTTATAAAGTTATTATTTAAATAGCTTATAAAAATTAATTTTCTTTTAAAATACTTAATATTTAATAATTTATAATTATTTAAATATTTAAAAACCCCTTAAATAATTATTAAGTATTCTTTTTTAAATATTTAAAAGTACTTAATTAATTATTATATTAAAAAATTTATATTAAGCTTAATTTAAATAATTAAATAAATAATAATATTTATTATAACTTAAAATAACTTATATTAAGTTTTATTTAATAAAGATTTATTAAAAAGTTTAATAAGCTAATTTAATTATAAGAAAATTAAAATAAGCTTAAAATCCTTTAAATTAAAAGTTTTAATAACTTCTTTAATATATTTATTTTAAGATAATTATAAAAATTATTTTTTTTAATTTTAAGTTATTTAAATCCTTAAAAGAAAAAAGCTAATCCTTAATCTTTTATAATATATACTTTATTAATATATTACTTTAAAGCTTAAATCTTTTAAATTTTAAGCCTTATAATAAAATAATTATTTATATAAGTAATAATAAATAAGTTAAAAGCTTTATTATAAAAAATTATTAAATTTAAGAAAAAAAGCTTAAAATTTAAATTTTTAAATAATTAAATTATCATTTATTATTATTTTCTTAAAAATTATTTTAAGCTATATAATACCTTATTTAAATAAATAATTTACTTTTTAAAAGAATTATAATTAAATTTAGTTAATAAGTTTAAAATAAATTTATTTACTTATTTAATAAAAATATTAAAATTATTTAAAAATACTTAAAAAACTTTTTCCTTTAATATATTATTTAAAAAGGCTTTTATAAAATTAATTTATTTAATTTCTTAATTATAAATTATTATTAAAAATAATTTAAATTAATTTTTAATAATCTTTAAATTTTTATAAAAAGCCTTTTAATAATTATAAAAATAATTATATTTAATTTTAAGGCTTAATTATATATTTATAAAGTATTAAGCTTAATGCTTATTAATATATTTAATATTATATAATATTAATAAGAGATTAATTATGTTTTTTATATTAAATAATTATAAGAAAAATCCTTAAAAATTTTAATTAATAATATATTAAATAAGTATTTACTTTTTAATTTAATTAAGTTTATATTAATTAATATATATATTTTTATAAGATTATTATTAATTTATTTTATAATATAATATAATTTTAAAAATATAAAAGATATTAATAGCTTAAGTTATAAATATAAGTTTTATATTTTTTTTAAAAGTTTTTAATTACTTATATAATTAAAAGGATATTATTTTCTTAAAATATTTTAATAATTATTAATTTTAAATATATTAAATATTTAAATAAGTAAATTAAAGTAAAATTAATATAAAAAATTAAAATATAATTTATATTAAAATAAAACACCTTTATTAAATATTAATTATTTTAAATTTAAATATAATTATATTAAGTTCTTTAAATTAATTAAATTAATTTAAAATAAGTAATTAAATATAATTAATATTAATTAATATTAAACTTTATTAAATTAATTATATTAAATAAATATTAAGATAAATAAATATTAAATAAAGTTAAAAGAATTTATTACTTAATAATATTTATTATTTAATAATAAATTTATATATATATATATATATTATATAATAAAAGTTATTTTAAAAAGATATTATTTAAATTTCTTATTATTAAATATATATTTGTTTTATTATTAAAGATATATATATATACTTTTTATTATAAAAAAATATAAATATATATATTATAAAAGTTATATAATTTTATTTAATTATATATAAAAATATAAAAGAAAGAAATAAGGTATTAAATCTTTTATTAATTAAGAAGGATTTTAAAAACTTATTTATTATTAAAGAAAATAATAATTATTATTTAAATAATTATATCTTAAGAATATTTATTTATTTATTTATTTATTTATTTATTTATTTATTTATTTATTTATTTATTTATTTATTTATTTATTTATTTATTTATTTATTTATTTATTTATTTATTTATTTATTTCTTTTTTTCTACCTTTCTTATTTCTTATTTCTTATCTTATCTCTTATCTCTTATCTCTTATCTTTTATCTTTTATCTCTTATCTATTATTTCTTATCTCTTATTTCTTATCTCTTATTTCTTATCTCTTATTTCTTATTTTTTATTGCTTATCTCTTATCTCTTATCTCTTATTTTTTATCCCTTAAATTTTATTTCTTATTATAGCTTACCCTGTATATAGGGTAAAAATTAATTAATTAAAAGAATTAAATTTAAAGATCTAAGCACCCCTTTCGTGAAGAAGAACCTTGGCTTGAAAAGGCGATGTCGCGGGTGAGCCTTGGGGGTAATTGTGCGCCACTAGTAGTTGGGGGGCTATGTAATGGGCTTGGGCTGGAAGCCCAAGCCTTATAGTGGCTGGCTAGGTAATCCAAGGGAGCTTGGATTATTACGTACCTTTTGGCTTAATTGGTTGCTGCTTTTGCAGCTTATGGGAGAAGGCGCTAGCCAGCCTGGAGCCCCTTTGGGGCCAGCCCATAACAGCAATTAATATTATTATATAAAGAAAAATTTAGAGAATATTCTTATATATTTAATTTCCTATAAGAGAGAATTAATATTTTTTAATAGGAGATGGGTTTGGAGCTTATCCCTTGGACGGGATATAAAACCATTTTAAAAGAATGGCATATTAAATGCACTTATATTTATAATAATAGCAATTAATGCAGAATATGCTGTAATTTCTAAGGATATAAATAAGCGGCTTATTAATTTTATAAAAAGTTATAATGCATAATTTATAAAGAAAGGGTAGCTGCTTAATAGGCTATTAATCCTTATTATTAAAATTGCTAAGCACTTAATATAATTTTATAGCGTAATATCCCTATACTTAATTAACAATTATAATAAACTTATACTAAAAAAAAGATAAGGTAACCTTAAGAATTATATCGCTAGAATAATAGGGCAGCTTATTATTATCATTATTATTAATAGCGGCTATATTAAAGCCGCCATATTAATTATTAAAGCTTATAATAAAAGCTATTTCTTATTCTTCTTTTTATATAATAAGAAGAAAGTAGGTATTAAGGAGGATATTAAGGAATTAAAAGGGTATTAATAAGCTAAGGAAAGGGTGCTTAATAAGTATAATATAAATAAAGGAAAGTATATTAAGAAATTATTAAAGGATTAAGAGAATATTAATATATTAAGATAATAGCTTTTTAATAAAAAAGGGTAGCTATAAAAAGAGTATAATAAGCATAAGGAAGAATAGCTAAAAGATTAAATTATAAAAAGGCTAAAGAATTATATAAGTATTAATTATATTAAGGAAGGCTTTTTAGCTAAGGGTAAAATGAAGTTAAAGGGTAATTAATATAAATAAGGAAATAATTATAAAGATAATAAAAAAGTTATATAAAGGCAATAAAATAATATATATAATAAGTGCATTATAGTAATAATATAATATTAAGAAAAAAAAATTATAAAAAAAAGTATAACTATAGAAAAGTTATTTTAAATAATAATAATAAATATAATGCAAGAGTAATAACTACAATAAGCAATATTAATATATTAATAAAAGCGCGTTATAGCTTAAGGCTAGCAATATATATAGCCTATGCATAATTATAACGTATTAATAAAGAACTATATATATAATAATAATATTATCATATCATAACAACCTATAACATATATAATATATACTTTATATTGCACCATACTAAGCATAATATATAGATATAGTTAATATAGGAATGGAATAAATAATCATTGTTTTTAAAGCAAATAAATATAGCTTTAAAATGAATATATAATAAGGATAAATATATAACCAGCATAAGATTGTAAAAGCCCTAAGTTTAATCCTTACTACGCATAATATAAAAATAGGAAAAAGGCTATATAATAAGCTTAAGCTATTGCCTAAGCTATAATGCATACCTATACCAAGCCCATACTATATCCAACCCTTTTACATAATAAAGCATATACTTAAAAAATAAATTTAAAGTTAAGCCCTTTTAAAGCTTAACTTACTTCTTAAATATTACAATTCATAACTCCTTTTAGGTACCTTCCAGCAAATGCTTAAGGCCAACCCATAATATATATTTAATAATATATAATATTAATATATTTATTATAAAGTTTATTTATAATTAATTTTTAATTTATTATAATATATATTTTACTTTATTTATATTATTTATAAAGTTATAAAAATATGAAAAATATAAAAGTCCTGAACACGGTGCTGTTCCCGTACGCCGGGGAGATCCACGAGGGCAAGCTAACCGTATTCAACCTGCAACTGCCCCTGGTCCCGCACCCGAGCCAGGTCGGCCGGATCCACGCCGTCGGCCCAGACGCCGTCACCGCCAAGCCCGGCGACCTGGTCTTCTTCTCGGCCCCCGTCTCCGCCCGGGACGACCCCGAAGTAAGCATTATCCAGGGCCACCACGGCGGCGAGGGCCCGCGCGGCCGCGCCCTCATGCAAGGGGAGTGGCGCGACGGCGCGCTGCAGCAGTACCAGAGGGTGCCCCTGGAGAACGTCCTTGTCCTGGACGAGGGGCGGCTGTGCGGGCGGCTCGGGTACACGCCCGCCGACCTCCACGAGATCTCCTTCTACGGCATGGCGGCCGGGTCGCTGTGCGAGGCTCCCGGGCCTGCGCGCCGGGGAGACGGTCGTCGTCGGCCCCGCCACGGGCACGTACGGGGGCATCACGTCGGACATGGCGCTGGCCTTGGGCGCGAACGCGATCGCGATGGGCCGCAACAAGGGTTTGCTCGAGGGCCTGGCGCGGAAGCTCGGGCATCACGAGCGCTTCAGCTACGTTGTCATGACTGGCGATGACGCTGCTGACGCGGCATCGATCCTGAAGGCCAGTCCTAAGGGGCGCGGTGTCGAGGTGTATAATGATTGGGCACCGTCGGCTGTGGATGGCTCGCCGTTCTTCTCGGCTGCTATCCAGACCGTACGGCCTGAGGGGAGGGTGGTCCTGAGCGGTGCGCCGTCCGGGCATATCAAGGTCCCCAACACCCTCATTATGCACAAGAATATTCGAATCATTGGCAAGGTCATAGTCGGAAGGAGGGGTATCGAACAGACTATTCAGATGGTCGAGTCAGGCCTGCTCAAGTTAGGTAAGCGAGGAGGCTCGACACACGATATTTATGCCTTGGAAGACCACCACGAAGCATTTGTAAAGGCCAAGAGCTGCGGCTTTCGTGTCTACACGGACATTGCCCCCAATCCATGGTAGCTCAGGCTTGTATGACACTATCCATAACCAAGTCGGAAAATTGGTGTTTGCGTAATTATAAAATATCAATGTTTGTAACGCTGAGTATCAGACTCAATGAGGGCTAGCGAAACATGTCGTGTACCTGGAGTGCGTTTTTCATCTGCTGCTTCTACAGGTCTCTAGATGATAGACTTCAAAATCAAATGAGAATGAAAATGAGGAGCACTTAAGTGCCACGTGAAGTGAAACTCGGCTTTCTTTGCTGGAAACAAAATCTGGAATAGATCCAAGAATGGGTAACAAAATGCGTAATAATGAGCATGACTAAATTCACCTCCCATGATGCTTAACAATAAACTCCGAACAAAATGATCCTACCCGCTCTATTCAATCCTTGCTGCTTCAGCACACTCTTTCTTGATCAAGGCAGCGTGAGCTGGGCTGCGGACTTTGACATCGACCTCATACGGTTTCTCAACCCCAAGTTCAAAAGGCTTTCCAACAGGGATGGGATGTCCTGGGACTGTGTGGAAATCAAAACAGTACAACAAACGGGCTACCAAAAGGTTCAGACTATTACTTGCGATGACCCATCCGGGACAAATACGGCGACCTAGGTCGACAGAACCGGCTTAGCGACATGTCACTTGCATAGACTAGGTCTTGAGGGCCTTTGAACATACCTGCCCCAAAATACCACGTGCCCCTTGATTGCCTTGTCCAGATCATCATTGAGGAAACGCTCCGGCCGGAAGGCGTCTGGCTCATCGTACTCCGACGAACTCATGTGCACACCCCAGCTGTTCCAAACAACATTCGTGCCGGCTGGGATGGTGTGTCCTTCGAACTTGTCGTCTTGTGTTGACGAGTGGGCAATTTCAGGGAGCGAGACGCTGGATGATTTAGTCGGCTCATGTTAGGAAGATCATCGGTGCTGTGACAGCGTGTCACGGATGGCCGGGAGATAATAGCTTACTTCCATCGGAGTGCCTCCTTAGCAAGCTGCTTTGATGTATGGCAGATTGACCAGGTCGCTCGCCATTGGCAGTCTCTCAGGATTGGCGCCGCATACATGGTCTAATTCCTTGCGTGCGCGCTCCACGGCTTCGGGAAACAGCGCCGTTGCTGCCACAAGCTGATTCAGGACGACCCGTGTGGTATCTGATCCAGATTTGACCAAAGAACCGGCGAGAAATCTCATGGAGTCGTAGTCAATAAGCTTGTCTCTGCCGAGCCTCTTGAACTCCGTCATGAAGCATGTCACAGCCCTGCTTTGGCGCTCCCGCTCTACTAGGCCCTCAAACTCTTCAGAGAAGTTTCTGCCAGTCTGTTAGAGCGATTAAAACGATAAAAACGAGTGTCTTTTGCATAACCCTAGTACTCACTTCAGAGATGCCCTGTACACGCTGTCCCCCCACCCTCCACGGCTGGATGGACTTGGGGAGGGGGATGTATGCCAGGAATGGCAACGAATCGATCCAGCTGGAACCAGGCTCGAACATCTTCATGATCTCATTGTTGGTCTCAATGATCCTGTCGACGTTTGCATCGCCTAGCTTGGTCCTCCGCCCGTACACCAGGTTCATGATGAGCGAGCTGGCGTACCGAGCGTTGGCGTGGTTCCGCCTGTCCGGCTCGGTGAGGTACTGGTAGAGCAGCGCCCTGGACTCGGTGTCCTGCAGGGGGGCGAAGACGTCGCGGTTTCCCGGCCCGATGATATCGTGCATCACTTTCCGCTCCCATTTCCACAGGTCGCCGTAGGGCATGAAGACGACGCGCTTCCCGCCCGAGGCGACGTCTCCTGGCATCGGGAGCTTCTCTCTGGAGATGTATTTTGCCCCGCGTTTGTCTAATATTTCGTTGGTGACTCGTTGCGAGTTCATGAACACCCAGTAGTTCGAGCCCATTTTCAGCGTATACCTGTGCGTAGAAAGATTATTAGCATTGGCCTTTTCTGCGGGTTTGGAAATGCTGAGAGGTTCGCTGTTCATACATTTCGCCGTGTTTCTGAGCGAGCTTGTGAAGATAGAGACGCCGTCCCGCGATGTCCTTGGGGATGTCTAAAAGGTTTCCCAGTACAGGTACTCCTGGGACCAGATTGGGGAAGTTGTACTTTTTGTGGAAACGGAAAGAGTTCACTAGGTGCGCCAGCAGCCACAGCAAGAGCAGCGTGCTGGCAACCGGCAACGCGAGGGAGTGTGTGTCGAACATTCTAGAAGGTAAAGATGGATGCGTGTTCTTCCCAATTGCAGACAGCGGACATTGACGAGGTCTCAGGAGAAGAGGCAAGGCTGTCTGAATCTGTGCTAGACAGTCATTACGGCTTCCCTGGACATGGCTTCGGTAATAAGTTGAAACGTTTCATTATTCTTGATTCGCTGAATCATAACGGCAGTTCTTTCGTCTCAGAAAGCTGCACCCTCTGTTGGCCATGATGTGTCATCTGCCGACCGAACCTAAACCCACCGAACCAAGGAATTTCCAAGGATGTGTTGGACGTTTGGTTTACCCACCGACCATTAGCCACCCAGATGCGTCAGGCCTCTTCCCCACCTAGGGACCCCATCATCCACCCGGCCAGGGATGGTAGCCGTCTACTCCAAGCAACTGTCACCGTCCTGGAGGATTGTAGTGCTAAGACCTGTGAGGGAGTTATAGGTGCCTTCTCTAATAGCTAAGCCGCTGGAGAAACAAGCACCTGGAACCAGCCACATTAATAGGCCTATTAAAGGCAACAAAATAGATGGAAGCCATGCTCACTTAACATTCGTAATGGCATCAGCGGTGAGCATAATTTCTGCAGAAAGCGAGGGAACGAGGAGAGTGAGCACAAAATAGAGAATGATGGCGATCTTCACCGCTTTCATGGGGATAGCGGGTTGCCTATTCGTGCCAGAGACGTATGGTCCTGTCATTCTTCCAAGACGAGCGAAGGCCCTCTCTGTTCATACTGGGAAGGTGTTTATAAGCAAAGTGGATAACTCGAAACCTCTACAATCACTGGCGTCTCGGGTCCAAATGGCTATATCGCGCCCTTGGGTCATGCTGGTTTCTGAACCGATAGTCACCATCCTCGCGATCTACAACTCTATTATTTATGGGACCACCTACATGATGTTTGCCGCCTTTCCAGTTGTCTTCCAGCAAGGCCGTGGATGGAGCCCAGGCGTTGGTGGACTAGCATTCATAGGGATCGCCATCGGCATGGCGGTTGCGAACCTGTCCATGATATGGATCAATCGGAAGTACACGACGGACTCGCGGAACTCTCCTGGTCACTCTTTGCAGCCGGAGATCAGACTGGTTCTCTGCTTTGCTGGATCGATCGCTATTCCGATCGGACTCTTCTGGTTTGCGTGCGCCAATTCCGCGACCGTCCCATGGGAAGTCTGCGCGGCAGCGACCATTCTGTTTGGCTTCGGAAACGTCTCAGTCTCAATCGGTCTCACCAATTACTTCGTCGATATTTACTCCATCTACGCTGCTTCCGCGCTAGCTGCCACGACAGTTCTGAGGTCTCTTTTCGGAGCAGCCTTCCCCCTGTTCACACCTGGCATGTATTCTAGACTTGGTATCCACTGGGCTTGAAGCATTCCCGCTTTCCTAGCATCAGCCCGTGTTCCTTTTCCATTCTTTTTGTCAAGGTATGGTCCATGGATTTCCCAGCGCTGTAAATTTTCAAGCGATGCTTGAAAGGAGGATGAGATAATGCGGGGACTGTAAAATTGTTGAAATGGCTTTCAACCATAGAAAGGGATGATGTTTATGATGTTCATTCAGTAAGCATTCTTGTCAGAGATTAGAAGGGTTCTGTAGAAATAGCAATACTGGATTCATATTTAAAATCTCACTGAAAGAGAAGAGGTTATTCATTCCATTACATGGAGGCTATGCTTACTGGTTAATTGACTCAACCACACCACGCCATGTTTGAGTTCCCAGTGCTTCTGACGAGTCAAATAGACCTATTTTTAATGCTGTTCATTCTAATACGGCTGGAGCCGACCCGCCTAGTTACCAAGTTAGCATCCCACAGGCAGGGTGGGGACCTACATTACTACAAGCTGGGACCCTGTAAGAGCAGATGTCCAGATCACTAGCGAACTAAAATAAACTGATCAACATGTACTGAGTCCAACCTCATGGGAACCAGATAACTCGTTATGCACTGCCCAGGCCAAGCGTTCTCACGACGATCTATATAAGCATGACACAGGCTGATTCATGCTTTCCCCTGTCACGCGTGCTACGTACAAGCTTCCCACAGGCTACATTACATGGAATAAATAGTTATCCAAACTATATATCTATGATTGTAGCTTCTGTACAATCTTTAGACAGTGAAAAAAAAGACACTTTCCCTCACTCTCACTTATACGAATAAACGAGTTTACTAAACCGAAAATGCAATACGCCATCCTCTTTACTCTCCTTGCTTTGGCATGTGGCGCTGTAGCGTAAGTCTTTTAGGAAGCAGGAGATCTATCCCCCAATCCTGAGCAAAGGAAGAGGTCAAGAAGTGGTACTGACAAGACGGATGGAACACATGCAGGCAGCCAACGAAGAACATCAAGAACCTCTACTGCGACATAGATGACCCAGTCTTCTTCTTGCAGACCCCGACAGCCGGGTTTTGCTCAGCAGCCGGCGGCAAGTCAGAGCCCCTCAACGGGGTAAGTACCTACCCACCACAGGCCGCACACCTTACCCAATACACACACTCCAGGCGCGGAAGAGGAGGAGGGCTGACCTAGACATCGCGTCTTTTTTTCGCAGTGTTGCCTGGATATTACCAAGGTGCCGGACTCGGCGGAGTTCTACGCGCAGGTCTGCAGCCGCAACAAGGGCAAAGTCTCGGAGGGGGATTCGTCCCGGTGTAAATGGGTGGGGGTGGCGTGAGGGAACGGAGAGAATCAAGATCACTTTGGGGACGAAGCGCGGTGGTTTCTTATAGACTTTGGTGACTTCTTTCAGGGCCAATACCTACTGGGGGGGGGGGGGGGGGGTTGGTGGTCATGCTGCAGAAGCATCGCAATGAAGTATCGCAATCATGTTGGAGTTGGATCAAATACCTGAGGTGATCATTCAAAGGCTCTAGTACGAGCTTTTGAGCAATGATATAATTTCAGGCGTAATGACGGGCACCACATTGATGGTGTGTCCAAACATATCATGGCCGACAATGAGTCGGAGGAAACTCCAGGGAGCAGCACCGCGTCCCACCCGGGTCAGCTTGACCTCGGCACCCTTGTACCCGCACACACGGATCTAATCAACCCGTTATTGCTGGATGACAGCCCGCTAGACTTCACTGGCCCCTTCATGGCACAGGAGTTCGACTACGCAAACATCTCGGAGGGTATCGATATGGACCTGCTCATGTTAAACCCCGAAGACTTCCCGGTTGGCATCACGAGCAATGACGGGAAGCTTCCCGCCGCAGCGTCGGATTTTTGAAGGACCCAGCTGGCTGATCCGAAGACGAGGCCCAGCCCTGGGTGCTGCGGCGCCCAGGGGGACGATTGCCGCGGCCGTCGGGACCTCAGAGTCAGTGTCGACGATGCCAACGATGATTGTGCGGAGGCACTGGCCAACCTGGCCAAGTATCCGGCTGCGATAACCGCGCCGTTTCGATTTCCGTCCAAACATGCGACGAGGCGCTTTGTGAGCGCCTTCTTCAGGTAAATTGTTCCTCACATACCAATTGTGCATGAGCCAACCTTCGACATCACCACAGTGCCGTGCAAGTCCCACTCAATCAAGGCCGAATAGGTTTATACGGCCGCAAGCATGGATCTGACGGAGTGACCTGCACAGCACCACTTCTACTTGCGGTCATGGCATGTGGTGCCGCTTACGTGAGCGAGCAATCTAGTACCGCTGTTTCGTTGCACGCCGCGGCCATACAGTTAATTTCTAGAAGTGAGTTGAGACGTTAAAGTGGTTGCAGAAAGACAGACACGCCCGCAAAGCTTTGAGCGTCTGACAGAATGTACAGCACGAGAAAACGAGTGTCGCGTGCAGACTAGACAACCAGCCTCCAACCTGGATCCTACAAGCATATTTGCTGCTAAGCTATTACGGAGTGCACTGTGGGACCGAAGGGCGAGCCACTCATACATTCCCTAATGCCGTCATTGTAAGCCTCCTTTTCTAAATTGAGTAGAACGTAGCGCATCATCGTGGCATTACAAGCCAATGTAATCGGTTCCTGGTCTCTAGCGAGCGCAAGAAGCACTCACCCAGCTGAAGCCCTATCCGATAACGACTTATGAGGACTGGGTGCGCCAGGAGTTTATCAACAGGTGAGGATCTCATCTTCTCTGAACCTCATGAACAGCGGTGTGGTTAACTGGGATATCAGGTGCCTGGCATGTACGATCATCCTGGGACCCGCGCTGGGTTCCAAAGAACGAGAATTGTTCGTGACAGCCCGTAATGGAGGCCAAGTTCGCCCTCCCGTCAAGCAACACGGCATGGCAAGCCAAGGAATCCGAGTGGCCGCGGCCCACGCCGATCCTGTACAACGACGACGCCCTGAAGGAAGTCTCCGCCGGCCGGCCGCCCAGGCAACCAGTAAGCGACTTCGGCCTCGTCGCCCTCGTGCCCGCGGTCCTCGACCGCGTCTGCGCGCTCGAGGCGATCACCGGCCCGGACCTGGCGGACCTGTACGCCAGCTCCGGCGAGCGCATGGGCCGCTCCGTCCAGGCGCTCGACGACATGGTCCGGCGCCGCATGGGCGAGGCGAGCTGGGGGGTGCCGCCGGACCCGGTCCTGCAGAGCGCCAAGCCCCTCCTGAACTCGGCCTTCTACCACCTCTACGCGAGCATCCCGCTCGCCGTCATGAAGAAGCTGCTCTGGTGCCCCGCCGCCCTGGGCGATCCGCGGGAGATCGCGACGCTTTTCAGCGGGGCGGCTTCTCCTGACCTGTACAAGGCCCTCATCCGCGCCGCGGACCAGCTGCGCATCGATTGCCGGCTGGGTCCCAAGTATTTGAAAACGGTAGCACCATTGCAGTATGGGCCGGACGGGGCCATTGGACCGTACGAGGGTGGTAAGCGAACCGTTTCCTATCAAAGAATACTTATTACATGACCAGTCTCCTGCCTCTGGCCAGGCGGCCTCAACATGGACGAACCAGCGTGTTGATTGGTATCCCTAACTAGGCCTGCTCCCGTTCTGGTACCTCGAGTTCGTCCATTCACGCCTTCCGCAGGCCGCGTCGCGCCAGACGCTCAGCACACCGATAGACGAGGGCCTCCTGGAGGTCGAAGACCTTAGGCTGCAGATGCAGGACCGGCCCCAGTCGTTGCCGCTCGCTGTCACGGCTGAACTACTTTCGGACAGTACAGTGTGGAAATCTAAGTTCTTGAGACGTACCCTGCGCCACCTCGGGGTAATTCTGTAATATGAAAAAAGTCCTTGCTGACAAAGTGTCTCTGTTAGGGCCTTCTGCCGTGTCTCAAAAGTTAAACCACTTGATTAATAGCTTTAAGGCGAGATAGGGTAAATGCATTCTTGTACACACAGGGGCTCAAGATAGGTGTGACTGGCAAAACGTAGCTACTTGAGTAAGAATGCGAAGTGACTTGCAGTGCAGTCATTTAAAAAGTTCAAAGACGATTGCTAAAAGTTGGATTGGGTAGTGAGTAGTATGCCTCTGCCAGAACCCAGGTCTCGTCCGAAGTTAGTATAACCTGATCCGTTCCAGTGAAGGAGTCGATCTCATCTCACTAGACCTCTTTCTAGTAGGGAGCACCTTGTTACCCCATGTCAGTTCTGCGACCCTGGACATAACCAAAACAGACACAAAGATGCTTCTTGATTGGAAATCTCCACAAGACTCGGGGCCTTGCTCTTTTCAATGACGGCCTACGTGGTTGTACGTGTAGTTTCGTAGCCACAGGTCAAAGTGGTGAAGAAAGTGCCGTGAGTCTCATCACCATCTATCATTTACATGCAAAAGCCCATGTAGGTTAATTGAATGTGTCATTATAATTATGTGTGCGAGAATTCGATGAGAGGCCGCAGTCTTTGTCCACTGTGTGGGTGTTAACTGGATATACCCTCCTCATTTACGGGATAATATTCGTGCCGTTTACAGATAAGATTGACAAAACATGAGCTGTGGCCTACATTTGATTACGTTAGTGAATACAAAATCACATAAGCGACCCGAAATCACTCACCCTTGTGTTAATCGCCAGTGTGGTGATGTTGGGATTGTTGATGTTGTCGCAGGGCGCATGATAGCACGGGTCCTGTGCAGCTCCCGTCCCGGTGTGAAGGCCCCCAACAGGCTTGTTAAGAACCTTCCAGAACGATGCATAGTCGCTCCCGTTTGTGAACTGGGCTGGGGTAGCCACCAAGCCCTCGGAAGTGAAGTGATTCGCGAATAGCTGCTCGATGGCATCGGACCCAGGTGGAGCAGCGATGCCGTGCGTGCTCCCGTCGCCGTCAAAGACTCCGAAGTAACCCCTCGACACCATGTCGAAGTTGAGGTAGGCCAGGATATCGTTAGCTTCTTCTGCCGGCAGGCTGTTGACATAGTATTTCGATCCAAGCAGTCCTCGCTCTTCGGCACCCCACCAGGCAAACCGAACCCGGTTCTTGGTGGTGTACTTGGCCAGGGCGGTCACAAGCTCGAGTAAGAGAGTCGAACCTGACGCTATGAGTATGTGAGCAGAAAGTCATGGAACCGCATACTCCTCAGTGTTCACTCACCATTGTCATTGATGCCGGCACCGACCGAGACACTGTCAAGATGGGCTCCCAACTGATATTAGCCCAGTCAGCACATCACGATTCAGAACAGGAGCATAAATGGATGGATGTGTCTTTTGGGGGGGGGGGGTATAAGCTTACAATAATTGTGTTTTCGGGATCACCACCAACCGTCTCAGCGAAAACATTTTGAGTTATCCTAGTGTCGGTGATCTCCAAGGACACCACGGTGGCGTTGACAGTCTCCCCGGCCTTGATCCTGCCTTTCAGCTCCAGTCCCGGTGCATTGTTAATGAAAACCGCAGGGATATCGTTCGGGTCGGACCTCGAGAGTCCGGCGGAAGTCTGCCTGGAGGTAACATTGTTGTAAATGATAGTGGCGAGAGCACCAGATCTCGCAGCGGCTACCACCTTGCCATCGAGGAATCCACGCCTAACGCCCGGGCAATCTCCAGCTTCGACTAAGACAATCTTGTCCGCCACATCAAGGTTGGCGTACGAAGCAATGTCACACCCCGCACTGCCTACAGGTCCGACGACGACATCAGCCGTCAGCCCGCCCGTGGGTGTGTACGGAGAGGTATAGACGGGGAAAGCCTCATAGCGGACCCCGTTGACTGTGAGATTAGCTCCGGAATCGCTGCTGAAGACTGCAGGAAAGTCCTGTTTCCAGGCCCTGACGCCATCAAGCTGTGATATCTTGCTCCAGACAAAGTCCACCGAGGCGGTGTAGCCAGGGTAGCCGAATGCTCGGTTTCCACCATTGGCGGTTGCAATCTCGTCGAATGCCACAAGATCCGCACGCAGGCTGTTCAATACATGCGTCAAAAAGGTGATTAAGTCAACCAATAGGTTCAGGGGATCGACTCACTTGTCGGAAACGATATCTGCCTGCAAAGATGCAGAATCTACCAGCGGCTTCTGCCCAACTGCCCTGTTGCTAAGAAGCAAAGCGAGGCTCAGGGTAGGGACTTGCGTGAACTTCATCATGAAAAACGGCGCTCAAATCTTCAAGTTTGGCATGCACGCCTCTTCTGCCTTTTTTCCAACACCGCAAATCCGGCACAACGTTGTTGGCTGCGGATTACAAATGAAGGTGGCGTGGGCTCAGAATTTGTTCCGAATCAGCTCCTCCACGGCCAATGTTGACAGCACCGCGCAGTCTCAAAGACCGACTTATAAACGCCGTCGCTATCAATGTTCCTCCAACGCGTGATGGTCGCTGCCGGCACGTCGAACCAGTATACGATGATGAATGTTCGAATGCGGCAGCTCACAAAAAAGCCAAGCGCGAATACCGGAGCTTAGCATCCAGACTGGGAAGGTGGTAGCCATCAGACAGGGAGCAACTGGACCTCTCGCATTCGGGAGAGCAAGCGACAACCCCTATCCCCTGGGTTTATAGTGGACTGGACCACACCCAGAGCCTTGCTTTACCAATTCTGGACATGACACCTAGCCGCCCGCCTATGATCGCTGTCGCGATGGGTCCGCACTAAGAATAATTTCGATAGCAGCCACGGTGCATCTATGCAGCGATAAGTGTGTTGGCGAGCCAGCATGGATAAATACGAGAAGAACGTTATGCGCTGCAGGTATATATCCCCGGTTGTGACCACCTCATAGACGAAAGGGGTTCATGTAGCTGGCCACAGCTACCATCGGCGACCCGCTGCAACCTCCCAAGGCAGAATGAAGGCCCCTACCCTCCTCAGCATCCTCGCCGGCGCGCTGCCCCTGATGGCCGCGCCGACAGAGCCAGCCCGGCGCCAGGCAGAGGCCATCCCGGGCAAGTTCATCGTCCAGCTGCGGCCGGGCTCGTCCCCGGAGTCGGTGTCGGCGCACCAGCTGCGCGTGCGCGGCCTGCTGGGCCGGCGCGACGAGAGCATCAAGGAGACGTACCAGATCGGCGACTTCAACGCCTACGCCGGGGACTTCGACGCCGCGACGGCCGACGCCATCGCCGGCCTGCCCGAGGTCCTGAGCGTCGAGCCCGACGAGTACATCTACGTCGAGAAGACCGACTTCGACAGCGCCGGCAGCAGCAGCAAGCGTGCCCTGACGACGCAGAGTGGCGCGCTGTGGGCGCTTGGTGACCTCTCGCACAAGCTGAACGGATCGAGGGACTACGTCTATGACGATCGTGCGGGCCAGGGGCAGACCGCGTACGTCCTGGACACGGGCATTCGCCTGACGCACTCGGAGTTCGAGGGCTCGCGTGCCGTCTGGGGCTTCAACGGCGTCACGGGGTCTGCGCAGCAGACTGGCACCAACTCGGATGACGATTCCCACGGCACTCACGTTGCTGGGTCCATCGTGGGCAAGGTCAACGGCGTGGCCAAGAAGGCGAAGGTGGTTGATGTGAAGGTGTTCAGTGGCGGAGGTGTAGGTGCAAGAGCTTATCACCTAATCCGCGATCTCGCTGTTTTGCTAATGCTCTTGGGCCTCAGGGTGCCACTTCTCAGGTGCTGGCCGGTCTCAGTTGGGCTGTCAACGACATCATTTCGAAAGGAGCAAAGGCCACATCGGTCATCAACATGTCCCTGTGTAAGTGCTCTACTGGCCCCCTTGGAGCAGGCTGATGACAAGGCAACCTAACGGTTCGAGCAGCTGCAGAGACCACGTCAACAGTACAGGATGACGCCGTACGCGCTGCCCACAACCAGGTATCACCATCGTCGCAGCAGCAGGAAACAACGATGTGAGTCCCTCCTCCTCGCGCCGTACACGCATTCACGTGACTCACACAAAGACTCATCTCTAGGGCCCTGCCTCCGCGCATTCACCGGCGCGTGTGCCTGAAATCATCACAATCGGCATGACCAATGCCGCTCGCAAGCGAGTGCTTCTCATCGAAGGCATCTTTGGCAGCAACTATGGCCCCGAGCTTGACTTTTTCGGCCCGGGCCAGGACATTGTGTCCGCCGATTATAAAATCGGACACCGGCTTTGTCACCAAGACGGGCACCAGCATGGCGACCCCGATCACTGCGGGACTTATCTGCTACTTGCGATCCATCGAGACCGGGCTCGGAACTCCTGAAGCAATCAAAGATAGGCTGCTTCAGCTTGCCCATACTGGTGTTGTTACGGATCCCAAGGGATCACCTAACAGACTCATCTACAACGGAAGTGGTCTATAGATAGAAAGGCCTTATACAATTAATGTATTTTCATAGCAACTGTCTGTAATTGACAATGCGTTCTATCGAGACATCTTTACAAGTTTTGATGTCTAAGAGAGTCCGGTACACCTTTTATTTGAATTAGTAGTTGCGTTGTAGGCGAAACTTGAACCCCCTTTTCACAAGACAATCAAGCGGGCTTTGGAAATCTCTTGCAAGTCTTGACTGAGACAATGATATCTCTGTCTTGAAGAATAGTTGTCACGTGTCATCGGGAGAGAGTGTGTCAGCAATATTTATATCGTAATTACTAATGGTGTGGCAGTACGTATCTTGTGACATTTCATTCTACATAGCTTCCCTTGGTGTATGTGGATCCGTGTATCCTGCTTCTATACACTTTCGCTAGTGGAATGAAGGTTGGGCGTCGTATGCGACAAACCTAGACGACGTGAGGCCTGACGCACCGCCGTGGCTGTGACCAGGGGACGAGCCCTTCAGTAAGTCGAAACCACGCGAGTCCATTGACTGCGTGTCAAGGAGCATAGGTCCAGCCTTAAACAGCTTCTTGAATTAGCACCGAGCGGGATCCCTGTCTAATCACTTTCGCACATGATCTTGTGCTTCCGTGCATCTGTGGATCTCTAGGGAGAAGACGGGTCGGTACAACATGCGATCATCTAAAGTTGCATAGTCGACCTCGATGACGTTGCAGCACACTTCACCAGCCATCTTCGGGGTGAGGGTTTGGATCATTCCCCTGCGCTAGGTTCCGTAAATCTCGCGAATCTACAGTACTCTTGTAGGGGCAGGGGCCGGCCAGCCGCCGCGGGAGCCTTGAAAGCTTGTCGCGAGCGCTAATTAAACCACCGTGCGCCTATCGAGGTGGGAGTGTGTGTTGCCCACAAATCTCAGGACTCCTTCTTCCGTTCATGAGAGATCTGTCATTTATGCAAGCATAATGTCGTTCAATTTGCCGGTGCTAGTGGGTGCGTTTCATGTTGATCCCATCAGCCGCAAGGAACGTCTGGCTCCGTGGGAAGCGTGGGCCGAAATCTCCGAATTAATATGGGACAGCGTGTGCGGAGGGCGGGAGGCGACGATATACCCGGTCCAGCTGCAACGACGGAGGGAGCGAATTGGAACTGCTCCTTCTGTACGCAAATAAATATCTTGGCTTGCTCTTGTCTTCTTGGGTTGGAGTGTCTTGCCAGTTGCGTCCCAAGCTTCACCGACACCACATAGTATTTATATCTGCGCTACTGTTCGCGACAATGTTCCGCCAAGCCGCCCTTTTTGCGATTGCGCTTCTGCCATTCTCACTTGGCCAAGTTTCTGACGACTTCGAAGGCGGATTGGATACAACAAAATGGCCCACCTACGCGGTCGACTGCAACCAGGGCGGAAAGGTCACCCTTGACAGCTCCACCGCCCACAGCGGCAAGAACTCGGTCAGAGTGGACGGCGCGGGTGGTTACTGCGGACACATCTTCTTCGGAACAACCAAAGTCCCCAGTGGTGATGTTTATGTTAGGTCCTATGTGTAAGCTCTCCACGGCAGCGCAGCCAGCAAATCTTCAGCACAATGACTCCGAGGCTAATCCCCCCTTGTTTCCCCCGCGTGCAGCAAGGCCTCCAAAGCTCTCACAGACTCACACGTCTCCTTCATCACCATGCCCGATTCGGCCCAGGGCACAAACAAGCACCTCCGCATCGGCGGCCAGAGCAAGATCCTGATGTACAACCGCGAGTCCGACGACGCGACGCTCCCGGACCTCTCGCCCCAGGGCATCGCCACCTCCGCCGCCCTCCCGACCGGCAGCTGGCAGTGCTTCGAGTACCACCTGGGCACCGACGGCAGCATCGAGACCTGGCTGAACAACAACACGGTTGCTGGCCTCACCGTCAAGCCCGGTGTCACCAACCCCAACGCTGCTCAGTGGCAGAGGGGCTCCGTTAAGCCCAAGATCACTGGTGTCTACTTTGGTTGGGAGTCTTATGGTGGTGATACCAACACTTTCTGGTACGATGATGTTGTCGTCAGCTCGAGCCGAGTTGGGTGTTGAGGTTCAAGTCGAAACTGCTCGTGGAGCAAATGCATCATATTAGCCTAAATACACATTTTTTGCCACTAAAGAAAAGATTCAATTACAGAAGGACTAGTCTGATATCCGCGACTTTGCCTTTTGGGGAGAACCGAGACTCAGGCGGGTTGATCTTCTGGACTGACAGTCAACCGTTCCATCTACAAAACGAAATTTCCTTTCCGATGAACATCATCTCTCCTATCGCGTTGTAGAGGCGCGAATTGCCGTACTACCATGTAACAAACACGTTGACGGAAATTGATCATTCCACACTAACGTCTGATCATTTCCAGTCCTGCGTATGGAATAACAAATGGATCATATCTCTGTTCCTCGCTAGAAATACCAAGGCGTTTGACCAGGAGGTACTTGAACCCATCCCTGCTTCTATACGGTATGCTTAAGGGCAGAAGCAAGTGTTGTCATAGCAATCGTAGGCTCCACCACCACACTGAGAACCGAAAACAGTCAGTAAAAGGCCAAGATCGCGCGGCAGGTATTGAGAGCATAGAAACGCACCTGAGAAACGCATTGGTTGACCTTCTCGGTACTGCACGATGCCTGAGGGGAAGGGTTCGGTGCCGCCAGAGCTGCTGTAACCGCAGTCAAAATGAGGAGAATGCTGGTCTGCATGTTGTTCTTATTGTGCTGGAACTGGAGACAGAGTTTTGTGATTGTGTCGTTTCTTGATATGTGTGAAGGTATGCGGATATGTATCTTCCGCTTTGACTTAGAGGTTGGTGGCAACACCGTGCCTGATCGCGTGCTTTCATCCGTCTTTTATATCCCGAGCTCATCAATAGTTGGTGCTTTCCGCGTCCCTAATCATTTCTTCTAGTAATTACTAGAGTGGATTTAAGTCCGCAATTGAATGTATGTCGTGGGGATTTTGATGGATCGCGTTTACGCGTATTATTGCTTGGCGAGTTTCGACCTGACTAAGTCGGATACATCCAGCTGCAGGACTATTTGAATGCTCAACATATGTCTACTTAAGCTGTGCCACAGCAGTCAACATGTTACAGGCCGTGTCTTTGAAGCATTTTTGTCAGGCTTTCAACATGAACCAAGAATACACATCACTGAGCCCGTTGAGGCCTGAGGTTCGTCGATGCGTCGCGATAGTACCCATTATGAGACAAATCAACTCTATGGCCCACTGTGGTATGACATAGGATTGTACAAGTGGTAGCCAAGACTTGCTTGACTCGAGATGCTATCCTCCTATCAGATGTCCATCACAAGAGATGAGGCTCCAGCAGACAAAAATGGGGATCATCTACCATTTGGTCTAGACCGTGGGAGATTTCTTTGCCGGTTCTCGGTCTTTTATCTAGAGGGTCGTATGGGTATTATACAAATTAGGCGGCAAAGAACATTCCTGTCTGTTCCAATGCTCTGTTGTGTTTCCTCGGCGAAATCAATGGCCTCCCGTATTCTGAGTTAATGCACCAGATGGCCATTTGGAACCGACGGTCTAGTGGTCGCCATCAACTCCTGTGCTGATCAGAGATCAACTTTCCTTTGAATATGATGTCAGTACTAGAAAACCAGCCTTGCAGACGGGCTAGGTGATGGGAAAGGCTGATACACAATAACTACTTATACACCACAACTGGGTAATTGAGGGTAGATGACGTTTTGCTTCTTCTTCGGACCACGTAAATCAGTCCCAAGTCGCTGTACAATTGATCATATCTATGCGAATTTGGATCAAGACGGCGAGCAGTTGCGCAAAACGTGGCCGATGGTCAGCATCCGATTAAACGAGTCTCATGTGGTCTAATCTCGATCGAGGCTAATCATGGTGATGTCTGCATTCCTGACTGTTATATCGACAGCGGCATTCCCCGTCAGGGAAACGTCAACTCAATGTCGAACTATGTAGTTGCCGGCTTTCCTTGAGTACCGAGAATCAACCGTGATTTTGGTCTTTCTCAGCAACCTCATTCTGTCCTGGAGTTCGGTCTCAGCCTTCAAAATCGAACCGAAAGACCATTCGTGTTTGATAGCCAGGCATATCAATTGCATTTGAAAGTTTGTCGTGGGACCAGGGGGAAGGAGATAGGCAAGTGGCAGCAGCAGGAACGAGTGGCAATCCGAAATCCTAGCTCGCAAGGGAGAAGGTGATTGGCAATCAGGTAATCTAGACCGCTAGACCGGCCCACGAAACAGAAAAAACGGTTGTCTCTCCCTGCCCACGTAGCTCAGGGACCTACCGGCAAATTGTCTCAGCCATGCCAGTGTGAAAAGGGCCAAGGCATGCAGAATTCCCATAGAGAAAAAGCGATCGCCAGTTCTCTCTGGTTTCTCCCCGATTAGCACAACTTGTGTCTACCTACCTATCCCACACAACCCAAACTGTCACAGATGTACCACCCTACTCTCCCAGTCTCCTTAGGGGTTCGAACTTGTACCCTCTCAACCAAGCTGTAAGGGGGTTGTGTGAGGTCTCGCTTCAGGGTTCAGGGACTCATAGCATTTCCCTGGGAATGGAAGCCTAACGCTTTCTGAACGAACTAAAGGCTCGTAGCTATGCGGGAAAAGCGATCGCCAGTCTTGAATTCCGACGACCTATATTTCAAAGCAGAGATGAAAACGATATAATCGACAAAGCGGCAGCATGAGTGATGTTGGCCATGCCAACATTGATCATGTTCAAGATTGATAATCGAGTCAATCGGTCTTGCCTTGCTGCATCATGATCTTCCAATCACCTGTGACGCTTCGACACGTAGCGCTTGTGGCCGTCGGACTAGTTGTCATCCATTTACTCTTCTTTAGCGGATTGTTCATTCACTCCAGCAGCGATGCCTTTTACGAGTATTACGACCGCATGAGGTGCCTGGTGCCTCCGGACTCGTCCTCCACAATCACATCACCGACGACTGGGAAGACGAAGTCGACGAAGAACCTGACACCGCCGGACACGAACATGAGCATCGCCTTCTGTTCATCTGTCCGGAATCAGCGCATGGACATGCCTGAGTGGTTCATCCACCACTATTACAACATTGGAATCAAGCATTTCTACATCATGGACGACGTCTCACATCCTCCGCTCTCTACCTACGACATCGATGGGTACTACGGCATCCCTTCTTCAGCGATCACATTCACATGGTTCAGTGAGGCAGAGCGTGGGGCACATGGGGGAATGATGCAGGAATTCCTCAACGACGAGTGCAACCGACGATGGGGCCAATACCACGATTGGATAGCCTACTTCGACGTGGACGAGTACATTGGTCTCTTGACCGACGAGAGTCTCCAGGACATCTTACAACCCTTCACCGACGACCCACAAGTAGGAGCAGTGGGCTTGATGTGGTGGATGCACACTTCGAACAAGCAGATACACCGCCAGCCCTCAACCCGGCGGGGCTTCACGGAGTGCATGAGCGACAGGAAGCACGACAACATTCCCGAGGACGAGTACGGGGTCGACAACGAGCACATCAAGAGCATGGTGAAGCCGTCGCTGTACAACAAGAACCGGGACTCGCCGCACGACTTCAACACGTTGAACGGCTCCGTCACGGTCATAGAGAACGGGGATGTCCTCGAGCATTGGTGGCACCGGCCCCCCGTAAGAGACAGGGTTGTGTTGCACCACTACATCGTGAAGAGCGAGGAAGAATACGCTGAGAAGCAGGCGAGAGGCAATCAGGGTGGGACATATCGGACTTGGGAGTACTGGAACCACATCAATGATGGTCCTAATGAGCCATGTGAAGATATGCTTAGATGGGAGATATGAATACCACAAATGTGATAAGTGACTTGAAGACGGGAGGATGTACAGAAGAACAGAATCAATACAGACTAGACACAGAAATGTTTGGGACTCTCTAATACCATATTCAATAATTAAAGGACCAGCAAGCACATCTACTCCTGAAACTCACTCCTATTATCATGATATTTGAGTGCTATATCCAACTGAGAACGTAAAGAAAACGTGAGAAACATAGGGAATACATGGTAGCTTCAAAGTGAATTTGACATGATCACCCCAACTCCTGTTTCAGTCCTGCGGGTCCAGGTCTATATCTAGATTACAAAACCTCTTATGCGTGTGTGTTGGTCCTCGGCTTCACCCACGACACGGCCCGCGCATTCGGACACCTTCTCATAGGCGGAGTCGATCCGTAGATGTGGGTGAGAATGACATGCGAGAGCCGATTTTGAGCATGTCGCTTCGAAGATTATACATTCATTTGCCGATCCAGGGCCAGTCGTCATCATCTGGCATCTCCTGCAAGTGTCGCTGGCTTAAAACATGTTTTCTCGAGGCATCTATCTTGTAGACGAGTAACAGGCATTTATGCTAATCATTGGCTCCCATCTGAGGAATCAGACGGCACTGGAGTAGGAGGCAATGGACCAGCCATTGCAGCAGCAGCAGGTGCATCAGTTTGGAGTCGAGTGCTAATGTCGTACATTGTGTCAGAGCTCGGTCGGGTCGCGCCAGGAGTCCTTCCGTACCCTTGTCTCAATGCCAAACATCTCAGAAAGTACTTTGACGTTCGGAATGATAAGGAAAAGGAGGGCCACTGTGAACCATGCGCTGGATAACTCTGAGATCCGTAGAAGGCGGGCAAAAGCCGGGAGAATTTGTTCGCTGACGAGGAGGCCCATTACCGCTGTTGCGAACACGACGAAGAGTAGGAAAAGAACTGCCGTAGTGTTTCTCAGAATTATTGGGGCGTATCTCATAAGTGTGTTGTAGTATCGAGTAGGGAGGAAGGTTGCGGCGATAATGGCGAAAATAACAAGTGCGGGTGAGTAACTGTCGATGCTGGAGTTTGCGTATTTAAATACGGTGATAAAAAATGAGCCGGACAAGCCGACGCGAGCGGCCCAAATGCAGAGTCCTGTGAGGTCAAGCATCTCGAATGTTAAATTGGTGTGGTAATTACTCCGCTTTAGTTTTCGCTATGGGTTGTTGTACTTTGGCTGCCGGATGTTGAGAATTCCAACATCATAGTAATGAACATACGTTCTGTCTACTTATTCCAATGTAGCGTACTTTGTATCACAGTTGAAAATTGGTTTAGTACTAGCGTATGACGTTCGTCGATATTGCAGAGAGTTTATAACACAAAGAAGAACAGGCGTACACAGAAGTTGGACGTGAGAAACGTCTTTGTTATCGTCGTCATCTTTGTTGTGTTTATCACTACATTCCGTTTATGGTCTCTTTCGATAGCTAGAGAGCTTCTTTGTGATTCAGTGGCATTTGAGGAGCGAGTAACGAATCAAGTAAAGTACGACAGGCTCAGAGGAGAAGCCTCGAATTGGACACGAGTGGTGCCTGGAAGATCTTGTATCCATGATTATACCCCTTGACCGACTCGCCTTGCACCCTCACCCACACCAGGCCGTAATAATTGATCAGCGAACTTTGAATGAGCTCTAAATCAGACATGTTGTCTTTTTGAGTAATACGTTTTCATCTTGATATGCATGCCTCTAAGGAAAGCATATGCTCATGCTGACTTGCCTTGATTGTGGCATGTACCGGTACAGCACGGCTTGCTTTTGCACTTCGTCGTAAAGGGCGCAGTGTCCAGAGTCATTCGCTGAACTGAGTGACTGCACAACTGGCTTCACGAGCTGAACTAATTAGGGTATGTGGAAGTTCCGCGCAGGCTCTACCCCTCGTACAAGGATACAGGAATCTATTTCCTGGGGTATTACAATGAGAGGCGCCTATGAAGTCGATATTTGCAGCAATATTATTCAAAAGGTTAGTCCCGTAGGATGCACCTCCAGGCATCGGTGAGATGAGGTGGTTGATAGTGGGATGAGAGGGCGTTGACTGCACTCGCGGATGCGTCAACCTTGGGTCGACCCAGGAAAACAGCAGACATCGAACTGCTTATTACCACATCGCAGCCTTGTTTTAAATTGCTATGTGTACAAGTTCTCTGCTGCAGTCCTACTCTTAACACTTGGGCAACCAAAATCGAACCTGTCAGCTGTGAGTTAACGATAGGTCCTATACGGGATAGATTGAGCCGAGATTGTGAGTCTCGAGCTCGACGAATTCGAATCGTGACCACACGAATTAATTTCATCCACGCGAAGCACGACAGTGGAGCCTTTGCTTCAGTGGTATGGGATGACCATGTCTCCTCTTTGCAGCTGGAACCCGGATAAGTAGGAATGATGGGATTCGCACCATTCCCCTGGAAAGAGTTTAGCGCATCTGCAAAGCTTACATAGTTACAGGCAGGCAGCCAAATTACATGTTCCGTCCGAACTCCGTTTCAGTTCGCATCGCATGCTTTAACAAGTCACACTCCCTTGGCATATGAATTTTGATTCCTCAACGTGTACCGGGATAAATAGCCATTCCCGAGCGAGCCAGTCAGTCGTCTGTACTTCCCGTCATTCTTCATTTGTAATTAGTATCTCCCAAGCACCGAGATGGCGACCCAAACAGACGCCGAGAAGACCTTCCGGTCATACACGAAGGATCAAGGCCAAAACTACGCCCAGCACCGCATGAAGTACAGCCAGGCGCTCTACGACGACATCATATCGCACCATACTTCCACAGGCGGCAAGTTTGAGAGTGCGGTGGACCTAGGGTGCGGCCCAGGGACGGCGACCTTTGCCATCGCGCGCACTTTCGACAACACGATCGGCCTCGACCCTTCTGAGGGCATGGTTAGCACTGCGCGGTCCTTCCTGGGCCAGGAACACATCAACGGCAAGGTCAGGTTCGACGTGTCGACGGCCGAGGACATCGATCCTGCCCTGGTCCCGGACGATAGCGTGGACCTCATCACCGCAGCCACGTGCGCCCACGTAAGTCGCTCTCTGCACCACCCTTGATGAGTTTAACTCCTCTAATCTCGATCCTCCAATATGGAGTGGTTCGACATGCCTCGGTTCTGGGTGTCTGCGGCTCGTGTCCTCCGGCCGGGCGGGACGGTGGCGATGTGGTGCTCGAAAGCCAACACCATCCACCCCTCTGCCCCAAACGCGGCTGCGATCAATGATGCAACGGCCAAGATCGAGGAGGAGAGCCTCGCGCCTTTCTTCGGGGCGGGGAACCGGCTGACTCGAAACCTGTACTCGACTATTGGGCTCCCGTGGACGGTCAGCCCTCCCGTGCCAGACTTTGACGAGACCACGTTTTACAGGAAGGAGTGGGGCGTCGAGGGCAATGATGAGTCCTTCTTCGAGAACAAGCATATGATATTTGATATGGACACGTTGGAGAAGTTGCTGGGCACCGCCAGCCCCGTCACGAGGTGGCGAGAAGCTCACCCGGAGCTGGCCGGGACGGAGAACGACGTGGTCCGCAGGATGCGCAGAGAGGTGGAAAGACTTCTTCATGAGGCTGGAGTTGAGAAGGGCAAGGAGCTCATCCGAGGCGGGGAGGCCGGAGTGTTATTGATGGTCATGAAGCGAGCGTGATCGGCTCGGACATCTCAGCGCACAGTCTCGATGAAGCCAGAGTACACCGTTACTCATGCAATGATTTATTGCTTACCATGCTGCAAACAAATTCTGATTCATTTCAGATTTTCTTTGTCAAATAAATAACAATTGGCGTGTAAAGTGCTCACAATGGAACTGTTGATTGATAAGGTCGTTGCATGCGGGTCGAGTGATTCGAGTAAACGGAATATGGCTGATGCTACATGTCGTATATCTTGAATCGGCAGTAACATAATATCTGTGTGCCACTGTGTCACTCTATGTGAACCTATGTTCACATAATCTAAAGATTTAAATTCTGCATTCAAGTCCCGCAGAGTCTATTAAGAGCGTTGAATGGTTGCAGTGGTGATGACGTCCACTGACGTAACTTCCGGACACGACCGCAACCACCCCAACATTCAAGCCTCACCTCACATCGCCTCTGCCTCAAGCGTGCATCATCATTACAAACACTGGACCCATCACTCCAAAACAATCAGACCGTAAAGCCCCTCTTATTTTTCCAAGAGCTTCAAACTGATCGATCATCTCTCAACCTACTACGCACTACCTCTCAAGTGCTACTAGATCTACCAACATGACGGAGCCGCAAAAAGACGTAGCGGGCGATGAGCGCACTACCAAGAGCAAGGTGCTGGAAGCAGGTGCGGGCATGACTCAGGTGAGGACGATGATTTCCAAGACAGTCCAGAATACACCGTAGTATCCGGATGCTGACGGAACCGGCCAGGATTTCACGCCAGTAAAGAGTATCTGCGCGCACCTCAACGCCTTTCACGTCTACGCCGACGACCCCAAGCGCTTCGTCGAGGCAAATCACTACTGCAGTCATTTGACAGAAGGTATGCATCTCGCGCCATGACACGAATGTGTGACAATACGCACAGTCAGTCACTCACCACCGTTGCATAGACGTCCGCCAGTGCATCCTCTACGACAGCCCCAACCCAGGAGCCCGCCTCATCGGGATCGAGTACATGATCACCCCGAAGCTGTACGCCACGCTCGACGCCGAGGAGCACAAGCTCTGGCACAGCCACGTCTTCGAGGTCAAGTCGGGCATGCTCATCATGCCGCAGCCGTCGGCGCTCGTGCCCACCGCCGCGTGGGAGCAGGCCGAGTCCGCCGAGATGGAGGACGTGGTCGAGCTGTACGGCAAGGTCTACCACCTGTGGCAGGTGGACAGGGGCCACAAGATCCCGCTGGGCGAGCCGAAGCTGATGACGAGCTTCACCAAGGCCGAGCAGATGCCGGACTTTGAGACGGTGGTGGGCGAGAGGGACTCTAGGTTTGGTGCCGCGGACTGGAGGAGGAAGAAGCAGATTCGGGAGTACATCAAGGAGCCTGAGATTCATCCTGATGCTGATGCCACTTGGAAACGAGCTTAGCTCAATGGTTTCTCATCACAGAAAGGCCTATCAGAAATCTCGGCGCCAGATGGAAAACATCTGAGATGAGTCGATTTTCTATGGCAGAGGTCATTGAGGATGAGTGTATTTATGAGGTTTGAGACCTGCGACTCCCTGCAACTTACACTGGCTTGCACAATGTGTCCCTTGATGACCGGCTTAGGCGCCAAGAACAGTGCTCGCAGTGACATGCCTGATCAGGAAGTGATCTGCACGCTTACACTCCTCGATGACCCCTGGCCCGGCTTCATTGACGCTATCGGGTAGACTTGGCTCAGCTTAGTGGTATCTTGCTTACAAACATAGCAAGTTGGCCTTTCATTAAACAGAAGACTCGTTCTGGAAATGCCAAAAGACTTGGTCACTGCTCACCTGTGTAAGCATTCCTGAAGATGCCTGGATTGGAAACTCAACACGAGAACACGGGCTGGAGAGATCATCATGGCAGATATAAAAGGACAGTGTTGGCGCCCCTGAAGTCGAGAAATATCTACTCCACCAGCTTTAATCTTTCGATTTGTGCAAATAAATTGATACCGATTTCCATTCCCCCTTGACTTCTCACTTCTCGGTCCCACATCATCCAATATGCGTGTTGCTATCGCCGGCTCTGGGGCCGTTACAAGCTACTTCGCGGAAGAACTACCAGCCGCAGGCATCGACGTCGTCATCCTGACCAGGTCCATCAAGCCCCAGTTCGAGAACTTCCCCGGGGTTCAGCAGTTCGTCACAGACTACTCCGTCCCGTCCCTGCTCGAGGGCATCGAGGGCAGCAGCGCCCTCATCTCGGCCATCCTGGACTACACGCCCGCCTTCATCGACGTGCACCGGCGGCTCATCGAGGCCGCCAGGAAGAGCACAACCTGCAGGCGCTTCATCCCCGCCGAGTATGGCGGTAACCTCGAGGACTTCCCCGACCAGCCGGGCTTCTACTCGCGCCTGCAGGGCGTCGTCCGCGCGGAGCTCGCCGCGCAGGGCGGGCTGGAGTGGACGCTGCTGTCCACGGGGTGGTTCGTGGACTACGTCGTGCCCGGCCGCAACCGCAGGCTGCAGGACGCCGGGGACGCGATCCCGGTCAACCTCGCCGGCAACAGCATGGTGATCCCGGGCTCTGGAAAGGAGCCGCTTGACCTGACTGCCGTGAGGGACATCGCCCGCGCGATTGCTAGGCTGCTCCGAGCACCACGGTGGGAGAGGTACACGTACATCTCCGGGGAGAAGTCCACTTGGAACGACATTGCGGCGTTGGTGCAGCAGAAGTACCCTGACATAAAGATCAAGCACCGCAGCCTTAACCAGCTGATTGAGGATGTTGTTGCCAACCCCGAGGGCGAGGAGCGTATCATCGCGGAGTACCGGATCTTCTCTGCGAGCCACGCTGGATCTCTGCCGGCTGACAAGGTCGCCGCACATCGGGAGAAGTACTTCTCTGGGTTACAGTTTCGGACGGCGAAGGACTTGATGGCGGAAGTCGAGCGGGATCCTAATGTTATTGTATAGCGTCCTAGTTGAATCGTTCTCGAAGTAGTGTTTCATGAGCTCAATACAGTACGACGTCCAGTTCTGGCATATTTGCGAGAACCCGAGTCCAAGGCTCTGGATCAAGCCCTGGAAAATTAGCGTCGCGGCGCTTCCAAACCTCTTCAACCGCTAGAAGTAACGTATTCCAAGCAGCAATTCCCAGAGACATCCGCTTGGCGAACAGGCTTCTAGTCCTGTGCCGTAGCTCCGGCGTCGCCGCCTCAAACGCAACCACCGCGTAGACCCACGTCTTGGGACTGCCGTCTTTCTGCAGCAGATCGAGGTGCTCCATGTGGTCCAGACACCTGGCAACCAGGCCCTGGACCTCCTCCTCAGGGCCGCGCCTCCCGGAGTTGCCTCTGAAGTAGAGCAGGGAGGCGTAGTAGAACAGCGAGCGGTGGTGGTGCACCATTGCCGAGGCCGCGTTGCCGGCGTCAAAGTCGGTCGACGGCTCCGGCGTGGAAAGGGCGAACTCGATCTCTAGCTGGTCAAGCTCTTCGGAAGGCATGGCATGGGCGCGCATCAGCTTCGTGTTGAAGGAAGACAGCAGCTCGAGGGAACGTGCCGGCATGATCTGGCTTTTGACCATGTCTACACCTGGGAGAGTAGTCTTCAAAGGGGCGAGAGACTCCTGTCGTCCGAGGTACTGGGCCTGGATCAGCGCGAAGCTCGAGGAGAACGACTGGTATGTCAGTGCAGCAGTTGTAGACTGGGCCCAGGTCTCTGCGCTTATCCCCTCGAGGAGGCCCCTCGTCACCTTTGTGACTTCCCGCCAGGCCCCTGGCGTGCCCGTGACGAAGTGGATCAGTATCCACAGACATAGGGTGGCGAGGCATGCCATCCGTTCATCATGGTCTCTGCGGTCTATGTTCTGCATGAGATGATGAAAGCTGAGCTGCTTGTGGTGAAGAAGAAGCCCGTCATCCTCCAAAGCACAAGCTCTGAGATTTGCTTGATGGGCTGCAGAGATGGCGCAGACAGCGTGGAATAACGCGACTGTACAGGTAGACTTTGTGCGGGCTGTCCGGCTCCCCTCGAGAGCCATGGGAGACACGACGGTGAGGAAAGGGTTGGCAGGGCTGCGGAAAGGGACCAGCTTGTCTGCGAGGTTTGTCGCCCAGTGGCTGATGAGCTCCCGTTCTCGAGTGGCAGATGATGGCGTTCCGAATGGTGTTAAAGGGCTACCAATGCGCGGGATAGACATGGGATCGAAAAAGCTAGATACGGCACTCCCATTGTTAGGAAATTGTTGAGAATATGCGTACCAATTGAGTTGAAGGTGGTCCACTCCCGGTGACCAACTCGAGCTGTTGACTGTTGGCCATAGGTTGGAGTCCAGGTTCTGCTGCTCTGAGTAGACAAGTTCATTGTCGTCCAACGAAATACGTGTGTCGTTGGGAACACCTTCAAACAGGGCTGATTTATTCACAGTTGTGATGATCTCGCTGGGTTGGATGGTCTCCACGTCCCGAGGCTCCGCTGGTTGAACGTTCTGGCACGCCTGCTCCGTCGTGACTGTAGGTCTGCTTCGCTCTGTATGCCTCCGTCTTTTTGGAGTAGGCTCTGGTTGCAAAGTTGGAAACCCTGAGAGTGAGCCGCGTGTTGGAACATTGACGCCTATAGAGGAGCTTTCCTCAGCCGTGTGCCGGGTCCGACAATTGCTCTTCGATACCCTTTGGCTCATAGGCGTGAGCCATGTGAGTCGCGTGCTGTACCCTTGACAAGCAAAATTGCCCGCAATACAACGCTTGCATTTTGGACGCTGCTCGTCACACTTGACGTGCCGCTCGCGACACGTCCAGCAGCCCGTAAAAGTCTTCCCTCGTTTACCGCCAGCGGTCTTTTTCTCCTGTAGCCGCTCCGTGGCCTTGTCGGCCGACGCGGAAGAACGGCCTCGGTCTGGCCGACAGTCATTCATCTCATCGAGAAGTGACGATGCAGAGTCGATGCCCACATGCATATAGAGCTCGCAGTGCAGTGGCGACCGTATATTGGAATAATGTGGCTGTATATGGCACGGACGTAAGGATCCAGTTCGTCATTGCAGGTTACAGCTGGACGCTATGCGGCTTTTAGACTTCTGGCAGTTTGTTGCTCCCCAGACTGCCGAGACCTTAGTCTAATATTAAGCAACCCTTCCGGTCAGAGCCGATGCTAAGTCAGCTCATTGTTCTTAGTAAGCTCTAGTGACGGAGCATATAAACCCCATCTAGATGAGGCATTGAAACGAGGAGGGTTCCACAAGATGACGCATTTGCCCATGCTGACGTATCAAAGTTTTGGGAATAGCCTGAAAATATGGATGCGATGGTCGTGTCAAGAAAGGTTCCATTGATTATCTTTGAAGATCACACGAAGCAAGGTAATGAGATCAGTCTCGAGAGGCCTGATCTTCTCAAGATACCACAAGGTTCTCTACACTAATGATAATGTATCCTTCGAGTCTCGATCAACCAACCAAGTCAATATCAGGGAGCCATGGCTTTACCATTTTCTGGCCACCAGAGCCATAAAAATTTGACACGGAGAGACCGCCTTTACAGTGATGAAGGAGGACCTCATTTTCAACGAATTTACACACTTCCAATGCGAAATGAGCGCCACAAAACTCAAAACATACGTCCATCGACATTGTGCTCAGTAGCAGCTGTGGTTGGAGTTAGGTTATCTGTACCTTTCCATATCCTTCTTCCAAGCAGATTGCACATCCTTGAGCAATTTCCTCTCAGACAACACATCCAAAGCTGTCCCTGCCATTGCCTTGCCGACCCTCAAACATCGCTCAAACGCATCCCTCGTTCCAGCTGAGTCCGCGAACTCAGGGTTATGAGGGCCCTGTCCCCCTGCACCGGGGACGATCGAAAAGCCAACGCTCAAACTGGGCATCTGGTAGCTGATATCGCCCTGATCCGTGCTAGCCCTCGTCACCCCCCTCGCCTCGTCCACATCCTGGTCAACTGGTATCCTCGAGATAGGCGACCCAGACGGATCATCTTTCCCAGGCACCAGGCAGTTGAAGTACCGGGTGTAACTCCTCGCCAACACCCGGTTGGGGACGTGGTCCGCGTACGCCTGCTCCTCCGTCATCCTGAGCCGCGCGCCCGTGGCCGTGGCCCCCGCCTCGAAACACCCGTCGACCTTCTTCTTGAGCTCCCCCAGCCGGGCGCGCGTGTCCGCCCTCACGACGAACACGCCCGCGGCGTAGGCGTGGATGATGTTGGGCGCCGCGCCGCCGTCCGTGATGTGGCCCTGGATGATGTCGCCCGGCATGGTCTGCTGCCTCAGCACGGATAGCGAGTTGTACGCCGTGACCAGGGCGTCGAGGGCGTTGATGCCGAGCCAGGGGTTCGCGGCCGCGTGGGCCTCGCGGCCGAAATACTCAACCTTGAAGCGCGTGTATGCCGTCGTCCGCATCAGCGCGCTGTTTTGCGTGATGCCCGGGTGCGAGATCAGGTTGATATCGACTCCGTGGTCCTTGTACGCGCCGGCGCCGATCAGCTTGATCTTGCCGCCGCCACCCTCTTCGGCGGGCGTGCCGAAGAGAATGACCTTCCCGGGCAAGGAGTGCTGCCGCATCAGCTCTGCTACTGCGAGGCCGGCTGCCAGCGACGCCGTCGCGATAAGGTTATGTCCGCAGGCGTGGCCTATCCCCACAAGAGCATCTGGTAGTATGATGTTAGCGTATGGTCCTGGACCGTAAAACGATGCCTCCGCCTTCATACCCATCTCGACGTTGAAGGAGACCGCCGGTCCTTTACGTCCAGTGTCGTGCACCGCTATCCATGCTGTCTCGAGGCCGTAGGCCGAAGGAGTCACTTTCCAACCACCTTGGGACCTCATAAACCGGACGAGGGTGTCATGGGCAATGCGTTCCTTGTAGCCCAGCTCAGGGTTATCGTGGATCGTCTTGTTCACCGGCCACAAGGAGTCGGCAATGTTGTCGACATAGGAGCTGATATCGCGGAGATAAGGCGGCTCTGGCTCGTCGTCAACGTCCGAGACAAAGACCCAATCGTCATTATGGTCCATCATGGTCACTATTACACCATGTGATTCCTATCAAGGGCCTTCGTGATGGGTGCACTTCATGAGCGGGTTGTGCCCCAGCCACCCGGCAGAAATGAGGTCTGACGTTGGGGAACCGGGAAGTGCCTAGCGGGGCCGGAACTCTATATCACACGTTGGATACTCTCATATGCAATCAAAAGTATCAAAAAGACGCTAAAGTTGCGCACTTCACCCCCCCCCCCTTTTCCTCAATTTCCTCTTTTTTAAATTACTTTTAACATTTACACACTTAATATATATCTAAAAACTAAAATAAAAGTAGTTTTATAATAAGAAAAAAAAGCGCTATTATATAAGATAAATTTTAATTAGATTTAAGTAAGTTTAAAAAACTTAAAAATTAACTTATATGAAAAATAAGGGGATGTGAATTAAACGGGCCCACTTTTCTTAATACTTTTGATTGCATATAAGAGTAATTTGCGCTAGCGGCCCAGGCCTGCGACAGCAAGGCACTATTTCTTATTTCGAGGACCAGTATCTTGTATCAAGTCAGTATACCGAAAGCCAGGAAATTCTTACATCAAATTTCTATTTTAAGTAGAGGAACAAATATTAATACCCTTGAGTGTATCAGGATAATAATTAAAAGGTAACGCATAAGGGTTATAGGAAGTATTAATTGATTCTTATGGACAAATCTAGCTATATAATGGTTAGTTATGTGATCATAATTAGTGTGCTATCCGTTTTGACCGGTGTGAGTATCCGTTCTCCGAATCATTCTCTCCTGTTCGCTTCGCATTTCAGATGCCGCCTCACTTGAACGCTTCGAACCGCGCGGCCTCAGCACCGTCCTGGGCACAGTGCTTGACAGTCCACTGCCACAGATCATCGTGATTAGCTGTGTTGTAACTGAGCCGGCTGGATCTGATCTCTTTGCGTCCCTCGAAGTACTTCCCCGAGACAGAGGCCATCTCGTCGGCAGTAGCCACCCAAGCGAGCGATGCACCCGACTCGCTCGGCTTGTGGATGTTAGGGGTGAAAGCGATCTTGAGAAGCGGCGTGATCTGGTGAGTAACAGAAAGTCAGTCGGTCAGTCTTCCATTTTGATCATCCTTTTCCAGGTGGTGCTCCTTGAGCCCGGGGGGTAGAAGAGCGAGACAGCGAATAGTCTTTTTCAGGACTTGCATGGGGGAATGTCTTGAACCAGGCAAATCGCATTATTCCTTTGTATTCCCGTGCAAGCCCTGAGCCGGGCATCACTGGCAGGTCCGGGTCGAACGCATTGGCCTTGATTCCGCGGTCGGGGATCCGTTCGTTGATACGTTTGGACAACGCATACACCCACATAATGTTGGCGAGTTTGGTATTAGTATAGTGTCCAGTGCTCGGTCTGTTGGTCATGGCGGGAGGTGGGTGGGCAAGATCATCGGCTGTTGTGTAAGTGGTATCTGGTAGACCGCTTTTCTGCAGTGGATCGTGAACGCCACTGGCGGTCACCACGACGCGGGCGTTGGGTGCGAGATGTGGGCAAAGCAGGTGGAATAGGAGTGCGTGGCCGATGTGGCTGATCGTGAAGGTTGCCTCGATATTTTCCGAGTTCAAGATCATCTTGTCCGCGAACTGTAAGGCGGCCTTCAAAAGCAATGCTTGGATTGGAGGATGGTTTTTCGAAATCCACTCATCCGCAAAGCTGCGAACTTTCTTGGTGTCGTTCAGATCGAGCGCCATAAAGGCGGTATTGTTCTGTTTCAAGGTGGTGTTGATCTTCTCGGCAGCGCGCTCGCGGTCGGACCGGGAACAGACCACGACAAGCCAGTCCGGATGCTGACGGGCGATCTCGAGGGCGGCATAGTAGCCAAGATTGATAGTGCCTCCCGTGACTATGGTTGAGCATGTATAAGCCATCTTGGATAGGGTGCTCTTGCGGAGCAGGTCAGAATGAAGAGTGGAAGTTGTTGGTGAGACTCCTTATGTTGCTCAGCTCGGTGTTTGAATGCCCGCCCGTGCCGCACACTCTCGGGTTTACTGAGCATAACGCCGCTCATTACTGGGCAACAAAGACCAACATATCACATTCCGCAGCCACAGCAGTCAAATCTGGTTAGATCTGACATTTTGCAGTTTGTCGAGCTCGTGGATGCCGCCAAATCCGATATGGTGTGCCTATGCGACCCACAGGTATATTATCTTTTTAGCATCATTGGTTTTTGCCTGCCCCCCGGAATGCTCCTGAAACCATTAATTCTGACCAGATTCACTGCTGACTATAGCCTCTTTAATCAATCTAGCGCATGTTTGATCCAAATGAGCACCCTTGCCAGACCGCTAGCCTTAACTTGTTTTGAACAACCTGGTGGCGGGCCATGACTGAGAGGCCTCAGACCAAGGAATGAGACATGCGATGGATTGCGGATCATCAGTCTTGCTTGAGGGCCACGAGGCGAGGAATAATTACTTGGTGACTGTGAGCGGAGAGCTTCTGGCAAAAGGATGGACGCCGACATGCACGTTGCGGCAAATCTCATCGGGACACAGTAGAACGGACAGGAGTCCCTGGAAGGCCGGCGCCCTCTCCGACTCGACGAGCTCCGCAGCTACGAGGGCAACATCATCGGACCCTCTCCCATTTAGCTCGCCGTGGTAAACACCCTGACCACTGGGAAGTTCATATCCGTGAGTTGGTCATCACCAACCACCCGGGCAACGGCTTCACCACACCGGTGGAAGTCATCAAGGAAGACCTTGATACCCCAGCCATCCAGAAGAGCTGTCCCGCAGAAATTCTGGGGCTTCTCGTCCTGCAGGGTCTAATACCGTCTGCGAAGCCAATGTCCGAGGCTGGGAGAGTCGGCCTCTCCCCGCCGCTCCCGCTCCCAACCCCCCTAAAGCTCACGATGGTGGTGCTCGTCGACAAAGAGACGGCACGATACGCCTCCGTAAAAGCAGCATGGACCAGTGCCGACAGGAAAGATACACACTGGCCTCCAGCCACCACCAGCACGGCGTCCAGGGCTTCGCCAGGACTCTGGTCAAGCTGGCCCGCAGGAAAAAGAAACCAACATCACTTTCGGCTCCCTCAGCAACGCGGTGGGACGCCCTTTTGGGTGGCCTCAAGACGTGGCACGCGCCGCGGTCGATATCGCAAATCTGATCAACGAGGACCATGACCAAGCCGAGCCAAACCCAGCCGTGGAGGTCGCCATTGGGCTCGTCTTCAACACCGGCACCGGCTGAGTGTTTAGCAAGTCCGAGCTCTGGGAGGACGCTTAGTTACACGACACGTGCCTGGAAGCTGCGGCTCTCGCTGTTTTTGACTACTTTTTGTAGTGCCCACTCCAGCGGAGACCATGTGTACTGGACTAGTAGTTAGGTCAGTGACGACCAGCGACACCCAGTGCTGTATGTTTTGTAATTTTTAGCTTGATTCCTAAATTCTTCCCTGAGCTTATCTGATAAATACCTAGATCTATACTACTGTGTGGTGGTTCGTTAATCTGTTGACCAAAGTATCGGTTGGTTTTGAAATGAAAGCAACCAGTTTCGCCAAACCTGAGGCAGAGGCAAATGGGAATCAAGCTCATGCAAAGCTGAAGCCAAATGTTTTCAAGGTGGGGTATCCCGGTAACAGGACGTAGTAGAACCTGGTGTAGTCCAACATTTAATATCAGGCGTGGCAAAGGCGAGGTTACGTTTTGGTCGTGGCATAGTTACATCCAAGCTCCTGTCCACTCCTCGAGCCTCCATGGAGGCCGCAAAGATGCCTGCAGCTACCATGGTAAGTGTCTGTCACAATTTGCAAAGAGGCAGTGCAAGAGTCCCAATCAATCCGATTCACAGTCACCACCTATGGTTCCGTAGCATCATAACCGCAGGGCCCCTCAAGTAATTTCGGCTTCCAACTACGCGGGAGTGGGTGCTGCTGCGGTTCTTGGGAAGCTTAATTAATCTATCCAGGGCAGCCATGACATGACGACAGCATCAATGGCCGGATCCCCAGGTGGCTTGGGGCAAGTCGGTCGTCCCCTATGAGACCGTAGTGCCGGTCGCCATGATCGTGGTGTAACCGCATAGGAAGCCGAATCCAGCCTAGCCGAGACAGAAATCTGGGTACGCAGCCCACGTCAGTTGTCACTCAAGGTAGGGCAGGCCTCGGGCCAGCTGGGGTGTTTGAATGCGCATGAACGTTTCCAAGGGAAATGAACCTGTTCTAGACTCGAAACATCACTGCCCACCCCACCGGGGAGGTGGTGAATCGGTGCAAAGAAGGGCGGGAGGGAAGGGGGCACCAGGCGGCTCAGGGGCAGGGGCCAAGTTTTCGGGAGGGATGTTTATCGTCCAAACACCTGGGTAGCTGGGAGAGACTGACGAATGGCTCTTGGGCCCCCAGCAAAATCTCCGAGCCTGGCCGACCGTGGCCTGACGATGCAGCAGGAGTGATCCTGGCAGTCGTTGTGCAGGATTTCTCGTCCCAACTCCAGCAGTGTCGTGATTCAGGGGAGGGCTCCGTCTGCATGAGGGCTGGCATGTGCAGTACGAACCCCCTCATATATGGCCTAACTATATGATTGACGTTAAGCTTCGAAGCTGGTGGGTCGTAATCTGTACCTGTCAGTGCCTGAGTGCACCCTTTCCCCTCCCGGATCTGACATAATCGGCCGTTGAGGTCCCTGTTCCTGGGGTGTTTCTTGCCCCTCAAGCCCCTGACTCGGAATTAAGGGAGGATGCCAAGACTGTTTCCCTCTCGTTGATACTGCTATGCCCCTGTCCTTTATGCACTTCACTGCCGTCCGGAGACTTTTACCCCAAACGGCGAGCACGGGAGATTGACAGCAAGACCCCGGCTCGGACCACACTCTATCTTGCAGATCGATCGGGTACATGGTTTTCAGTACGCAATAGGGGCAACTTGCACATAGTATTGCAAGTATTCTGGCTGGACCACGAGCCCTTCGGACCCCTCAACCACGCCGACGGGCCTGAGCACAAGGCCTGGCCTCTCCTACCCGCGGATGTACTGCTACTCCACTCGGGGCTGTGCTCTTCGTCCCAAGTATATGGATTGTACCTTGTATGCATAAAGGCTGAAAGCTCAGATGAAAAGTTCAGACGACGACTGTGGAGACAACGAAGGAGCATGTTGCGTCACAGACGAGAGAAGTCACTTGGATCACACAGGCACCGATGCCATTCTCCATGGACCCTCCCTGGCACCAACATATGGGCCCATCCAGACAGAGGCCATGTCGCGGTGGGTGAAGAAAACACCGGAGATGAAGGTCGGAGGAGGGGGTGTCGAGAGATGCTGCCGAAGTGTTGGCGAAGTGCTGGTGTTCTTGATGAAGAGTCGGTATAAGAAGGCAGCATGTTTTGCTGTTTCGAGAGTATGTTTTGAACGCCCCAAGCTTGACTTCAGGTTTACATCGGCATCTTGTGCTTTCCACTCTTTTTTTCTCGAAGCCAGTTGATCTTGCTGACCATCCATTCTCTAGGTGTCTTGACACTTCATCCACTCATTCTTCATTGCAAACACTCTTTTGATCCCTGGACGGGATTCACTCAGCACCTTCAACTCCGCAAGAACCCATACGCACGCACATCATGATGTACCGCAACGCCGTGGCGGTGCTCTTCTCGCAGGGCGCCCTGGGAGGCCTGCTGCACAGGCAGAACATACCCCCTGCGCCGTCCGTGTCGCCGTTCCCTACAAGCGGGTCCGCCGCCAACCCTCCTCCCAATGCCACGGCCGATGCCGCCGGCGGGCAGCTCACCACCGAGGTTGTCTACACGACCAACATCTACACAGTGACGTCCTGCGCGTCTGATGTCACGGACTGCCCCGGCCGGACCACCAGCGAGGTCTCTCCCGTCTCGGTTAACACCGTATATGTCACCGCTTCGTCCGGCTCGGGTCTTCCTCCGCCGGTCCCTACCGCAAATGTCACGGGAGGCGCACCGTCCCTGCCGCCTCCTCAACCCTCGCTGTCTGCCTCTGACTCGGCCCTGAGCTCCAACTCACCCGTCACCGGCACGGGTGGCCCATCTGGGTCCGGCCTGCCTCCCCTGCCCTCCGTGAGTCTGCCGGCTGGTAATGGAACCGGCGGTGCCCAGGTTCCGGGCAGTGCTCAACCTGGCGGGCCCAACTCAGTGCCTCCTCCTACCAACGGTACCGGTATCCCCAGCGCTCCTCCAAGCGGTTCCGCCACTGGACTGCCTACCCTGCCTCCCCAGACCACCGGCTTCCCGGCAGCAGGCGGCGCCGCAGCCCCGACTGGTGGTCTGAGCAGCAACCTGCCCGTGGCCAGCGACCCGCCCGCGCCCTTTGGGAACACTTCCGTCTCCCAGACCACGCTCACTGTTGAGGCGACAACCATCCGCACCGTCATCTCTTGCGCCCCGACTGTCACCAGCTGCCCGGCGGCGTCTGAGAGCAGCGCCATCTCGGCTCTGCCTTCCGGGGCCGTCTCGACTGTTGTGGTTACCGATACTATTGCTCAGTACACCACGATCTGCCCCGTCACGGCGGCCTCCTCTCTGTCTTCTTCCATCGCATCAAGCTTCTCGTCTGCCATCACGACAGTGACTGGTAAGTTTCACTCTCAGACCACAAAAAGCCCCACCATTTTTTCACTTACACATGAATACTAATGCTCATCTCTTACCAGCGAGCGGAACCGAGTCCGTCTTCATCCCCACCCCATCAGGCGGGTCTGGCTCCGGAGCCAGCAGCAGCACCGTGGTCAACGTCCCGACCGTTGTCACCGTCACCGTCAGCGGGACCCCCTCGCTGTCGTCTTCCACTGTCCAGGTCACCACCGAGCTCCCTCCCAACAACGGCGGAGTGCCTGGTAACGGGGATGGATCATCCGGCTCTGCATCTACCAGGGTCACTGTCATCTCTGTCCCTACCACGATCCAGACTACCATCAGCGGCGTTCCTACAACAATCTCCTCGGTCGTCCCAGTCACGAGTGCGCTCGCTGTTGGCGGTGGCTCTGCCTCTGCCTCATCCACCGTGCAGACCGTGATCCCCACCGTGAGCGTCGTGACCATCACCGTCGAGGGAGGCGGCCAGACCGCCTCGACCTCGACGGGCCTGCTGACGAGCAGCGTGGTCGTCCCCGTCAGCGGCGGGGCCTCGGCGACCTCCGAGGGCAGCCCGCAGCAGCCGGCGTCGGAGACGGTGCAGACGGTGCTGCCCACGCAGAGCGTCGTCACCGTCACCGTCGGCGGCAACCAGACCGTGTCGACGTCGAGCGGCCAGCTCACCGCCACCGTCGTCGTCCCCGCGCCAGAGACCACCCCGCAGGCCACGCAGACCGTCTTTGTCACTGCGACCGGCGGCGGCGGTGGTGCTGGGGGTCAGTGCTCCGCCGTCACCGTGACCCAGACCCAGACCGTCTGCGCCGTCGATGGCGTGTGCCCTACCGGTGCTTCCAAACTGTGAGGGCTGCAAAGCCTCGCGGTTTGACAATGGCGCCACATACGGACAAGGGCGTCCTTCATTTCTTGGGCTGAGTTGGTGTTTGGGCTGTTTTCTGTTCTGGTTTCGGAAAGACCACGTGCTTTGATTCAAAACAAAAAGCCCCGGAGGCTTCTCCATTGCTTTTGCGGAGGCTGAAATTTGACATCATCAAGAACAAAAAAAGAAAAGGAGATTCCGTTTCAGATGGGGTTGGACGCTTGTGTGGTTTTACATTTGGGGGATTTTGGCTTTCACGATGTATAGATTGATGACTTTCTCTTCTCCGAGACGAACGGAATTTTACATTTCACCACGTTCTGTTGAGACGTTGTCATATTTGATCCCATACCACATTCGTAGATTGGGACAATTGAACAGCCACGCATTCGCATTCGCAATCTCCGCCGACGTGCACCATGGCCACGGCTTTTGGGCCTGTAAACCCAGCACGGTGAAGTCGTCGCCTATTGTAATCAAACCACGTCTTGCCCGAATCAGGTGGTCATCTTCACAGAAGACTAACAAATGCATTATGTCGATCTCGCTATGACAGAGACATGGCATTCTTATTTATTAGAGATAATGTTCCACCGGATGGAATGAACTCCTTTCTTCTTGTTTTCTTTTAACACGCGCAGAATGTCTGCAAGGAGTTGCAGTAGAAGTTTTACTGGTCGAGCTATGGAAGAATCGCACGAGCCCTAATACGCGGAATCTGGAGAGCAACAGGCTGAACAGCGTAGCACAAGCCATACCGATAAGCAATATGAATCGGTTCCAATTGACGTGGATTACTATGGAATGGATATATAGTAGGATGCTTTCTTGTTTTCAACTGGGGTCAGATACCGTGCCCACAAATGGCACCCGGGTGGAATAGACAGTCTCTCGCAGCCAAAACACAGGATACAACGGTCAACACTTTCATACAGCAGAGTCGAGTGACAAGAACCTTCGATCTCAGGATCTAGCTTCCCTTGTGTATCCTTGACCGATTATTGAAAGTGTTCTGAGGTCGTGGCCTCCACCGATCCGACAATGAAAGTATCTCCAACCTTGGGGCTCATGCAGTTCGCGACCTACACAGTTGACGTCCAGGCATGAAATTAAGTTCATATTGGAGCTAGCACATTCAAACGTGAGGGATATTAGGTCCTGGAGCACATTTCCACATGGAACATATCAACTTCGCTGCTTACAACCGCAGTGAAGATTCACTCAAAAGTTGGGCCATCTGAGTATCCTCTGAGGACCACCGCAAATTCTGATTCTAGACTGCAAATACAATCATTACTATGGGTAGCCGAGTTCTAGATTAATTATATATCCTTTTCGACCCAATTCCCTGATAGGCGCTTAATCGAGGCTACGAGTCTGTCGTCCTTTCATTATCGTGTCAATAGCGCCCTTCCTTCGGATGGCCTAGACCTCGTCGTGTCAAAGACGCCCTACTACCGGTACGTTCTATATTTAAGTCTCTTATGGGCCTCCAGTTCTGCTCCACCTGATGAGGTATTTAAGGGTCTGATAATGCCGTCGCAAAAGTATGCTGCCATCTCTCACATCATCTTGTCCCATCAACCTACCACGTCAGCACATCAACGAACCACCACCATGACCAGCGAGACTCTACAATTCCGCATCGCCACCCCAGACGATGCACCACAAATCCAAAACCTAATACAGTCCGCCTTCCGCGCCGAAGACACCAGAGACAGATGGATAGGGAGCCCCGAGCTCGCGTCACAGTTCCACATCGGCGCCGACGAGGTGCTAGCCAGCATCACCCGGCCCGACGGCGCGGTCCTCGTGGCCACGGACGCCACCACCGGCGCCCTCGTGGCCTCGGTCGAGGCCACGAGGCGCGGCGGCGCCGACCTCTCGGCGCGGCTCTCGATGCTCGCGGTGGACAGCGCGCGCCAGCGTGGGGGTCTGGGCCGCCGCGTCCTCGCCCACGCCGAGGACTACTGCCGGGTGAGCTGGGGGGCGCGGCGGCTGGGGCTCAACGCGCTGTCGACGCGGGAGGCGCTCATTGCCTGGTACGTGCGCTGCGGGTTCAGGAGGACCGGGGGGACGTCTGCGTTCCCGCGGGAGCGGTTCGAGGGGGTGGACCTACCCCGGGACTTGTGCTTTGTTGAGCTGGAGAAGGATCTGGATGCTGTTGGTGGGAGATAGGGGATCTCGGCAGCAGTAGGAGGAGGAGGAGGAGGGAGTGAGGGAGGGGTGTGAGGCCTGTTCATGCATGGGAGGGCGTGAGTCGAGGTTCAGGATCCAGTGTTGCTGGCACGTTCCTAGGGAGCACATGTCATGCGGCAATGACGAGGGTTAGTATTTGGAAAGGCTGCAAATGTTGGCTTGACTGCATGGATGGATGGCAACGATACTCCTGCGGTAGAAGCCAATTATAACAGTTGTACTAAGGCCTCATTGCTGCTTCCAACCCTATCAGAAAGATTGCTGAGCATGGTGTATCAAGCGGTGAAGAAATGTGTATATATGATCACGCCTATCACCTTCCCAATATTTACCAGTGCAACCAGCGGATTGCAGCTGGATGCATATGCGCCCCTTGTGACTGCCGCAACGTCCAACTCGGATTCCTAAAGTCCGAGAATTGGCATGGCGGGCGGGACGAAGCAGGTTGGATTCTGCTGCGGCCCCTTCTACGAGGAGTCTAACGTAACCGAAAGCCAGGACCGGATCTGGGGAGTTGACGGACCTCGGAGGTGCCAGTGGTGGGAGCAGGAGTCGGCCAGCCGAGGGGGCCTTTGCCGATCACTTTGGGAGGATCGAGTCCAGCACCGTGCAAGTGTTCGGAGGTAGTGCCACGGCGGATGGTGGCAAGTTTGTCCTTCCACCGGAGACGAGAAGAATGACGCAGCGGGACAGTTCACTTTGGGGGGAAGGTTCTAGATTGGGAACGGGGACTTAATGTTGTACAAGCCAAAGACACTGACTGATTCCCGAAAGTCTGCCTGCAGCCTTCGAATCCCTCCACGTCAGCGGTGGAGGTGAGAAGGGTAGGCTTGCGCGGAATCCCTCCCAAATTAAGGTCCAACTTGTTGATAATCATCTTAATCATCTTGGTGGCTCAGTGTTTGGAAGAGCTCACGCCTACAGACGAGCGGTCAGCGTTGGCAGGCCCCGATATTTCCAGTTTGTCGCCATGCTCACTGTTTCACCAACATGACGGGAAAGCACACCTCTAGTAATGTTGGGCTGACAAGTGGGTGGATGCCAGTAAGACATGTAGCTAGACTACCCGCTGTGTAGTGCATTCGTTTATGACATATTGGGGGTCTGCTATGCTGACGAGGGGTCTGTCAGGCCTTGCCTCGCTGGTCAGCCTCTCTATAGGGTGTCTGCTGCTTAACGGCCTTTCGTCTTTGTCTATTCAGTGAAAGGCAGAGCGTGCTATACGTGCATCCTGCTGTCAACTATAGCCGAGATCGTATCTGCTTCAGGGGCTGTGGGGGGGCAATCAGATAGTTCGTGGGTACTGTTACTCGCGTCCTCCCAGCCCTGCTTGCTTCCTAAGAGGATTGTCGGATCTTTCCTGTTGAGGGAAGTGGGCAGCATAGACTCGACCCAATGAGCGGAGGCACACTCAGCGTGCATCTACATACAGCGTATCATCGTGCTCTGCGGCTGCCGCGTAAGTGCCCTGAGCCCTCCCTTGCGCTCGCTGGTCGAGATAGGTATCGATTGGCGACGCGCAGCAGGAGATCCACTGTTAGGGAATCCTTTGGATTCGGAGGGAGCAAGCAGTTTCGGCCGAATTGTAAGATGCTTCCCATCTCTCGTGGGCCTGCCCGTAGCTGGCAGGCCTGGCTGTGCACTCACCGGCCTGTGTGCATAGGTGCACCTCAGAGGTCGTGTTTAATTTTGAGGGGTTCTGTACGCTTCCTGGTTTAGTCATGCTGGCTGATCAGAGACGGTGCCCTGCATGAGCACAAGGAGCCGGACGCAGAATGGCGGAGGTGTGAAGGAGCGTGTGAGGGGTGGTGAATGGTCCAGCGCGGAAGGATTCAGAAGAAGCGTTTGTTGGCGTTCAGTTGCTGACATCTGCTAAGCCTTGTTCGGAACATGGCAAATCACGACCTCGAGCCTGGCTGCAGAGTTGCACTGTCTCAGGGCATCGAGCCTCTGGGTAGACAGACACGACAGGCCACTTTCTCGGGCCCCATTAGACTTACCGTGGTAGCTATTCTTCCTCGCCAGATGGCTGGCAGCTTGAAGCTGTCAGGTCCGTCACCTTGCAGTGTGTTTTGAGTATGTCCTGTGCCGAGGCGACAAGACACCGCTGCGAGTCGGCCAGGAAGGATTACTAGGGCATTTCCAAATAAGGTGAGTGCCGGTAACACAGCAGGTCCACATCTACAGTGCAGAGGGGTGGACATCCACCCCTCCACCTTCCTCCCCCAGCAACGGTGGGCTGCCCGTTGCTCGTCGACTGCCCGGCAACTACCCAGTTCCCCGGAGCCGTTATATCGGTTCCGAATCCTAGATAACGCAATGCATTGCTCATTCTGCGCTTCGCTATTGGGCGCAGCAAGGTCGGTCCTCCTTTGACGTCGCGACGCGAGAGAGGAGAATTGTGAGGGCGAGGATGAGCGTGGGAGTGAGATTTGGGGGCGATGGGTGGCTCGACGAGGAGGGGTGAGTGAGCGAGTAGCAGCCGTCATACCATTTACCGGTGTCTTCTGCGCCATCCGTCCCTTACCCTCTTCTGAATCCTTAGCAGCATAAGCTTACTCTGTTGGGCCTTCCAGTGAGCGCTAGTCCACAACCACGCGGTGCACCCCACGGTCGGTGACTTGTAAGGCCCCGTCCGGCTTATTGCCTGACGCTCATGCCCTGGATCCTGCACCCGTCACCATCAACCCTGAGATGAGATCCAAATCTTCGGAAAGCTTGCCTCGCAGCCCACCTCAGATTTACGCGTACCGGTTTCCGTGTTGTCAGAGCACAACCTATGTAGTGTGCGTGGTGCCCTTTTCCCCTCACGATCCTTTGTTCTCGACGGGAAGGATCGGAGCACACGTGCTGGGGCTCCTTCGCGTGCCTTTTGATGCCAATTTTGCCCCCCTGGCAGCACGTCGTCGGCGCATGTCTGGGTAGGGCCCAGTCTGCACCACGCCGCTGCTTAGCCCAGACAGGACAAGTGTGAGGTGCAAGAGGCAAGCTGTGGATCGGCTCCGTCCCCGGACAGTGAGAATCCAGACTGACATGCCGCTGCCCGGCTGGTCGCTGGGTGAGAGCCCCACTTCTCGCCGCTCGGCTGGACTCGACCAACATGAGGGTACCTGCTTGGGACGGACATCGTCCTGCTCGTGAGTAGCGATATTGGTAATCTGTCCGTGTTCTCCCCCTCACCATGACCTTGAACACCTGGAAACCTGCAAAGGCATGAGTCGCCGAGACAGAGATAAGAGTCGAGCACAGGCTGGGTGAAGAAGACTCGTGTATCGCGCCCATAGTCCCTCCCTCCCCACCTCCTTCGGTCTCTTGTCTCTGGCCCGAGTCCACCCACGGCTCCGGCCATCTCCACGCTGTTTCGGCCTGACATGGTTCCCATCCACGCTGCAAGCCATATGCGGGACAGGCCGCCTATGCCTGCTCGGATGGCCAGTGCCTGGGTAATCTGGACCCCCATGCCCTCAGATCTGACACCCCCAGTGATCTACCGTCAGACCCAACGCGGGCAAAAAGACCCAAAGACCCTGAGGTACGTCCTTTTTTTTCTTGAAGAAATCCAGTCCCTTCCGCCCGCGCCTGCTGCTCTGCATGCCCTCCTGGGAGTCTGCACACCCCCCCACCCATGGCACCCCAGTCCCAGGAACCTTTAAGCTCTGGCCGGGGTATTGTATCCGGCGGCGTCCCTTTTAGTCGTGTCCTGGGTGACAGCCCACGCATCAGTGGCCAACAGACGTGGGTGGCAGGTGCTGATGGGTTGGCGTGGGCCATGTCAGCCCTTTTGTACACCTGCCGTTTGAGCAGCGATCTGATCCAAGTGCCCGCTGCGTCCCTCGTCAAGGTCTCTCGAGGAAACTCCATGCCGCCAGGGCGTTCGGACCGGAGCCTTGTCAGATCTCCTCTCCCCATGTCTTGCCCTGGCCAGATACAAGTATCGGCCAGCCTTCACCTCCCGCGCCCCCAGGCCCTCAGCATCATCTTTCACCCTTGAAATATCCCGACTTCGGCTTATTTCTTGGCTGCCATATAATTGTGTGGTCGCCTCTCACCACATAGACTCCGGCCCAGAACTCCACTCCCCGGTTCCTTTCTTATCTCCCACACGATGAATTCACCTGGTGAGCCGTCAACGCCCTCGGCCACACCGTCGCCGGTGGCCATGTCCACCTCCAACACACAGTCTGCTGCCTCTGCTCCGTCGACCAACGCAAGAGGAGCCTCCCGGCGTCCGCCCAAGCTTCGGTCGTCTTGTGATGCCTGTGGCGCGGCCAAGGTGCGCTGCGACAAGACACAGCCGCGATGTGGCCGCTGTGCAGCTGGCGGCATCACCTGCGTGTATGGCCTCTCGAGGAAATTCGGAAAGGCACCGAGAAAGAAAGCCCCGACTGAGACAAGCGCGTCCGGAGATGCGGCGTCGAAGTCCTTGACCCAGAACGCCCGCCAAAACAGCCTCTCGTGCTATCCAGACTATCGTCCTTTGTCCGGTGGCACAGCAAGGGCGGTCAAGTACGAGCCCCGTTCAGCCACCTCACCCAGCTTCGGGCTCGAGGACAGCCTCATGGCCTTTAGCAACCATACTACGGGCCACGACATGTTCATGCCGTCGCCAGACAGCATGGAAAACTTCAACGACCCCTTCTCGTTCGCGGACGCCCCGCATGGCCACAATGCAATGCTCCGAGCCGACCCACGGCACCACGGCACCGTCGACCCTCTGGACCTGACCTTCTCGGCGTCAGATTACTCATCCTTCTCCGAATGGATTCACCCGGACGAGCTGATGCACACCCCGGAGAGCCAGCCCGCCAGCGACGCTGACTCGGCGCAAATGCAGCAGCACCCACACCGCCTACCCACCTCCTTCTCGTCGTCGCTCGACTCCTTCCCGGACACGAGCCTCCTGCAGACGGACTCGCACCACTGCCAGAAGCTCGCGTACGCCACGCTCGACAGCCTCAGCCTCAGGCAGGACGGCGCGGCCGCCGCCGGGGGCGAGCAGCACCTCACCCAGACCATGGACAAGGTGCTCAACCGCAACAAGCAGGCCGTCGACAACATGAGGCAGCTTCTCGCCTGCCCGTGCTCGCGGTCCCCCCACCTCGCCATGCTGTACGCGAGCATCACCTCCAAGATCCTCATGTGGTACCAGCTCGCCGCCGGCTGCGCCAAGCCCCCCGTCGCCGCCGCCACGACGGCGACGTGGGACAGCTTCCCCCCGCTCGGCAGCACCAGCCACCAGCACCAGCACCAGCACCAGCACCAGCACCAGCCGACGCCGCCGCTGAGCGCGTCGTCGTCGCCCGCGGCCACCTCCGTCACGCCCGCGGCGAGCCCCGTGGGCACCACCGCCGCGGCAGCGCAACACAAGGGCGGCTTCGTCGTCACGCCGATGCAGTTCTCGGCGGGCGCCTTCAGCGTCGACGACGAGGCCGCGCAGGAGGCCCTCAGGACGCAGCTGCTCCTCAGCGAGCTCAAGAAGGCCGGCAACCTGATCGACCTGCTGTGCATGCAGGGCGGGGGCGGCAACTGCGGCCGCGCGGGGGAGACGGCGGCGGCCGCCTCCCCGGGCGGCGAGGTCACCGACATCTACTCGGCGCTGGGCACGTGGCTCAAGTGCGAGCTGAACAGGACCGTCGGATCGCTGCAGTCATGAGAGCCTGCCGAGGGGGTTCTTGCGGGTTGCCGATCCTCTTGTCCCCCCCTCCCCCTTTTCTGGTATGAGATCCATGATATTTCCATAAACTAAGTCGACGGCGTTGGCACGGTGGCTTCTTGTCTGTGTTTTCTTTTTGCGATTGTCCCGTGCGTGCTCGCTTTCAGTGAGCTGGCTTCTGTGGCACCAAAGAACTGTCCTGGAGGCTCTGGCGGGTGGATAAAGGGGTGAAATACAGACGGGGTGATGGATTGGTTCGGGCGGTGTTTTGTTCTTTTTGGGTCCGGTCCGTCTATCTAGACGACTGCGCTGTTTTCTTCTTCTTCTCGACGGAATTGGCTCTGCAAAATACTGCTGTACGTGGTGGTCGCAGATGTTGCTCATTTTGATGCTCCCCAGGAGGGTCGTATTTGTGTGTTTGTGCGCACACGAAAAGGGGGCCCTCGATGGCCAAGGGAGAGGCAATTGCCATGTTTAGAATACATCATGTGTGCGGGAACGAGTTGCCTTGGCGACACTTTTGGATGGATGAGTAGACGATGGGGGGGTGTAGCAAGGCGAGAGAGGCCGCAGCCATCAACTGCTGGGCCTGACCTCGACCCGGCTCTTTGACCTGAGCCGTGTCAGAACCATGCTGTGGTGTTCAACAGCTTCAATGAGACCTAGAAAGGTTGGCTTTGCACATTGCCGAATGGACTTGTGATATCTGTGCTGTGTTTGTGTTGTTGATCAGATTGTGCTGGTGACGGCGGTGAAGGGAATGACGTTGGATGGTGCCCGCCCTTGTTGTGGTGTCGGTCGTAGGTAGGGGTTCACTGCAAAATGATGTTCATCCCGCCCACCAAGCATTTCCCCCGCCTGTCCCGCACTTCGGCATTTGTTAGGCCTCCCACAGCAGGTGGGGAGAGTCCGGAGTTCTCCTCGTAATGGCACGAAACGACGGCTACCATGATATGATGACGAATATTACTTACTGAGGTATGCTCACTCTGGGTTCGCAGAATAGTCCCAAGTGACCGAATGCACCGATTCTCATTTACATGCGTATGTATGGAGAAGGGGAAGCGGGCTTCACTTTCATCAAAGCTTGGGCGCCGAGCACTCGGCCGGGACGGGAGATGCCCCGAGAGTGTGAGCTTGTCTCCTTCTGGAGAGCCTTTCAAACCAAGCAGTCCCCCCAGTGTCTTCACAACACACGGTTCCACTGTCCGGGGGTTTTCGGACTCATGACAAAAGGCCTCGTAAACACCACGTACCCTGTCTGCAAGGTGACGAGAGAGATGGCTGTCACTGGTAAAAACTTAGCCGTTGCACAAGAGAGCCAACTCAACAGAAATCTCGAGATGCCTAGGTAGCTGGACAAAGCGTGACAAACAAGTCTTGTTGTGATCATTGCAATTCATCCTCTCCCTTGATTCTATGCCAAGTGAGTTCGATTCTAAGGAGAAAAGGAGAATGACCGCTCTAGGAGCAAAAGGCGGACATCAAGACTGGCCGCGGGTGAAACAACAATTTGTCAACAAAAGATGCGAGCTTGAGACTCGTCGAATCAACGGAATGTAGCAAATGGCCAAGATCGTAGCAGTGGCTCCACTACAGCTCGACAACCACCTTCTTGAAACTGACCCCCTTCTTGTTCTGGTTTATCCCCTCTTGAATAGCCTCCAAACCCTTCCCAACCACTAGCGGAGGGGGCGCTGGCTTCAACCTGCCAGTCTCCAGTGCCTCCGGTACGAAACTCTCCCAAACGAGACTTGTAACATCATCATAGTCATGGCCGGGCAACAACATCCCCGCAAACACCATCTTAACCTGGACGTCATCCGGCAAGTCTGACGGCAAGAGCACCATCACCAGTCTCTTCGCCGAGATGAGTTTCTCAGACTCCAACCTGTCAAATATCGGCCCCAGCGCCTCTTTGAATATCCGAGGCTCAGAAATGGCGTCGTATATTCCTAAAAACTCGACTCCGCGAGTGTCCCGGAGATGTTTGACCGCCCCCACGATGTCCTCCACCACGTCGGCAGACTTGTAGTCAAACGCGTGGTCCGCGCCCAGCTCTGATCTCACGGCATCGAGGTTCCGCGCCGACGCCGTCGCGAGCACGGTCACGCCGCTCGCCTTCGCAAGCTGGATCGCCGCGGCGCCGACCGAGGACGAGCCGCCCCAGACTAGGATGCACTTGTTGCTGGGCTGGGCGGGAGAGGCGCGCGGGGCCGGCAGGGCGAGGTACTCGCGCGCGTACAGGCCCTGGGCCGCCGTAGAGAGGGCCAGGGGCAGCACGGCGGCGTCGGCGAAGCTCATGCCCGCGGGGATCCTGCTCGCCAGGGCGGAGTGGGCGGCGCTGTAGAGCTGGAACGCGCCGGACTGGGGCTTCTGGTCCATTATCCCGGTGCAGTGGCTGATAGGTCCCAAGGTAAGCATTTGGTCGGTGACGAGAATCGCTTTCGTCGTTGTGGTACTCACGCCAGCACGCGGTCGCCTGTCTTGAAGTTCTTGACCTCGCTTCCCACCTCGTGGATCTCGCCGGCAATATCCGTGCCCATGACTACGGGGAACTTGTCGACGTGTAACCCTTCTTGCATTTTCCAATCGAGGGGGTTGATTGCTACCGCGTGGTTCTTGACGACGACCTCAGAGGGTCCTGGCTTGGGCATATCCGCCGCGCCAATGGCGAGTGGGGCATCCTTGCCTTCCAACCATGCTGCTTGGTTTGACGCCATGGTGTGAGTTCGGTATAGGTTTCACTGCAATCAGTGGTTCTATAAACCAACATGTGCAGAGTTGATCGAAAGGGGATCTCTTTATAGTGAGAAGGCGTTGGGTGGGCTTAATAATCGGACTTAACAGGTTCGGAATTAACTAGCGCTCTCATGTCATGAGTAAACACCCCAGGTACTAGTAAGCAGCTGTCGGATACAATTTTAACCCTCTTGGGAAAAACAGTTTCCGATCTGTAGCCTGTACCACAAAGGTATTGTCAGGCTGCAGGTTTTGAAATAAGCTACGGCCATACTGTGGCCTGGTCCTCCCTATATCCGAATGAAACTTCTTCCTCGAAGCTTTGATAGCTGGCTCCTTTTGCTGCAGGACTAGTAGCTGTAACGAACGATGATACATCGTCCATTGGTTTCAGAGTGGAGATGTCAGACGATATCGGAGTCAATAGACCAAGGCAAGATCTTGTCAACCGATTTCGACGGACATGGACTACCATTGAAAACAATCGCCACACCGGTTCTATCGTGATGTTCGTTGTTGAGTATATACAACTTCCCGGCCTTTATGCAATGGGCAATGCAAATCCACGGTGCATGACTATCAGTATTTGCACGTTCCCATGAGTCTCATTGGCAGCGATTCTTCTTCCTTCTCAACGACATCGTCGTAGAACCTCCATTGGGTCTTATAGTCACGACTCAGGTCCTTCTTCAACAGCAGCGCTCTGAGCAGTTCGATCGGCATCTGATTCGCCTTCAGCACGCGGTCATGGAACTCCTTCTCCCCCAGTGCCTTCGAACCCAACACCTCCTGCCTCAGAGCATAGAGCTGCATCGCACCGAGAAAGTAGCCGGCCTGGTAGAGCGGGCTGTAGTTGCCATTGAGAGACCGCCTGACCTCTCCCTCCGCCGTGGCCCGCTCGTGGCCGACCATGTCCACGAGCAGGTCGATGCACTCCTGGGGCGTCAGCTGGCCCAGGTGGAACTTGAGGCTGAAGAGGATGCGGGCGCAGCGGTGCATCCGCCAGAAGAGCGTGCCGACCCTGTCCTCGGCGGACGCGAAGAAGTCGGCCCGGTCCCAGAACACCAGCTCCCAGTACATGGCCCAGCCCTCGACGTAGAAGGGCGTGTCGAACAGCCCGCGGTACGGCCTGTGCCGCTGCGCCATGAAAAACTGCAGGTGGTGGCCGGGGATCATCTCGTGGAAGGCGGTCGCGTGGCTCAGGTGGGGCCCGTTGCCGCGCATGCTCATCAGCTTGTCCTCGTGGGACATGCCCGCCGTCGGGTAGGACACGGTGATGGAGGGCCCGCCGAGGAAGAAGGGGTTGGTCTTTTGATCCCTGGGGCTCATCATGAACATGCGCCAGGTGCTTTCTGCCGTCCTGGGCACCGTCACCAGGTCGTGGTGCCTGACGTACTCGGTGGCCTCCACGATGAGCTGCTTGACCAGCGATGGCTGTTTCCCCGGCTCAACGTAGATGCCTTGGACGTGGCGCAAGGCGGCTTTCCAATCGTCTTTGTAACCGAGCTCGGCGGATGCCTTCTTCATCTCCTTCTCGCACCAAGCGTACTTCTCGTCGGCAATTTTCAGGAGCTCCTCGGGGATGTATGGAATCATCTCGGCCTCGAGCTCGACGAGCAGGCCATCCCTACCAATCGGCTCGCCTACGATTTCATCCTCCTCGTTTGGGTGCATGCCCGCCAGTTTGGTCTGGATCACAGGCACCAAAGATCGGAGAGACTCGATGAGAGCCGAATATGGGGCCTTGACCCACCAGTCATATAGAGGAACGTACCCGGCGAGAAAGCCATCAAATTCAGCGAGGTACCTCATGAGTTGGTCGATGTTCTCGAGTGCCCGGTAGGCCGCTTCCTTGCTGACCTTCAGCTTACCGGACGCGACAAGCGCCGCCGTGTTGTTCACTTTGCTTGTCGCGTCGTGCATCACGGTGGCCACCCACTTTGACTCCAACTCGTCAATCCTGGCGGCTTGCCGGAGTTCCCAAAGGTCCACCAGTTCAGGCGCGAAAGGCAGGAGAGGGGAAGCATCCTCGTTCCTCTTCTTCTCCAGCTTCAGCTGCCTGGCTCGCCTGTTCAGGTAGCCGTGGAGGAGCAGATAGTCGACCCGGGCGTCCTGGTCATAAGCGTCGAAAGGTGCCCGCTCCAGCGACTCAAGTTCGTGCGCGTAGAAGCTCGAGAGTGAATCATACCGCTTGCTTGAGAAAGAGATGGCCCAGAAGGTCTTGATGTCCTCTTCGTCGGCTGTGATGCGGACAATATGGTCCTGCATTGTTTCGATCTCGGGCTCGGGCTCACTGTGCACATGACGTTCTCCACGGGCGACGGTGGCTGCGATGAGGTGGGCTTGCCAAGTGGCACATGGGCCCGGCGATTCGGGCGGAGTCAGTTGCTCGCCGTCTGAGGTTGAGGAAGTCTCCCAGTCAGGCTCTCCCCTTTCTTGCGTCGTCGAATGCTGACCGATCTGGTCATCGCCATCGGCAGCGAACAGCCCTGATGTGTTGCTAGAGCTCCCGTCCGCGTGCAGTGAGCATGAGGAGAATGGGCATATTTGCCGTCCAGGCGCCACCGAATTCGATGTCCAGCGGCACGCCATCCTGAAAGGCAGGTAGCTTTACTATACCTTGAATCTGTCCAGCGAATGGGGACGACGAGAAGCACGGCCGGCTCAGAGGAGAGGTTAGGAGGACAAATGCCCGTGGCACTCGGGAGCATGCTTATCAGCAAGCAGTTCCCTCGGCCGGGCGTTGTGGGGAATTCGGAGATTGGCCCCGGCCCTGGCCCTGGCGGCACGATCCCTGGTTGTCGGGGACGACGCGGCGTTGAGACGCGAACACAAACATGGAGAACAGGCAGCTGAAAGTCGGCGTCATAGCGTCCATCGGACATGGACGTCATTCAAGGGATTCCAGCCCCAGCTACCTAGGAACGGATAGGCTAGTGAATATGCTATGAGATGTGACAAGTCAATGATGGCACACGTAGCTCATCTCTGCCTCTGAGCCCACGCACCTCCGCCCGTGTCAGACAAGGCACCTAACGGTGAAAGTTACCTAGGGAGTGGAGGTTCTGGAAGTGGTGTGACTCTCCCAATTGAACACCCAATTATCTTCTCAGCTGGGTGGCAGTATCAAGCTTTCTCGTTCATATCACCGGGCCCTATCTCCGGCGCTTGCGGCCCTCCTCAATGCCTAGCTACCACCACTTGTACCTGAATGCCCGATCGAGTCACCCCGCCCTCATCTCCTAGCGTTCCGCATGGGTCTATCAAGTCCGATCCTCAAGCTCCACTTCACAGGCATCACAACTTACGAGTATCTGTCTGCCTGCACTTACAACTTCAGAAATATATCAAGTCCTGAGCTCGAAGGTCTCTTGTATCACCCGGAACTTATAACTTATTCAGAGCAACACATCCGGGAGGCATTCTTATCCCTGATCACAAGTCAACACCGTCGTTGGAAATGTCGTGCCCAGCCTGCTTTTCTGGCTCCGAACATGATGGAACCCCAAAGGGCAAGGTGATCAAGCTCCACGGCTTGGACACCTACGTTACCGAGCCACCAGAGGGCAGGCCTGCCAAGGGCATCATTGTCATCATCCCCGACGCGTTTGGCATCGACTTCATCAACAACAAGATCCTCGCCGACATCTACGCTGCCAAGGGAGACTACAAAGTCTACCTCCCTGACTTCATGCTCGGTATGTTTCAACCCATCCATAACATGCACTTGGACAGACCCAGCGCATACTTACGCTCTGTCCAGGCCACTCGTGCCCGACCTGGCTCTTGGCCAACATGGACGGCATCATGAAGAGCGGCAGCTACCTCGCCATGCCCTACCACATCTTCTGGGCCATGTGGGGGTTCATCCCCTGGATCCTCCGGAACCGCCCCGGGAAGAGCTTCCCCATCGTCAAGAAGTTCTTCGCGGACCTGCGCAGGGAGGCCGGCCCGGCCGGCCCGCCCGTCGGCGCCGCGGGCTTCTGCTGGGGCGGCAAGCACGTCGTCCTCCTCGCCGACGCGCAGCACAGGACCGACGACGGGCGGCCCATGTACGACGCCGGGTTCACGGGCCACCCGAGCTTCCTCGAGATCCCCAAGGACATCGAGAGGATCGCCCTCCCGGTCTCGATCGCGGTGCCGGAGCTGGACAACCAGTTTTCTGTACCCAGGGATATTGATATCATCAACAAGATCATGGAGGGCAGGCCCGAGGCCACCAAGGGCGAGGTCCGGGTGTACGACAAGGTCGGCCACGGGTTCTGCGTCAGGGCGGACATGAAGGTTGATGATGTGGCCAAGTCGGCTGCTGAGGCGGAGGACCAGGCTATTGCTTGGTTCAACGCCAAGTTGGGCAAGACCCTGTGAGATCCGGACCGTCTGGGAGATTGGCTCGGCCTTGATTCATGAGACCCGTTCTTTTACTGCAGCTCTACCTCGAAGCCCAGACTGTATGGTTTGGCTCAAAAATTGTTTCTGTGTGCTGAAGGGGATATCATTGGTATCAGTGTCTCGGGAGACGCGAAACTTTCAATATCAGTAAGCGGTGTACTGGGACGCGAAGATTGGGTTCCCTATACCCCCAGATATCAACAAAGCTGTGCGTGCAGCACGATGACTTTCTGCTGGCTTCACAACCGGATTCACAAACCCTGGTCCTAGTTGCGTGATGCGGGTGACATAGGTCTTTGATCCGAGTGATGAAGTCCGAATCATTTCTTTACTTTTGAGCTGTGTGTTTCTTGTTGCTATGAAACTATTCAAAACGCATTGCTCTCACGATCAATGTGTCCACTTGGCCTCGGAACAAACAGGCTGCCGTTAAACCTGTCCGACACGTACTGTCGAATGGGCTCGAACTTCCGACATGTGTGAACCGCGTCGGTTTTCACGTATTCGCTGTGATAGCCTTCGAAGTACTTCAACGGGATGACGGCCGTGCTGCCCCAGCACATGATAGATTGACGCAGATGGTCTATACAGTGTTCTACATTGTGGTTTCTCATTAGTCATAGGTTCAGCTGTCCCGTAGGAGAAGAGAGCATACCCGTGTGTGTTGGCCCATGGATGGGGAGGGCTGGGTAGACGTCGCGGTGCAATGCTTGCCTTATTTGATTGAGGCAGTGGAGCTGATGAAACATGTCGAATCTGTTGTGTTGAGGTTAGCCAAATGTTTGTGCACTCAATACCTAGGGTTTGGCGAGCGAAAAGGCTCACCCTCCAGTGTAGCCGGATCTGTGGTGGTCCCGGTAGTCTTTGTAATCGTCGCCCCAGAGGCTTTTCGCTTCCGATTCAGATATCGAGAAGTATCTGCCCCATAACATTTCCTCCCAAGCATGGTCTATGCCTTTCGTCGTGGCTCCGACGTAAGCTTTGTCCGCGGGATCCGTAACCAGGAACTCGCGACCGTTCTCTTCGAAATCGATTGCTGATTTGAAGCGAACTTGTTCTAGCTGAATTGAGTCCGCAGGCACTACATCGCGAGCCGGGGTCAGTCCTCGCGGTGTCGTTGCCGAGTTCTGAGGAATTGTGCGGTGATTGCATGCTGGCTTACAGAGCTTTTCTTCTCGAACCCCAGTCTCGTACTGGCCCATCCCGTAGTAATTTGACTTAATATCAATCATTACCAGTGTGAAAATCACCCCTGAAAAGAAAGCACCAATGACACCTAGACCTATCAGGATGGTTCCTGATGATCTGGCCGCGCTGCCTGTCGAAGAGCTCAAGTGACCTGGTGGATGGGGGTATGCGCTGTCCCCCTTCTCGGCATCCCTACCCAGAAGTTGATACTTCTGAGGCGACATTACTACAGAGTATTTTGGTGGTAAGAGAAAGGTGTGACGGTGGAGGCGAGACAAGCATACAGATAAATTTGATCAGTGCCACCAGCTGCCGATAGGGCATTCTGAGATGATTCTACAACGACATTAGTTCAGAGAATGAAAAGTTTTGTCCTGCGGCATACCAGCAGAAATGCCCACGGCGGTGACATATGTCTCAGAATATGATATGGCACAGCAATAAGTCTGAGACCTTCGTGAGCATTTCTCAGGCACCCGTTCTGGTCTCAGCTGTTCCCTGCCAGCAGCATGTTGACACATTGTCAGTCAACCATATGCTACCCGATGAAACAGGGCGAGGCTCGTCTGACACAAAACTGCCGGTATGATGCTTGCGGAGATCCAAGACAAGCATTATAGGACTTGCAGGAACTGACCAACCTATAGCGCTGGCGGTTAAGTGGGGTAAGGTATCCGACGGCATTGCGCATAGATCGCAAAGCCGCGATGAGCACTTGAATTTACAACACTATCCGTCTCATATTTCATCAAACGTCCATCCAAGCTTTGCTAGCCGACGGGCCTAATCATTCAGGGTTGATATGGTGACCTCTGATAGTGATCCCTCATATGAGTTCGTCTCAAAGTCATCTCAATCTTCTCAAAGTTCCAGTCCCCTATAGACGCCAGGAGATGTCTTCGAAAAAACGTGAGGACTAGAAACTTCCCCTCTTCTTTTCCAACGGCGTCAGTTTGATCCTCATACTGCGCTTTTGAGTTCTTGCTGGCTAGCAAGGGGCTTCAGTTCAGTGTACTAAGGCTGGGTTGGGATCGCACATGGTCGGCACAGATGTGATGATGGCATCGATTGAGACTCGTAAATATAAAAAGAAAACATTTCTTCGTATCAAACCACTCGGTTCACAAGGGGTTTTTAGACCAATTGTATTGCATCCACCGACCTATCATAATTACCTCAAATTTTCTACTCTACTCATTGTCCCACTGGCTGGAACAGAGTCTCAACACTTCCAATATGAAAAGCTCTGCATTCGCAGTCATCTCGGCCTTCGTGCTCGTCGCAACAGCCGCTCCTCCGTCCAGAGGTCAAATTGCACAGGGCGAAGTACCTGACTGCGTCTCGACCCAATCGTGCGCCGACGGGATCCACGCTCCCGCCGGCAAGCGTGAACCCGCGATCCCCGGCTTCGACCCTGAGAGCATAAGAAAGACGCTGGAGTCACCACCAGCTCAAGATTAATGCATTCATGTGGCAAACGAGGCATACGAAGAGAACCACTCGGTTACATGTCTATCATCCTGTGACGCCGAGACTTCGGTGTCAATCACCTGAGGTGCGAATGGTCTGAAAGGTTGGGATTGGGAAACACTCCTTTCAATTGATGGGTTGTAGGGTCATAAGAAGTCGAAGGAAGGGGAAATTTTGATACTCATGGAATGAATAGCTTGTTTGTTCCGGCATCTGAAATCCGTTTCTTCTACATGTGAGGTCAAACAGGACACGTTCTCGAGTCTAAAGCGGCATGCGGATCTGGGTCAATTGAATGAGATTGTATCAAAGTTCAGATCTGAGTTAACTGGACTATATGAATTGAACACGGAAGTAGAACGACGTTCGTTGTGTATATCTGACACTACTAGTCCAATATGTATTCAAGGCTCGGGTTGGTTATGGTCTAGTTGACAATGTGTCAGTGGCTAGTCTTTGGACTCCGAGTTATTGCCTTCGTTAAGGAGAAAGGAATTGTATCCACCCATGGGAAAGCCCAATAGAAAGTCGTCAGCGCAGTGCTATGTACCAGTGGGTATAAGAAGTGAGGTAACAACAAAGCCATTGATTGAATAACAAGAACTCATGCTGAGAGCGGGACAATGAAGTCACCTGTTGCACTCCAAGACGGTCATCTGGCTTCTTGTATATAAGCCTCAACTCGATCTGAGCTCGCTACTCTTGAAAAAAAAATCCAACGATCACATCTGTGCATCTAGACATTTGATCTACGACACTACAATCTCGATTTCTCACAACACAACTAGACGAACCGCACAGCACAATGGCACCCGTCATAACCCTAGTCAGACACGCGCAAGGTTTCCACAACCTGTACCGCCAGCAGTATCGCGATGACCAAACACTTATTGACCCGACGCTCACGGAACTTGGGAAGAACCAATGCCTCGATGTTCGCAACCAATTCCCTCACCACGCCAAGGTAAGTCGCATTCTGGTCTCACCGTTGTTTCGCACAATTGAAACGGGCTACCACTGCTTCAAACCGGCGATTGACCGCGGCGTCAAGATTGCGGCCATGCCCGAGGTTACGGCGAATGCCGCTGAGGGCTGCAACCGCGGGCACGCACCGGAAGAGATCATCGCATGGGCCAAGGAGACCTTCGGAAGCGATGTTCTCGATGAGGAGAGTTTCCGATGGCTGGTCCCTTACTGGTACAAGAAGTCGGAAGGTCTGTATGAACACAACGAAGAGAAGCTGAGGATGCGCGCTTCGGTGGCCCGCCAAATTATTCAGAAGGAGGCGAGCTCTGCTGGCGATGACTCTCACATTGTTGTTGTTAGCCATTGGGAATTTTTGCCATATCTCGTGGGAGACGACAATCCCGGGCCTCAATGGAAGAACGCCGAGTGCCGTTCATACACCATTGAGGCTCGAGCGGATGGTGAAACTACTTTAGTGCGGATCGGCGAGTGAGGTGGTCGTTACATAAGAACGACCCCATTTCCTCAATTACATTGTTCTGGAGTTTTAGGGTAGGTACAGATTGTAAATAAACAAACAATTAGTAGAATGGTTCCTATTTTGAGGAAAAGCGAATGCAACGGTGACAAACAACATAATTGGTCTTCGATTTTAGAATCAACGAACTATCTACAAATCTCCTTTTTCTTGAAATCAATTTCAAATTTGTAGAATGCCCTACCCAATACTGATGTCATTCGCCCATATGAGCAATGTATGAGAACGCCGCCATACAGCTATAAGTGGTCTCATTTCTAATCTGTACACATATGCTTCTTAAGCAGTATGCATCCAATCCCTTCATGCAGTGATAAACGCTTAAACACCTATACAGCTATAATGCATTGTTACAAAGTCAATTAGCCGACCTGGATCAGCAAGCAGACTCTTCCATCAGCCGGGCGCTGCAAAGAAACATTATCGTGAATTGTGTACAACTGCGTAGTGTACTCTTTCAAAAATGCTCTCATCCATGTAATAATGGGGCTTACACAAACGTTGGGAGGACGGGCACACGGTTGGTCCCAAGCCGTGCTGCCACTGACAGCAAGGTTGGTGGGCCAGAACATTGGTGAGCTGGCCCAAAGGGTTATCAAAGTGGTTCAATGGTTCCTCCCGCTTTCTTAATGGTCTTTGATCAGTTTCCAGAGCTCCCGCTAATTCACAATGGCACAATAGAAAGTGCCCGTGTCTCAAAGGACCTCTTATCACCTTGGCCAAGCTAAAATAGCCCGATTTGCTCACCTCTGAAATCGAATCTGCTCATTGTCAACAATTCCAGAAAACTCGAAAAACAATCAAAACCTCAAAGAAAAGTAAGTTCATCTTCTTTCTTAAATTCACAGTATAGAAGTACCCTTACACACCAACATGTGTCGAAAGACATGGACCAATACAAATCACGCCGCATGCGGGCATACCCGCTGGCGCTGCTGGTCCTTCCAGATCTGTCCCTCAGCTAAGCCTTGCGAATATCGAGAAAGGCCTTCGAACTTCTACAATCTTGACAAGGTCAAGTTGGAGTCTCGTCCTTGCGTGGAGTGCAACGATCGATACTGGCAGTGCCCTGCGTCATCTAAGTGGAGTCTCAAGAAAGAGTACAGGTAGACTTTTATGGGCTGAGATGTAGATTAGCCTGACTGTAAGACCATGATAGTAGAGATTATATGGGCGCACGAGGTGGAGTTAATGTTTGAGCGTGTTTCTGCATAGCGGCAGGCGTTGGACTCAAATCCTCTTAATAGACTATCTTTTGAATACATTGCCAAGCAATATTCGTCATTTACAAGCCCGGTGTGCGTAGCCAACCCGTATCGCAGATAGAACTGGAAATAAACCTGGCTCGCCCGCGTGCCGCGTTCTCCCTTTGTGAAGCCATTCGGCAATCAACTTGGCTTTGTCTCCTCTTTCCATCTATCACTTGACTCGCGATGATTATAACTCCCACCTGGCAGCCTGCAGCTTGCAGCTATTCGCCTATGTTCAGCCAAATTGGCTCATTCATGCAGTTGACCGCATTTACGCGATGTGTGCTGCGGTTCCATAGTATCTCATGTAAAACAAGGAGGCAGCATCATGCATCATGACAAAGCCGTCGACGGCGACGCTTTGTGAAGACAGGATGCCGCGGCAAGAATGAACACCGCCTTGGTTGTCTCCCGGTCTATTGCAGGCGCATTCTTCGCGTACATTCAATAGCACAAAGCATGTCTGGTCGGTGCTTATTGTGTCACAGCAAAAGTCTGATGGAATAAGCCCATTGAGGGAAGCATCGATTCGGGCTGGAATAGATATCTCAGAGACTAAATGAAGCAAGGTTAGCTGCATCAACTGGAAAGCTTGTAGATTAGCTATCAGTAAATCTCGCATAATATGCATCTACGTTGACGTGCAAAGTGGGATATCTGTCGTGGTTGTGACACTGTCCAAACCGGCCTAGAAGTTTATTGGTTTTGCGTGATTGCTGGCACTGAACACGTAATTGCTGCATGGCTTGCGCGACCACGAAACCGGCATGAAATGTACGATAAGCGCGCACTGCACACAGGAAGTGAATTATAAAAAGAAGATCAAGATTTCAGAACTTGGGCAATACCTCAATACAATAGTCGTGCTGCCCTTTCCTTCCCCTGTGATACCTGCTGTGAACAACCCCCCAAACCCCCCTCCACATCACGAGCCGACACGCTAAGATTTTTCTATCCTCGTGTGTGAAAACAGCAAGGAGCAGAGAAAAAAGAAGAGGAAAAAAAAAAGAAGTTGTTTGAGCATGGCCGCAAAAGCCCGCCGTGTAGCCGTGATCGGTGCTGGCCCTTCAGGCGCCATTGCAGCCGATGCCTTGGCCAAAGAGCAAGCTTTCGAGACCATTCGGGTTTTCGACAGACGCCCCGTGATCGGAGGGACATGGTGAGTTTCACCGAGGTGTCTCGCCTCTGACGGTGGTAACTGGTATATGAGCAGGCTGCACACTCCTCACCTGCCACCCAAGATTCCCTCTTTACGCGAACTTTTAGAGGGAAAGGCCGACAAGGCTGTGCAAGTGCCGGCCGAGCTGCCCGCCGATACCCCAAAGTCCGAGGCCGTGAACAGCCACCAGCTGCGCTACTCAGACTCGGCCCAGCATGAGCATTTGCATAGCAATATCATCCCTGAGATCATGAGCTACACGCAGGAGCCATTCCCTGAACAACTGTCTGAGCGAACGCTTCGGCAGTACGGCCCGGGCGCCCCCTTCCGCCACCGAGAGACGATCAGGGGCTGGGTCGAGAACATTTTCGTCAAGAACGGCACCGAGAAGTTCTTGGAGCTTGGAACCACTGTGGAGAAGGCCGTCAAGGAGGGTGACGAGTGGGTACTGACGCTGCGGAAGGAAGGGCCCGGGAAGGACTATTGGTGGAGGGAATGGTTTGATGCGTTAGTGGTAGCGACTGGCCACTACAATATTCCCTGGTTCCCCGAGGTTCCTGGGCTGGCCGAGTACGACGAACGATTTCCTGGAAGAATCATACACAGCAAGCACTTTCGAGGTGCTGAGAAATTCAGAGGAAAGGTGAGGAATTCTTTCCTGGAAAGCTTCCTACGGCCAAAATGCTGACAATGCTTTTCAGCGGGTCATTGTCATCGGCGGATCAGTGTCCTCACACGAGGTACTGCACGAGATCCTGCCGCAGGCGCAACACCCGGTCTACGCATCCATCCGTGGAGAGCCCATCCCAGCGTTTGGCTGGGCGCCGTTCAAGCACCCCCACGTTTCGATCCAAAAGCAGATCAGCAGCCTCGACCCATTGACGGGCAAGGTCTCCTTCGCCGATGGCACCGATCTAAACGACGTCGATCACATTGTGTTTGGGACGGGTTATACCTTCTCTCTGCCATGGCTACCTCACGTGCAGAAGCGCATCAGCAAGGCTTACCGTCGCTTACCCGGGGTTTATCAGCATACGTGGGACATTGAAGACCCGACTCTGACATTCGTTGGCATGGTAAGTTGAGAACCGAACATTGGTCACGGGGTATGTGACTTCAGCTAAACCATGTGTAATTACAGCTAGGAGGAGGGTTCACCTTCCGTGTCTACGAATGGCAGGCTGTCGCGGTTGCTAGACATCTCGCAGGTCGCGCCAAGCCCTTGCCGCCGACGGCTGAACAGCGTGAGTGGGAAGAGCAAAGAGTAGCCAAGTTCAAGGGAGGTAAAGAACACTACTCTATTGCTCCCGACTTCGGTTCCTTCCTCGAGTTCCTCCGAAACATTGCGAGCGATCCCGAGCCGGGGACCACAGGGCGCGCATTGCCGCCTTTTGATAAGAAGTGGCTCGATGTTTGGACGGGTATGGTGACGTACAAGATTAAGGGATTTGAGAGGGAAGCTAAGAGGGCTGAAGAGGAGTTGAGTAGGTCCAAGGCTCGGCTGTAGTACTGCCAGCCCTGTATTTGTGTGGAACACAAATTAATTACTTCATTTGCGGATTTGGAACTTCACAGACAGTCTCATTCAAACGACAAGATTAGATACTTTGAGACCGAGAAAACCCGTAATCACCTCTGACTCCTGTGTTTTGCAGGCAGCAGAATCAAGCACACAGTCTCTGGAAACCATGGCGGGATTGCTCTGATTAACAGCATACCCTTCATGCGAGTCTCGAGGACAATACATTAGTATCTCATATAATCCTGAATTCACTGGCGCATATTCACTTCGGTATTAGGACAGATGTGGTAGAAAAGCCACGAAAAAGCAAGCCGGAATAGATCGCGACGTAGTGCAGGTACTTGATGCAAGTTGGCTCGAGAATATAGTCAGTTCAAACCTGTCTCAGCCTAGAAAACATAGAGACGAACATCGAGATTGGACTCGGCGAGGAATGGATGCTACTATCGTAGACCATTACACTGGGCCGACAAAGACGTCAACCAACTATGCAACTGCAATGTTGAGTGGTCAGCTTGGTGGCGCGAGTTCAAATCGTCATCTACGTCCCTTGCAGCAGTGGGAGTAAGCACTTGCCAACCAAATGCTACACGTACCAACCTCAAAAAGGATTATCGTGTCACACAACTCTCGAACCAGCGCCTTGGCAAGTAAAATTGCCCTACCTCTGTGGCTGATGAGATCCTTCTCTCCCCAACCAACTCCTCAGCTCCAGCCGAACAACTTGTCCGGTTGCACGACAGCAAGCAAAATGCTACCTTCTCTTGTATTTTCGTTGGCAGTGGCCTCATCGGTCGAGCTTTCTCGTGCCTTGGTTCTCGAGCCTGCTGACTTCAATGTCACGCAAGCCCTCATCAAGCAGGGTGTCAACATATCTGCAGTCCCCGCACTCGCTGCCCTCACGGACCGGAATTCGGTATTTGCCTGCAGTATCGCTGTAGGTCACGCGCTCCATGTTAGTACGGTATGATTGATCACTGATACAGATAACTGGAAAGTGTGAATCTCTTCAAGCCGTTTATGGCGACGATGCTGTGGACTTGAACAACGAGCAGAACTACGCCAGCTTCACCGGGGCCTTCTGGTCAGAGCTGCAAGCAGAGGTCAACCCTCATTGTATCTTCTACCCCTCGTCATCATCTGCCGTCTCGGTTCTCGTTCTTCTTTCGAGACTGACGCGGTGCCCATTTGCTGTCAAGAGCGGTGGACATGGCGCATTTGCTGGAGCCAGTAGTATCGAGGGCGGTATCACCGTGTCGTTGAGAAACCTCGACAGCATCACCTTATCGGCCGATCGTAAAACTGCATGCATTCAGCCTGGGAATACTTGGGGCACTATATACTCTGACTTGGCAAAGTATGACCGGTCAGTCATTGGAGGGCGGGTTACACCAATAGGCATCGGTGGATTGACCACTGGAGGAGGCATATCCTTTTTCTCTAATATCTACGGATTTGCTTGCGACAATGTTGCTAGCTACAAAGTGGTGAGCTCTACGGGGGTATTAGTCACTGCGAGCCCAAGACAGCACTCAGACCTATATTGGGCACTCCGAGGTGGGGGGAACAACTTCGGAATCGTGGTGGAATTCGAATTGGGGACCATCCCTCTCCCAGGAGGAGAGCTGTGGGGAAGCTCAAGGGTCTACACAGAGGACCGATTCCCAAATCTCATTGATGCGTTTGAGGGCCTCATCGACGAGTCACCTAGCGACCCCAATGCTGGGACCTGGCTGGCCTGGATCCTGAACGATGGGGTCAGGCTCGCGGCAGCCGAGCTCTGGTACGCCAAGCCCAACGGGCAGAACGCTTCGATTTTTGACAGTTACAACCGCATCCCCACGATCTCTGACAGTTCTGGGAACAGAACCCTCGCGAATTATACAGCGTCAGTTGCAGAGAGGAATCCGTACGGCTATCGCGAGTGCTACTATGCTATATCCATCAGGGCATCTCGCGCGGTAGCTCAAGCAGCCACAGACATTTTCTATGATGAGGTAGTCGCCGTTGCGGATGTAGCAGGTGCGAACCCTGCGATGGTATGGCAGGGGATCACAGAAGGTGAGTCAAAGGCACTGCATTGGGGTTTGAATCCCGGCACCGCATGCCCATCCAGAAAGGAAAAGCTGACGGCTCCCACGTCACAGGCGTGCTCAAGGCCACCAAGAAAAATGGGGGAAACCCCCTCGGTCTTTCAGTGGAAGACGGCCCTTTCTACCTCATTCAACTTTCATGTTGGTGGGAGAATGAAGAAGACGACGCAAAAATGTACCGGATGATCTCCACAGTGCTAGAGAGGATCAAGGCTGCAGCCGTATCCGAGGACGTTCAGAACGATTGGGTCTACATGAACTACGGGAGCCAGTTCCAGGATGTGATCAGCAGCTACGGGCCCGAGAATAAAGCCGCACTGAAGAGGATTGCAGCCAAGTACGACCCCACGGGTGTATTCCAGAAACTGCAGCCGGGATACTTCAAGCTTGACCGGGCGCCCGTGCCAGATACGGATTACTTTTCGTTCTAATGCGGTCTCCTTGGAAGTTTAGCGACATCCTCTCAGTGTTCGAACAAGAGGCTAGAAGGACAAGTCGGCGAATATGAGGAAGGGCGTTCACCACTGGGCAACAGCAGATAGATAAGCACCGATAGAATCGCACCATCGGCTAATGCGAAGGCGCGTCAGCATTCTTTCCAACAATGCTAGATGTGAAGCTACCAGATTAATCAATTCCACTGTTAGTCCTACCTGTCTGTCTCTTGGAAACGAATCATCTTCCATTGTCTTGGCTGGTTGTACCGAGTGGTACTGATCTCGATTCTGCTGCGTCTCTTGAGTGTAACTGTGGTCTTGACGCAAAATGCTGCCCCTGACAGAGATGGAGGTGGGAGCCTTGCCACTCTCCTAGGCAGAAAGATGACAGGCCACCATTCAAGAGCGGCGGGCGATCTTGTCTGGCGGCGGACGGCGGCCCCCGATACAAATTGAAAACATTCGAGAGATCGCTGCGATAGATCCAGGGTTCTACTTAACCGTAAAGGTGTATGTCTTTTCTCCTGCCAGCAGACCCCCCTGGCGACCGTTCTAGCTGGGATCCTCAGAATCGGACGCGCGAGGTACAAGAGGCCAGGAAGTTTGGGAAAGGATGGATGCGAAAGCGGGCGGTGTTGTTGGTGTGGTGGTCAGCAGATTGCGCCTCGGCTTCCGGACTGCCGGTGTGCGCAACAACTTGAACATACAACAGCACGCCATGTCTCACACTGTAGATCTATAGACACAATTGGTCACAAATGGGAGGATGCAAGGCAGCGATATCTACGCGGAGACAAGTACCAGCTTCTGCATTTTCCTTACGTATCTCTATCAGACTAGTACAGCGACATGCCCAAAGCCGTTGCTAGACCCAATTGAAATGTTGATGACTGAGTAGTATTAAAAGTATTTTGCACACTCATCCTTCTAGTGCCAGCGTACAAACCAAACTTCTCTGCCATCGCTAAACACTGGTACATGTAATTCTGGTTGACATCTAGTCATCCCACCAGCGCTATGCTTTCGTCCAATCATTCATGATGCTATGCGTTGAATCGTTTTAGAACCAGTTAAAAGTTAAAATTTCAAAGCTTGAGCTTCTCCATCTTGCGCAGCTTCTTGCCGAACTTGTAGAACACTATCGGCAAGGGGATCATGAGCGCGCACAGGAACCCCAACAAGGAATTGCCCCAGCCCAGGCCAAGCGTCTCGTACATAGGAGGGCCTGCAAGTGGCAGCAGTGCACCGACAAGACTCCGGAGCTCCGTGTTTGCCGCAATCGCGGCGGCGGCGTACATGGGGTAGCAATCGACGAGGTACCTGGGTAGTAGTCAGCGCCACGCCGTCGGTAAGACCTTGGTGGACCACAATAGACGGGAACGCTTACGTTGTGACGGGCAAGAAAAGCCCCATGATTCCACAGCCATAGGGGATGAGACTTAGTATCGGACTGATCCAGTGCACCTTGTACTGCGCTGTCCAGCCGTACCAGAAGAAGGTGATTGGAAGCAGCCACGAGAAGCCAATCGACATGGCAAGCCTCATCTCGGGCTCGAACTCGCCATTGTTCGCCTTGGCGAGCTTGATGACGGACTTGTCCGAGTAGAGGGTAATGACTATCCACCCCAGTGTCGTACCGGTGCCCAGGCCGAGGTACACCAGCCCGGTGAGACCAGTGCTGAAGCCGTAGGTCTCTTGAAACACAGTGGGTATCGTGGTGAAGAGGAGGTAGAGCGTGCCGTACGTAAACGAGATGTAGATCGTCAACAGCAGGACGATTGGGGAGAGAACGAGCATCTTGAGAGGCCGAACCAGCCCGTTGACCAGGATACGCTTCTGCGAAAGCTTTGAGCCTTGGGTGGTGTCATAACAGCTGCGCAGGTCATCGCGACCCGTCTCCTTCCTCAGCCGTTTGACCTTCTTCTCAATGATGATGCGATGGCTGGTCTCCTGGTTGAAGACCTCAATGGTAATGGTGATGAGCACGGCGACAATGAGCACAATCCAGAAATCCCATCTCCACCCAATCGACTCGGCGATGAAGCCTCCAATTAGGGGACCGAGGATCGGGCCTATTGCAAGACTTGTCAGCATTTCCTCAGACTTGTGGTTGCATTTGAGCAAGTCCGGTAGACACGAATGTAACGGCGGGATGAACTCACCAATCAAGGGCCCGAATGTCCATATCCCCATAGCGAAACCTCGCTGCTCCGGCCGGAACAAATCACCAATGACAGCACCACCGAGTGTCAGACAACCAGCGCCCCCGACGCCACTGAAGAAACGGAACACGATCAGGGTGCTGATATCGGGCGCCAACGCACACCCAATCTGCCAGCAGCAGAAGAACACGTTGGCTGCCGTCAACACCGGCCTCCGCCCGTAGATCTCACTCATCGGGGCCAAGACCATCGGGCCGACGACGTAACCGAGCAGGTAGATACTGACGGTCATGGAGCCCACGATCTGCTGCGCCTCGCCAAACTCGGCCATGAGCGAGGCGATCCCAGGCGACAGGATGGACGACGCAAAGGGCGTGACGAGCGTGATCGTCGACAGGAGGCCGACGAGCAGCCACTTGCGGAACGGCTGGAAGTTGAGCGGCATAGCCGGGTCGTCCTGGCCGTCCCAGCCCACGATGCCCTCGCCCAGGCTCGTCTGCGGCAGCGGGTCGTGCCTGATGCCGGCGCCGTCCTTGGCGCGGCCGCGCCCCGAGACGACGGAGAAGACGCGCGAGACCTTGGACTTGATGCTGCCGCGCGACTCGATCCTCCGCAGGCTCTCGATATCGCGGACCTGAAAAGGACGCCGGGGGCGTACTCGTCAGCGCCAAGTTCTCGCCCAGGCGTGCGGGAGAGCCATCGGGGTTTGTTTGGAACTGTAGAAGTAAGAAGTGACTGGGTGAGCGAACCTACCCTGCTTAGTTGGCGGTCGAGGTCGCGCCCGGGGACGGTCTCCTCGATCGCCTCGTTCCCGAGGTCCGCCTCGCCGCGCTCGGTCGAGTGGCTCGAGTCGGTGCTGTACGCCGATGCAGCCTCGTCACCAAGACCATCCGAGGCCGGCCGGACCTTTTTCTTTTTGTCGTCCGATGCGCCCGGCTCGTCCGCATGCCCGTGTTGGTGACGCTTCTCGTCGGTTTCGACGCTAGATCCAGTAAGCGAGACGGACAGGTCGTCTGCCTCTCGACCCAACTCCGGCCTCGCGTTGCCGGCCTTGGCCTCGTCATCATGCTTCTCCATGATGCTTTGCTGCAAAAGCCTCCTGGGAAGGTGGATTTTCGCAGGGCGGCACGGCGATTTCCCTAGGGCACGCGGCAGAGGGTTGGCAGAGACAGTGAGGGAGAGAAAGTGGTTCTGCAGGCGAGGGCTAGCGAGAAAACAGACCCAACAGGATGTCGGTCGATGTGGGGCGTTCGGTGTTTCCAGGGGCCCGGGAAGCAGTGTTACGGACTTCTACACGAGGTCGGGAGCGGCAACACGGGAGGCTACCTGGCCAAGAAAAAGAAAGGAGAGAAGCAGGCACCCAGTGGCCGAGGCGGGAATAATGAGGGAACTGCACGCCCTCGGTATTATTAATTAGAGGGCCCCTCCCCCGCGAATCTGCCAACATTCCCCAACTGGAGGAGTCGATCTGAAGCCCCGGAAATAAGAAGTCTAGTCTACCGGCTCTCGCAAGGGCTTCAGAGGAGGACGTAGACCATCGATTAGACTACGGCTCCGCATAGCCGCCGTTGCGGCTTCGGATGCACGTCCTAGAGCCGAACCGCGGTCGGGGGTTGATCCCTGCTGTCGCAGGCATGAGGCTAGGTATGAGCAGAGGGCGCGAGCAATGACAGTTGGCATTTGTCAGAGAGAAGGCGGGTGGTCCATGGCGTGGGGTCGTGGGCCAAGGTGCGCCTATTGCCAGACTTGGCTACTAGCTAGCAGCACCGGTATTGTTGCATTGGTGGGCAAAGGGGGGTCGGTGAGGGCTCTGGGGCTTTCACTACTGACGGAACCACGGGCTCTATGGGTACGGTAAGGGAGGCGGGCCGTTGGCCAGGCAGGGGCCACTCTGGGCGATTCAGATGACAGGAGGTGTGCATCCCTGACCAACGTGACTGTTGATTGTAGATGCTAAACTCCGAGGTGGTGGTCATCAATTGATCGGACTTACCAGCCTACAGGGGAAGAGGTCGAGGCGTGTCGTCTGTGGAGGCTGAAGGGGCTCACAGGCCCTCTAACGGTGAACCAAGGGGCTGCTGGTCTAGTTTTTGTAATGCTGTGTGCAATGACGCGCAAATAGCCATCGGCCTTCATGCTCCGAGCGGACTTGGTGGCCGCCGGAGTCTCCGACTCCCCGAGCGGCCATGAAAGGAGACGAAGAGTCGTGGACTCGTGGGCGCACAGGCTCACAACCTCCCTGGTGGCGAGTCATTGTCCATCGTTCAGAAGGCCACTAAATCGGTGTCGACAGCTTAAATAAGGGAGTTCTATAGCCTGGCCTACGCGGAGACGAGAGCATCCACACATGTGAAAATCTAGTCTGCCGTTGCTCATTACACAGAAACCCTTGCGCGTGTGCCACAGCCGGCAAAGCGTTGACCCAAGCTCGCCCGATCAGGGTTTCGTGTTCGTTCCCGTGCAGAGGCGGACGGGGTCGGCGAAAACTTGATGCCATCCATCTGAGATCCAAATTCCTGGAGACGTCACGGACCAGTATGCCGCAGGGCGTTGACTGAGAGCTTAATGCCGCCAGATCCAATAAACCTAATCATGAACAGGCTTTGATATAGTCGAGCTGCCGCAGTCCGGGATTCAGGACGTGTTGACTTCAGATTGGTTTTTCCCCATGAGCACAAACCAGCGTCACATCTTCATCAGCCGGGCCACGGTGAACCTTGATCCAACACAGACACCTCAGCCGCAACGTTTCAACCCCTCTGCTCCTCTGCCCCTCTCCCGCCCGCCACCAAGGAGGACGCTGCGGCGGCAGCAGCCCGGCCTAACAGCACCTGCACAGTAATCCAGACCCAAACCTGGACACGTGTGGACTCGCTGCGAGCCGCGGGAGGGGCCATCGTCTCCCACACCAGAGCAACCAACATGTCGCACCCACCGCCCTTGGCGATCCCGGGTCGCTTCGGCGTGCCCAACGCATCCGGCCAGAAGTTCAACAAGGCCTGCGACCCGTGTCACATCTCAAAAACGAGGGTGCATACCGGATCCACTGTCGCCCACAAACTCATGCAAGCGGTGCAGCAAGAACGGCAGCTCGTGCGCCTTCTCGCCCATCGGGCCCAGGAGGAGGCCCGTCCGCTCCAAGAACGACCGGATCGTCGAGCTGGAGCGCCGCGTCAGGGACATGCAGCTCAAGCTCGAGAGGCAGGTCGAGAAGCAGGTCGAGAGGCGCGCCAGCGCCATCAATGTTGTCGGCAGCGAAGCGGACCGAGACGCTCCCGGGGCCGAATCCTTCGCCGAGGCTCCTCCCGCTCCCGGGTCCCACCCCAACAACAAGCCCGCGCCGCCGTTTTCCTTCGTGCCCGGCCCCGGGTCTCCGGAGCCAAAACCCGCATCCACTCAGACGGAGCCGGAATCGAGTACCCATGAATCGGCGGATAAATCCTGTGGTGATATTCTATCCGGCCCGACGACTGTGGAAAGTCACCCCACAGCCGCGTCAGATGACGCTGTTGCCTGTGCCGCTGATCCCAAGGCAGCCCGCTACGGGCCAGACGTCGTCGACCGCGGGCTGATCACCCTCAGCCAAGCCGACAAGCTCATCAACAGATTTCGTCAGTTCATCCACGGCAAATTCCTCGGCATCGGGATACCGGATGGCTACTCCAACCAGTCGCTCCGGCGCAACAAGCCCGCCGTCTGGCTCAGTGTGCTATGCGCCGCGTCGACCGGCTCGGCTGAGTTTCTGTCGGTCGCCAGCGTCCTGTCCAGCGATCTGGAGAAGATCCTGGACGAGCAGGTCCAGGAGGACCTTGAGCCTGACCTGGATATCCTGCAGGCGCTGGCCATATTCTACATCTTCCACAATGACCCCACGCAGTCGATGCGTGAGAGATTTTTCGAGTGCAACAAGATGGTCGTTGCCATCGTCATCAAGCTCGGCCAGGCATCAAAGATCCACAACCTGCCGGAGGGCGTGCCCATAACTGAGGCCGACGTGACGGAGAGGGCATTGGACCTGTCCAGGCAGCTCTGCATCTGGCATTGGACCAGCTTCTCCCTCGCGGTGAAGGCGCGCGAGAACATCCTCATCAGGCCCTTCAGCTTGGTCAACTCAAGTCTGCGGATTTTGGAGACAAGCGGGAACCAATGCGACATGTCTTTGATCGAGTGGATCAAGCTGATACAGATCGCGGTGGAGGGAGCATTCGCCCTGTTCAACGGCCATGATCGCGCAGAGGGCTTGAGTGACGAGGGGAGAGATAGCATCATCCAGTACTTCGAGAGAAAGCGCAGACAGTGGCTGATTAACTGCCCCTTCGACCTGGTCAACGGTGAGTCTCGGTGCAATGGCTGAAGGACCACGGCCCCCCCGGCTAACGATGGTCGACATGTCCAGAATTCCTCATGCTTGAGTACCACTACACGGCGTTGGTCCTCACCGAAGTCATCTACCCAGCTGGCAGGGCGGACTTCCATGCCCGAAGCCACGGCCTCCCCTCTCTATCCTGCCCCTCCCAGTCGCCCGCCAGCACCGAGACGGACAACACAGACACCAAGCCGGACCAGGACGTCCTCGCCCCGTACCGGATCCAGTACACACAGAAGTGCATAACCGCCGCGCACGCATGCCTCACCCTCGTCGTCGAGCCGCCGGGGTCACCAGGCCTGACCAGCACGAACAGCCTCGCCGACGCGGAGACGCTGCGGTACTTCTCCAACGTGCCGTACTCGCGGCTCTTCTACGCGCTCCGCTTCCTGATGATCGTCGCGCACAACATCTGGCGGACGGGCGAGTACGACCTCGTCAACATCGACTCGCTGCGGCCGGGGTACTACATCGAGGGCATCAAGAGGGTCCTCGCCATCGCCTCGGACGGGGGCCGGTTCCGCCCGCCCTCGCTGTGGCTGTACGCCATCCAGACGCGCATCGAGCCCTGGTGGGAGGCCTTCCGCGCGAGGCTGGAGCGCGACAGGCCCCCGCCCAGCCGGCCCAGGTCGTCCGGCGAGGTCGAGGGCACCCCCGAAGCGACGCCGCCGTCGACGACAGGTGTCACACCCCCAAGCGCCGCCCACCAGAAGCCGCGCCGCCAGACGTCCGAGCCGCTGCCGCCGGGCTACGACCGCACGAGCGAGTCCCCCTTCGCGGGAGCCCCACAGCCGCCGGCGCCCGTGCCCTACGACATCTTCTCGGCGAGCCAGGCCATGGACTTCCTGATCCCCTTCAACTTTGTCCAGCAGGCACCCCCCGTGGCGGCCGCGGCCGCGATACCCGGCAACCCGAACCTCGGGCCCCAGCCGTTTGCGTGCTCCCCGCCGCCCGGGCCGCCCGTGCGGGGTGGTGGCTCTGGTGGGGGCCAGACGGGGTCCTCGGGCACGACGGGCTACACCACCTCCTCCTCCCCGCCTGCGCCCGGGAGCAGTCGTCAAGCCAGCGTGAGCGGTTCTGGGGAAGACCAGGCGGCGGCGGCGGCGACAACGGCGGCGACAACGGCTGGTGGGTACGACCTGGGGGCCACCGCCTTCGACCAGGGCGAAGGCCTCGGCTACCTCGACGACTACCTCGAGACCATGGACCTGGATGCGTTCAACTGGAACTGGGGCGAGTACGGGGCCTTGTTCCCCGGCGCGGAGGCTTTCCTGCCGGATCCGTCAGTGTTACCATTGACCTCCCCGTTCGTCGGCGAGGCTCCTGGCGGTGGGCCACAGGAGGATGGGACCGAAGGATCATGAAATCGGAAGTAAAAGGACGGGCTAATAAAGTGAGTTGGTGGTCATCTCATCTACGAGTTATATGCATATCACGGACTGGGAACGGGCGGGTTTGCTTGAATGATGACGAATGTGATTTTCTCATGAACGCACCTCATAGCCAGCATTTTCTGTTGTCGACGATGGAGGTCAAAAATGGGTGCTCAGGTAGAAGTTTGCAACTCACAGAATACAAGATCGCCGTCAGCAAAGGATTCCAGAGCTGAGGGACCGCTGACATGCTGATTCCGAGTCGAGTGAGCCGTTTACGGGAAATAACCCCACGAGCATTGCATATTTGGAGGAGTTGCACGTACCTGGTACAGTAGGTACACCAAAAGGAAGAATGCGATCAGGAGCCGTCGAAAACCCCAAACCCCAAACCTCAGTCTTTGGAGAATCATCGTGCCCCGCTAGTCTCTGTGGAACGTAGCATCGCCCCCGCAGCGAGCATGGGAGCATGGGGCACGCATGGGTGCTGCTCATCTCCGCATCTCCTCATCTCGGACCTGATCATCAACCTTTTTTTTTTCATCCTTGCAGTCACTGCAGGTCACGAGCATGTAGTATGAGCTAATAGAATTATGATTTCTTGTCCCTGAACGCGTCGAGGTACAAAACCATGGCACGACCCGCCGTGGTTGGCGCCTTTGTCTGTGGTGTTGCTGCCGCACCTCATCCTTCTGTGATCAGCAGGTCGTCGAGCTTCAACGTCCCCAGTTCGGCCAGATTCTGGCGCTTTGGTGATTCCCCCTCGTCATGTTGGTCCAAACCCCTCTCCTCCAGGCCGCCCTCCTCCTGGGCCTGGCGCAGTCGCAAGAATGCCCAGACTACTTGAGCTACTCCACCCAGCGCCATGAGCCCTTCTCCAACGGCACGTACCAGCTGTCGTACATGCGCCCGTCCCCGTCCTGCCGAACCTTCAACTCGTCTGACGTCGAGGACGTTATCACGTCCATGGCCGGCGTGATCGCCGACCCAGACCTGTATAGGCTGTTCCAGAACAGCTACCCCAACACGCTCGACACGGCCATCAGGTGGAAGGGGTACGCGGCCAACAACAGCGAGGAGGAGCTCACCTTCATCATCACGGGCGACATCAACGCCATGTGGCTGCGCGACTCGGCGAACCAGATGCAGAGCTACCTGCCTGTGCTCAAGGCCGACCAGAGCGCAGATAGTATCGCCAGCCTGTACAGGGGCGTCATCAACCTGCAAGCGAGGTACATCCTGACCAGCCCGTACTGTAATTCCTTCCAGCCCCCGGTCGAATCCGGGGTCGAGGGGTCGGTCAACGACGCCGCGTCGCAGGACACCGTGACGCCCCCGTACAGCAACACGAGCGTGTTCGAGTGCAAGTACGAGCTCGACTCGCTCGCCTCCTTCCTCGAGGTCTCGGCCAACTACTACAACGCCACGGGCGACCTGGACTTCTTCGGCAAGTTCCAGTGGGTCGACGCGGTCAGGGCCGTGCTCAACACCGCCACCGAGATGCTGACCCCGACGTACGGGCCCGAGGGCCAGGTCCTGACCAGCCCGTACACCTTCACCCGGCTGACGACGCGCGCCACCGAGACGCTCGCCAACGACGGCATCGGGTCGCCCGTGGGCAACGGCACGGGCTTGGTCCGGAGCGCCTTCCGGCCGAGCGACGACAGCACCATCTTCCAGCTCTTCATCCCGGCCAACATGATGTTCAGCCGCTACCTGAGCAGCACGGCCGAGATCATGGCCGCGCTCGGGGGGCAGGCGGACCTGGCGGCCCGGATGCGCGGCATGGCGGACTCCATCCGCTCCGCCATCCAGGCCCACGGCGTCATCACCGACCCCACCACGGGCACGCAGGTCTACGCCTACGAGGTGGACGGGTTCGGCTCCGCGGTGGTCATGGACGACGCCAACATCCCGTCCATCCTGTCCGCGCCGTTCCTGGGCTTCCTGGACGCCGGCGACGAGGTGTACCAGAACACGAGGGCGATCATCCTGGACGAGGATGCTAGTGCCGGTGCCAACGGGAACCCGTACTTTATGCGCGGGCCGGTGATCAACGCCGTTGGCGGGCCGCACCAGGGGCCGGGCATGGCGTGGCCCATGGCGAGCATCGTCAGGATCCTGACCACGGACGACGACGCCGAGATCACGGGCGCGCTGAGGGAGATCGTCTCGAGCACGGACGGGCTCGGCCTGATCCACGAGAGCGTCAACTCGTTTAACCAGAGCGACTGGACGAGACAGTGGTAAGTGAAGTCAAATCCGGCCCGCTACCCACCCCTCCATTGGATGCATCGTAACAGGGGAGAGGAAGTGACGCTGCTGACGATATCCTCTTTGCCGTCTCTCAGGTTCTCGTGGGCAAACGGCCTCTTTGGGCAGATGATATTGGATCTGAACGAGAGGAAGCCGAATGTCCTCAAGGAGAGCTTCCAATGAAGACCTGGGTGAGTGTTTTGGTAGGTAGGTGTTAGTTAAGGCAGCAGGCAGGCAGACCGGGTGCCGGAGCAGTCATGATACCAACCTATCATCGTCCCTGCTAGGATTTCAGTAGGTAATATACATCTAATTTCCTGGAAAGATGCCTTGCCATTTCTAGAACGCATCACCGGCCTTATTTCGTCCACGGCTATTGCAACCTCTTGACATTGCATGCTGCTGAATCGCCTCCCACTCGGCATAAATACTGGCGGTGAAGCTACTCGGATGTCAAGAGTGAATACCAAGGCATCATCAGCTGAAGGGTAACTATGAGATATTATCGACTGGGAATGGTCATGTCCTTATTATCTAGCCCTTCGGTCCGGTTCTGTAGATTTACTTTAAAATTAAGCATAAACTCAGATGACACTCGGAGCCAGCGGTGAATGGCGCGAGGCTCCCCATGCTCGCAACCGAGTCCATTCGAGCTTCTGGTCTTATAATTAGTTAGCTTCGTCACCATTTTCTGGCTGTGAGAGGAGAGGCCTGCCTATCTCCACCTTTCAAACTCTCAAATCGCAAGAGCTCTTGAGATCAGATACCATAATTACTACAGCGGTGCCAGCCCCGCACATGGTTGCCTTCCATTCCTCCAGGCTCCAACGACTGTTGGTAACCACTTTTCAGGTGAGCAGGGTCACATACGCAGGGAAGGACCCGCTTTTACCAAATATAACACAGTATTCTACCAAGATCCCTGAGGCGGTACAAGCTCCGAGCAAACAATACCCTTCTCACCACAAAAGTTGCCGGTCATGCGTCGTTGGCGATCACTACAGCCAACCGCGAGTTGCCCATTAAGCTCAGTATTACGGAAGATGCCCCCATACAATCCTCCATCAGCTTCCGTGTCCCATCGTCAGCCTAAAGCGATGCACCAGCAAACCGCCCCTCACAACGGCGCCCTTCGTTTCGCCTTCATCGAAGACGGGGAACCTATCGAGCGATATCGCCCTGGAGGATATCACCCGCTTTCTATCGGTGACGCCTTGCACCAGCGCTATCGCATCGTGCACAAACTCGGGTTCGGCTCCTACTCCACCATGTGGCTCGCAAAAGATGTCCAGCAGCTAGACAGATATGTTGCCATGAAAATAAAGACGGCCGAGACCGATCACGACTCGAACGAGACGCGAACATGGCGTCATTTGTGGGCTGCCGCGAATGATCCCCAGCAACCTGCATTACCATCGCGCACTCCTTCTGTCGGCATCCACAGCATGCCTCCGATCTGGGACGAATTCACGTAGATGGTCCCAACGGCACACACCGATGTATCGTGACGGTGCCAGCCAGGATGACTGTCTCCGAAGCACAGGAGGCTTCATACACTCGACTCTTCCAGCTGAAAGTGGCGCGAGTGATTGCGGCTCAGCTCATAAAAGCCGTGGCTTTCATGCACGCGAGAGGTTATGTCCACGCGGATCTACATCTTGGGAACGTCCTTCTCAAATTTCCAGAGAGTATACCTGAGATGCCCTCGGATAAACTTTTCGATACCTTCGGCAGCCCTGTGCTGGAACCTGTGAAGATTATTGGCAACGACAAGGAGCAGCCGCTGCCGGTCGGTATTCCCTCTCACATAGTGATCCCGGCCTGGTTCGGAACAAGAAGCGAGGATATCAAGCTTCACGAGGCGTCCATAATTTTGGCCGACTTTGGCGAAGCCTTCACACCACTCACTGAACAGAGGTTTTACTCGAACACCCCTCTCACCATACGGCCGCCAGAAACCAGATTTGAACCGGAAAAACCACTGTCATTCGCTTCCGATATATGGACACTGGGATGCTCGATCTGGACCATCCTCGGACAACGGCCCCTAGTTGACACCTTCAGCTTCACAGACGACTACGCCACGAGAGAACAGGTGGACGCACTGGGGAGCTTGCCTCAGGACTGGTTGGCGCGGTGGGACGCCCGGTCTCGGTATTTCGACAGCCGGGGAAATCTGCTGGACCACACGTGCAAACGGCGGAGCCTAGAAGTTCGTTTTGACGACTCGATCCAACTCCCCAGGCGGGACTGCGGCATGGAGCCGGTGGGAGACCAGGAGAAGATTGCTTTGCTTGGCATGCTGAGGGCTATGTTGGCGTTCTCTCCGGAAGAGAGGCCCACTGCCGTGAGTCTGTTGGAATGCGAGTGGATGGTGAAATGGGCTCTTCCGGATCTCTGCGAGGCCGACATAGCGGGACCTTAGATAACCCTGGAGCACTGCAAACCGTGAGAAACTGCTAGCTGCTTTCCAGACCCTTTGGATGCACGGTGACTTCGGTTTTGAATTGCTTACTCTGATGTACTGCATACTGCTCACCTCACCAACTAAATAATCCCCCCCCCCCCCAATTACTGGCACGGAGCCTTATGGCTATGGCAAGGGGCCACTTCGCCAGATTTGTCTCGGTCTACTGGAGTAACGCTTTCTGGCCTAGAAGAATCCAGCAACGCGAAACCATTGTTGGTCCTTATCAATCACGAATATAAAGGCAGCCTCTAGCTAGTACAAGTAGCAATTTCTACTGTTTATGCTTGAAAACGCTGCTCCGCCGGGCGTGAGTCCCATAGTCTCTCGCCATACAAATCTTAATAAGCAGGTAACAAATCCGCACCCATCAGGTAACGGGTCGATGTAGAGTTGTTATGGCCGATAACAGGCGCATCGCGGCCTCGCGGCGTCAAACTCGTGAGGCTTCAGATGTTGGACAAAGTGGGCTTAGCTTCATACTCAGTATGACATTCGGCCCTTGGGCTTTAAATAGCGGTGTGCCCGCCCAAATATTCTAGGTATCTGAGCCTTTAATTAAGCCGTTTTCCCGCCGCCGAGCGAGGCTGCTCTCCACTGAGAATCCGAGCTGCGAGCGGGGGTCTCCATGGCGCGGTTCAAAAGGTTAGAAGATTTTCCAGCAAAAGAATATCTACTTCTATTCCAGATGGTCAACGATGAACTTTGCTTCGCAGCTTGTAGTACGTGCTTTCTCACAGTCCACGCATCCATTCTGATCAATTGATCCCCGGTGTTCGCAGAAAAGGTAAGCGGACATCCTTGATACCCGGTCGAAGGACGGCGCAATCACGATTGCCTGTTGATCTTCAGGAATATAGAAGATACTGAGATCAAGGTCGCACAAGTCCAGATACCTTGTCTCTTGTGAATTGGTATTCTGATCTAAGATTTCGTGATCGCAGTCCGATATAGGGATGGCTGGCTTTGCTGGCAATGCCAACTCCAATGGAGCTGAGGCGACATGATAAGCACTGCTAGTAAGTGCTCTTCTTGGAGAGAAGAGATGATGGAGTTTACCATCCAGATACAGGGCAACGATGAACGGAGTAGAATCAAGTTCGAAATAGGGGCGATATTATAGAATCGTTTTGCAAACTCCTGGTCTTACCAGGCTGAATGTCGTCCGAGTGCATGTAATAGGCCAGCCATTCCACTTTGATCGTATTGATGCAAGCGCTGTCGTCTCTGGGTATGCCTATGAGAGGAATATGAAACAACGTCAATAGCTTCCTATCAGTCTCTGGTGAGTCCGACAGAAGCGAAAGATGGCGTATCGGCGCGAGATGAATGCCCTGCTGGCCATTCCAGTGTCCAATCGTCTCTTCTTGTTGTTAGTCGCCGTCTGTAAGACTGGAGTTCAAATACGTCGGGTCGACCCCCGCTAGCCTAGCAGCATATAGACGGTTGTCAGTGTCTTGTTCCAAGCTTGAGGACTCTCAAGGTGGACTCTGTTTGAAAGGCTTCTGAGCCCTCCCGCCCCCGGAGGAAGGACAATATCCTTTAGAGTCCGTCACTTACTAAACTGGATCTGCAAACTTAATTCCGAAGCGTGAGAATAGGCTGTCAACATGTTCGATCGACATCATGATAAGACGCTCGATGCTCTCCCCAGCTGCTGATCTCATTGTCCAGTCCCCGGGTGGCCTGATCAACAGGTGGACAACTTCGACAATCATTGCGAGACGAACACCGTGAGCCCTATCCTCGGCGGCACGCCGGGTCCTCGTGTGCCCATGCCCGCGCCCTTCCACGTCGAGTGCGAAGAGGATTGAGAAAAGCAACGTCAATAGGCATACCAGAGTTCCTTCATCTTCGCCCTTCCACCCGTAAGGCTCATAGCAAGTTGCTGCCGCCGAAGGATAAGGATTATAAGGGGCAAACCTCTCCTTCATTCCAGCCAGCGGGAATGAACAGACTATCAGGCTCCTTCCCCGCTGTTTGCGAATATCCGCATGCTCACGATACTGGCTAATGCCTGCCACATAACTACGTTGATGTACTCACGTCCATATTACATGTGCCCATACCATACCCAACGATCTCACACGACTGTCTACTTGCTCATGGTTCACAGCCGCCCAATCTGAGGGGCTTGTTGGATTATGTTGAATCCTGGGCCCGAGGATCGGTATGTGAGCGTTAATTAGCGAGTCAGATCTGTGACGCACAATGTTCCGGCTGGCTGGCTGATATTTAAGATCTCGGTTATAATAAACGGATGATGGAGAACCAGGAGGCTTTTCCTGTCTCCTACTTACTAATTCCCATTTGTTGATGGAATAATAGAAAGCTAGGAGACTTTTCTGTTTCTAATTCCCTATTTTCCATTTATTGGTTATGTTTAGTGGTTTTCCCTGAAGGGTGGCCTGTTGGCCACGCCACTTGGCCTACTTCGCCCGTTTTAGTGCAGTTAGGCCTTCCCCGGGGCCACCTGCTCTCAATATTTTAATATGCTGCGTATTAGACTAAATATAACCAATGATTGCGGTGGAAATAACGTTGGTCTAGCTAAATGTGCGCCGTTTCGTTACCGTTAGGCCTTCAATGTGGCCGCTTCCTCTCTGCATTGTGAAATGGTTTGAATTCCATTTCGTTGCAACCAGCAATACTAAGGACATGACGATTATTCAAGAAGCATTCCTTGCCCAGGATGCGGTCATTCCCTGGGGCGAGGCCGAATGCGGCTGGATTCCATTCATGGACACCGGAATTTGGTTTCTTCAACGCGGGCAAGCACTCCGTGGCCAAGTGGACTCCCATCCAGCAATACACACAACACTTCACCTAGGCATGGGCCCCCACAGGATGCGGCTGCGGCCTTTCCTCGACGAGAAAATGGAATTGGAAAACCTCAGCGTGCCAGCGATGATGGCGACAGCAAGAGAACTGACTCTGTCTAACCCCGCGGATGGAGTCTTTGCATTTCTCTCCATTGCTGATGAAATCAGCCAAAGTACGTTACATGTCAAGGCGGACCACTCAAAAACACCGCAGTCTGTCTACACTGAACTCGCAGTTGCGTACCTTCAAGCGACACGCGACCTGGACTTGTTGAAGTATGTTCAGCATACAAATGAGTCTATTGAGCTCAGCACACCATCATGGGTACCTTTATGGGACATTAACGAATGGGAAGTCCCCGAAGGTTCCGAAGATGGCGGATTAACGAGAAAACAGGGCTCTCCAGCGGACTTCACGCTGGAGCAGGGAAGCGGTACACCGAGGCTTACTGTCCAGGCCGTCCTGCTCGGCACTGTCCGATTCGCCTCAGATCCGCTGCTTCTTGAGACAGTGCAAGATGTTGCGCAGCTGTGGCAAATCATACGGCACGTGGATGAATCAGCAGATATAGACGGGTTTCTGCAGGTCCTATCCTTGGGGTGCACTGTAGGCGAATGGGAGGCCTGGAAACTGCAATCTTTTGCGTATGGCCAGCATTTGCTTGCCAGCTCTTCATCAAGCAATCCGGGTATGAAATGTTTCTTCAGAACATCTATGACCTGAGCGCAAAATACTGACTGATCAAACAGACGGAGATTTCCCACTTGTACACAACTTCGTTCAGTTGCTCACCAAAGGCCGAAGATTCGTATTAACAGATAATAAGAAAGGCTATTTTGGACTCGTTCCAGCTGTTGCAAAACAGACAGACATTTGTGCATTTCTGCCAGGAGCAGGGCTCACATTTGCTTTGAGACCTACAGAAAATGTGCAGGATTACAAAAATTTAGGGGATGCCCATTTTTCAAACCATGACATTCTTTACCCAAGCCATGGGGGCATTCCCTGGTACAACTTTGACATCGCAAACCTTGTTGCTAAGAGCGGCTGTGAGGAGCAGACTATCGCTCTGATTTGAGGACAATAATAATCAGTCGAACTTTGTACATGCACTTTCAGTCTAGACGTCAGCTGGTTCTTTCGAATGCAAGTGATGCTTCCGACATTCATGTGAAATAGACATGATATGCAGTCTCTCTCATGTACACTATAGAATAATGATTGCAAGTTCACCAGTTCATTGGAGAAACGGCCAATTTGACCAGGTCTATATTCTAACTACCCACGCAGCCTGTAGTCCACAAACATGCCGATTTCCCCTTCTCACTGCTGCGATGCGAATGGAGCCTTCCGCTGTCCCACTCACCTGGCTAAGTGTACTATTCACATGAAACATGGGCCTCAGAGCCGACTTTGGTAGCTATATTTTGGAATTGTTTCGACGCAATGCCCCTGGCCCGGAAAATATGTAAGATTTGAATGCCACGGGAGACCGCAAAATGTGTCTCTTCTCATCTGAGGTAATGACAACCGCTACTTTTGTGGCAGTCTGGGCTGACCGTGACGCGTCCGACTGCAAAATCCTTGAAGCAAGCCTTGGACTATGGCTGTATGTTGTCGTTCTAAATCTTACCACAAATAGACAGGACACGACTCAAGTATTTCCAGGCACTTAACCTCGATTGTTCTTGGTTGGAGCACCGCAAGGCTGAGACTTGTTCCTTTGCACATAGATCAAAGTCGGCCAACACTTCAGGTGTCTGTCCTCGGGCTTTACGGAGGACGAGGACACCGCCGTGTCTGAACTCATCTTGTTGATATTTCTCGGCAGAGATGGAGTATGCCCTAACAGAGTGTTAAGAAGGGCGTAGCATACCGACAACCAAGGGACTGGATGATGCAGTTTCCGTAAGGATAAGCAAACACAAAGTGTGGTAGTATTGCAGGGTAGGCAGCAGTCTCACCGTGGTCACTCGCCGCGCCGCCAGGTGGACGACCTGTATAGTGACTTGGTAGACCACACACTTGTTTGGGGCGTAGCTACCGGCTTGAGAACGGAAGCGTAGCAATCGGCAGAATTACATCCAGCGGTTCGGACCCATTTCTCATCCCGTCTCTCCGCTGCCGGAAATCGATTAACTGCGCCTTGGCTGTGAGCAAGCTTCAGCTGGAGTGCATCCGTCAAAGTTGGAGGCGGCGGAAGTTCCCATATTCGGTATTAGAGGATAGAATGCCCGCTTAGAAAAGGCGAGGAGAAGATCGATGTGAATTTCAGGCATGGGGGGTACCAAGAGTGGGATAACACGCGTATAGTATGCTGCCAAGGGCAACAAGATGGTTCACATCTTCGTTGGTGCACTAGTGGGAGCACGGCTTTTAGTGAAAGTTGGCGGACGCGTATGTGAGACCAACGTTGGATCTATGCTGACACCGACTGACGCAGTGTACCGATTTAGCGCCTGGTCTCAGACTCTGACCTCGGAAAGATAGTATGACAGAAAATCTCTGTGTTTAGCGAATCAAGAAAAAGTAAAAAGGACATAAAAAGTTCAACGGCGTATGTGAGCTCGCGCGTGCGCTTGGCCTTGTGTTTGTCGGTCACGCACAACGGATGCCTGCGTTGAGCGAGACAGCGTGCCCTAAACTGCTTGGTCTATCAATTCCTCAGCTAACAGGGCATGCAAAGGCTGACATATTCCGAGCAGCAAGGGGCATCTGGATATGCTCGGGACCTGGGTCAGGGTTAAACTCAGACCGGGACGAAACGTGAGCCTTTGACTTGACGCTGTGCCGCTGAGCGAGGTCTGTTGCAAGGTCAGCCACTCCTGCCAAAAAGCAAAACAAAGGCGTGTCACTGCAGTTGTAGCGGTGAGTGCCCAAAGGGCAGGTGAGGCCCTTGTCAGACGGCGGGAAATTGCACAGTGGTTGACGATCCGGGACAGGGCTATGTATGTAAGCTCGCAGGCTGATCTGATGCCATTATCTCGGAACTGTCGTCATTGGCCGGGCTCGAGACATGAGTCTTTCGCCCTGAGCGACAGGCTGCCCTGGCCTCCTGCGCAGGGCCGTTTGGTTCGCTGCGAAGGCTTGCTTCCCTTCAAGGGGCTCGTGTTAATCGGGCTGCAGCTTATTTCTTGTCGCATGCACATGCACCTTGGACGGGCCACCGGCAATGTCCGCCCGGGTTGGCAGTGAGTGTGTGTTGGTTCATATATAGGTAGGGACGAAGAGCAAGCTGACAACAAGCGTGCCTGAACCGCCCAGATTGACATCTATTGACATCTTTTCGGGTCATACGTGTCAATTAGCAGAAGAGACTTGATCGACAGCCAATTTCGCACTCTAGCTGAGGACCACCAAACGAGAGGGCTTTGAAGCCCAGCCTGTTGCACCCGGAATCGACCAAACGAACTGACAGCGATGGCGCTTGGTGTCGTTCTCGACGGGCAGGGCAAGGCAGAGTTCCTTTTCCCCACGCCTCCAGCATCAGACGAGGGCGATGGCTACGGCAAAGGAGCCGGTGAGGCTCGACACGGTGGGAGCGACAGCGACGATGATGGCTGCGTGGGCTGTAGGAAGATAGCCCAGAATGAGGTTTGGAGGCTCCAACGGCAGGAGAAGAGCATGGGTGAGTCACATTTGTTCGTTCTTGTGCGTCTGTCGTTCGCATACCACCATCCATCCACCCATCTTTCGTGCACCCAGTATGGTCTAGTCCACCATCGATCCAGGGGGACGAGCTAGCCTAGGCCACACCCCACGGCCCACAACGGGAGCTTGGAGACCGCCTGAGCCTACCTGGGCAGGTGGGGATCCCCCTGTTCGTGCAGGCGGATGCCGTCTGCAGCACCGCAGCTCCAAAGTGCTGCAGCAGTGCTCCTTGACCTCACCCGATGCATCGTCACTCTCTACACTCTTCACGATCGTTGTAGCCCCCACTCTCACTCCCGTCCTCACTCTCGGCTGTGTATCCAAGCCGTTTCTTTTGCCATCGGTATATACTCTCAACTCTCCCGAAACCGTGATCCGGTGCCTAGTCGGCCTGCTGCGCCGACCTGCTGCGGTGTCATCATCCGGCCAGAGATGGTGCCTTGACTGGTCCGGCCTGCCGTGCTCGAACCTGGCCTCTTCCCTCCTGCTCTGGAGCGCGCAATGCTGCCGCCATCTCCTTCATCCTGTATTCTAGGCCCGCTTCCTCCACCATACTGACGCTTGTCGCTCCCTCCCATCGAGTAGGCGCCATGATCTCCGACCCAAAATCGCAACCACCACCGACGACCGCGCCGATAACCAATGGCTTCTCGCTGACCCATGACGAGTCCGACACCCCCGTGCGCGTCCAGGAGCTCAAGCACGACAGCTCTGTGCTGGCCCTGGCCGTGTCCGACAAGTACATCTTTGCCGGCACCCACGATGGCGAGCTGATCGTCTGGTCGCTCGGCACCTTCGAGCTCGTCAGGAGGATACAGGCCCACAAGCGCCACATTCTCTGGCTGTTCCTCTCCGGCTCCTCCTCCTCCACCACCCACTCAGACTCGTCCCAGTCCTCCCCAGACTCGACCTCGACCAACTCGAGGCCCCTCCTGATATCAAGTGCCGGCGACGCTCTTGTCTCGGTCTGGTGCCCGGAGACGTTCACACGCCTTTACGAGATCTACAGCGTCGACCACGTCGGAGACGTCTTCTCCTGCGCATACTCCAGCCAGCAGGATACCGTCTACATCGGTGCCCAGGACCAATCCATCCAGTGGGTCAGACTCAACGACCGCGACCGTCGCGTGCCCCACAACAACCCGTCCCATCCCGACCAGCGCCACCACCCTTTCTTCGATTCCAAGGCCCCCGGCGGAGCAAGTACGCCCAGGAGGAAGGACAAGCGAGAGGAGCTGATACCCAAGCCCGAGGCCACCTTGGAGATAGACCGCGGTTCTGTGGGCAAGTTCGCCCATTTCGGCTTCGTCTACTGCATGATCATTGCGAAGGGCCCAACCGTCCTTGTCGATTCAGACGAGGAGGTTCTGATAAGTGGCGGCGGAGACGGGAGCATCAAGCTGTGGCAGATAAAACAGGATGAGAAATACGAGGGATTCGAGGAGTGGGATGCGTGGGAGAAGCGCGAGATCATGTGTCTCCGCGGCGACGATGACGATTTCGGCGAGTCTGTCTTCTCCCTGGCCATCGACGGCTCCTTCTTGTACAGTGGCAAGAAGAAAGGCGTCATAGAGCTATGGGATCTCGACACGAAGCAGAAGCTCAGGGTCATCAAGGGCCACCGTGGCGATGTCATGGCCCTCCAGCTGTCCTGGGGCTACCTCCTGTCTGGAGCCACTACCGGGTCGGCAGCAGTAAGTCCAGCCACCACCAGTTCCCGCCGCTCTGCCCGCCCGCCCCTACGGCCCAGTTGCTGACAATGCAACAGAAACACAGCACTGTTCACTACAGCAAAGACCACTTCCCATCCCCGGCCACCGAAAAAGTGAGCCAGAAATACCGATGCCTCAAGAGGTGGACCGCCCATAACGGCAAGGTCCTTTCTTCGGCATGTACCAACTACAACGGAGACCAACTGTACATCACCGGCGCCAATGACAACTCCGTCAGTGTTTGGCGCATCGACGACGTGTGCGAGCAGCCCGAAGACGTAACCGGGAAGCCAGAGGACATGATGTTTGCCTCTCTGCGCGAATTTGTGTCTTACAAGACCGTCTCCTCCCGGCCCGAATTTGTCGAGGACTGCCGTAGAGGCGCCAGCTTCCTGTGTAATCTTTTCAAGCGACTAGGCGCACGGGTGCATATGCTGTCCAGGGATGACCAGATACACAACCCCGTCGTCTGCGCCGTCTTTAGTGGGAAACGCGAGCCCGCAGAGAATCGCAAGCGCATCCTGTTTTATGGCCACTACGACGTCGTGCCTGCTGATCGTAATGCCGAAAGCAAGTGGACAACGGACCCGTTCCAGGTAGAGGGCGTGAATGGATACTGGTACGGCCGCGGCGTGAGCGACAACAAGGGCCCCACCATGGCCGCGCTATTTGCTGTGACAGATCTTCTCGAGGCCAAGCAGCTCGAGAACGACGTCATCTTCCTCATTGACGGCGAAGAAGAGTCGGGTAGTCGGGGGTTCCAGGAGGCGGTGGCTGAGAACAAAGATGTCATCGGACAGGTGGACTACATCCTGCTGGCCAACAGCTACTGGCTCGACGATGAGACACCGTGCTTGACCTATGGTCTCCGAGGGGTCCTACACGCTACTGTCTGCGTCGACAGCATTTATCCTGATCTGCACTCTGGCGTTGATGGTAGCTACATGGTCGACGAGCCCCTTTCCGACCTGACGCGGCTGCTGTCAACGCTTAAAGGTCCGAGGAACAAGATCATGGTGCCTCATTTTTACGATTCGATCCTGCCGCTCACAGCGGCTGAGGAGGCACGCTATGAAGACATTACCAAGATCCTGAGTCGCCGTAACCCTGAGGCTGGAACGATGGACCAGCTCAAAGCCGGTCTCATGGCGCGCTGGCGTGAGCCGAACTTGACCATTCATAGGTATAAAGTTTCTGGACTGGACGGCAGCATCGTCAGTGGTCACGCCAGTGCCACAATCAGCTTCCGACTGGTACCTGGACAAGAAGTAGACGACATAGTCGCGTCGCTGAAGGCCTTCCTGGCAGACCAGTTTGCGGAGCTCGAGAGCAGGAATTCCCTGAGCATCAAAATCGACAACAAGGCTGAGCCGTGGCTAGGTGACCCGAGTAATCAGATTTTCCAGACCTTGGAGGAGGCCATCATCAAGGTCTGGGGGCTTAGGGGCTCGGTGGGAGACCATGGGGTCGTAGAGGTGGTGGGCCAAGAATCTGTGGAGTTCCAGCAAGCCCAAAAGGACGGCAACATGAATGACAGCAATGGCGTTGGCGGCAAGGATACCGGTGTGGCCAGCAAGGACGCCGAGAGCAACACATCAGGCGTCGACAAAGCTGCTGGAGCCGAGCTCATGTCTGAGCCCAGGATGTACCCCCGCGAGTCAACGTCCACCTTCGGCCCGGTGCCCTCCTTTCGCTCTGCAGACGATGACTCCGCGCCGCCCACGCCGTCCATCCCCGAGTTCGTCGTGTCCACAAGCCACGAACCCGCCCCCGGACCCGACCCCACAAACCAAGCCGAAACCACCCGGCCGGACGACGCCCCGGCCGCCGTCGTCAGGGGCCGTAAGCCGCTGTACATCCGGGAGGGCGGCTCCATCCCCGCGATCCGCTTCCTGGAGAAGGAGTTCGGCGCGCCGGCTGCGCACCTGCCGTGCGGCCAGGCGAGCGACGCGGCGCACCTCGAGAACGAGAGGATCCGCCTGCTGAACCTGCTCAAGAGCCGTGAGATCTTTGGGGAGGTGTTCCGGAGGCTGTGATGTGTCGGCATCTCTCGCATGGGCTAGCTTGTGGGATGTCTATCATATTCACCGGTGTTATCCAGGGATTTGTCTTTATTTCTCGTAAGGCGTTTTTGGCAGACTTTGTAGGGCCAGCTGGGAGCATTCATAGCGTAGATTTAGATGTCGGAGCTCCACGCAGTGGGTTGAGATAGAATGGTGTCTGGATCCAAATAGAGATAGACCACGCTTCCGTGTTTAGGCTTCCTCTCTCAAGTCGCACATACGTGCTGTGCTTGCCTGTCTTCTCTGGCTATGGGCGCTCCGATCTCGAGTTGTCGGACTGATGGTCTCCGGAGTCTATTCACTTGTCAAAGATTTCCAGTCGGTCATATCAGATACATGTGGTGTAATGGCTGTGGGTCGGCGATCGGTGGACCTCAAGCATCAGTGGGCATGCTGAGACAGCTCAACCCTGCCTTAGCTTGACCGTTAAGCGGCCCTGCGTGCCGGACTCTAGCTTGAAACCCAAGAGACAAGCTTTTGGGCCGAGATCCGGGCCGCACCCACTGCATGATCCGGTACCGTTCGATTGACGTCCAGCACGTTGCGCCCCTCGACCGGGGGGTTCTCACGAGTGGTGTCGACTCCTGAAGTCTCAGCGAGGTCCACAGACGCGACATCTTCCCGACACATCAGGGCCCCATAACTCCATCCAGTCGGTCCTCTGACGAGATCAGGGTCATTCTTTTTGAGAGTTGGCTATGCTCATAGTTAAGACGTCCTCGCAGGCCGGGACTGTACCGGGGACGTTTGCACCAAGGCCATGCTCTCCTCCTGGCGGGATAGCCCAAGCTGAGACATGTCGCTGGCCAGATACCTTTCCAAATCTCTGCGATGGGCTCTCGTGCCCCTGGCGCTCATTGCAGTATCTATCGCACTCCAACACGGTATTCTCAGCCAGGCGCTGGACTCCATCCACATGAGGGCGAGACAAACCATGTTCGACATTTTGCACCAGTCGACAAACGACCGGGACGACGCAGCCACCGGCCATGGCAGCATTATTGGACGCCACGATGCCAACCAGTCGAGCTTCGATGTAACGCCTTGGCACCCCCGTACAATCGAGTACAGCGACTTGATCAAAGTCGCGACGATCCAAGAGGGCCGGCTCGAGGTCGTGCAGCACCCGGACCTAGCCACCGCACCAGTCCTGGTCAAGAGGGCAGCTCTGCCGGAGTACACCAACTCCATCGCGCGTGAGACAGCGTTCTACCGCCTCCTCGACGGGCTGGGCGTCACGCCTCTGTTCCTGGGCCACGTCACGGAGGCCGGCCGCATCACTGGGTTCCTCTCTGAATACGTGCAGCAGCAGCGGCAGGAGGAGGAGGATGAGAAGGGGCACGATCGGGAGGGCGGAACGGAGGCTTGCCTCGCTGCTCTGCGGCAGATGCACGCGAGGGGGATTGCCCATCGGGACGCGCATGGGGGGAATTGCCTTGTCAGGAGAGACGGGTCGGCGGCGCTGGTCGACTTTGAGCTGGCGGAGGAGACGTCTTCGGGGGAGGAGTTTGAGAGGGATTTGTGGGTTATGAGACACTCAAGGGTTGTTGAGAACGCACCTTGATGTAAGGTACATGGACTGGATCCGTTCTATACATGATGCTTTCGACAAAGTTGTAGGCAGGCCGGGCAAGAGTATCGCTGCCCACATGTTGAGAATAGTGATGCTGGCGCGGGATATCTTGGCAGTAAATCAAACGTTGATGGAAATACGACTTCCACATTCAATCATCCCAAGGTTGCCGGGACTACCTATTTGCCACATCTCTACGTGGTGATCGGAGCCGAGTCCTGACGAGTGTTGAATATGGAAATGGTTTATGGTGTCCGCATACTGGCATTACGCGAGGGGATGACGTCTACAATGTTATCTAACCAGATAGAAAATACCTCGGATGGCGTCCAGATGTAGGCATGCTTTTAGGACGTCGGCACGTCAATTAGCTATTTTTTGAAACGCGTTGTGCGTTGTTTCCAAATCTGAAAAATGGCCGTGCCTAGGTATCTAGGTAGATGCTCCAATCAAAGGTCCTGGTGAGGTCTCGGGCAAGTCAAAATCGATGCGCAGGTCCTCTCACTCTGAAGACGTCTTCAAGCGATGCGAATCGAGGATACACCGTTGGAGTCAAGGAGTGCCACAACACTAGGCACGTCAATTGCTGCATCAGGGACATGTAGCAAACTTGTAACCTTTGTCTCAGTCGTCTCACGAAAGCGCCCAGCTTCAATGTGTGATGTCGGAAAATACGCGCCACCAGGGCTGAGGACTTTGCTACCTGCAGAGCTCTTGTTTGATACTGTGCAACTCCTCGTTTTGCCTCAACGATCGTCTGCCTGGCAACAATACAAGTGCAGCTGTGTTCAAATTCATTGCTGGCCTCGTTTCCCCTATCGCAGCATTGTTCTCATTATCTCTCGACTTCACAATTTATCTTCCTCTCTTGCTTTCCTCTTTTCCAGAAATTTTTGCATGTCGAGCTCAGTCAATTGCTCTACTATGGAGGCGGCATTTCTGGCGCGCAGCGTGGCCTTCGATGCTTCCGAATCCTCCATTTCCAAGTCTGACGGCGAGGGCCCATCGTGCTCCAAGTCTACTTCTTCCTCGGCCTTCTGATCCCCCATTGATTGTTTTCCCTTCTTCTTCCAGTTCTCTGCTCTTCTTCTCTGAGCATCCTTGGTGAGCTGAATCTCATCCTCCCTCTGGTAATACCCAGATTCGGAGCCATCTTGTTCTTCTTCTTCATCCACGTTCTCTCGATAACCATAACCCTGATCTGGTTTCATTTGATCTTTTCCACTCACTTGTTTCTCATTTTTGCTCTGTTGATACTCGGATTCACTATCCTCTTCTTTCTCGGCTTCCTCGGCACCTGGAAGAACGAAGAGCGCCAGCTGCTCCAAGTGATTCCCCACATGGGCTTCGTACTGGTGACTACTCACGATCTCATATTCCCAGCAAAGAGGACATGCCCCTTGCGCCAGCTCCATGTTGGGTTTACTATGAAGGTTTGCATCTGAATGGTTGATTCTTGACCGATGATGTTGACTCAGATGCTTCGCGAAAAGCGACGGCGTGGGCAAGCGCTCCTCGCAGCCGAAAGGACATGTCCAGGTCCGCCAATGTGCTTGAGTCATATGGGTGACCCAATCTCTTCGTCGAGCAAAACTAGTGTCTACGAGATGGCATGTTCCCTCGAGACAGATGTACGGCCGTAAATCACCAAAGACGTGCTGTCTGATCGGTACGCCCGTCAGCATTATCTACCAGAGCAACTTCTTCGGATTTTGATGATACCTACTTCCACTGGTTCTTTGTTTTCACGAAAACTGGGAGATAGCAGTACGGACAGATAAAGGGGCCGTCGAGATATTCCGAAGGAATCTGTGGAACACAGAGCTCGGAACCATCCGCACACGAGGGTGCATACGATGTCGCTGTCGTCTCTGATAAATCATCTCTGGCGACAGATGGTAGCGAGTCACTGTCCTGAGGCTTATCTTTCGGTAGCCAAGATGCTTCGGTTGTGACGCCACCCCTGCTCTCTCCCTGGTCGCCTTCCTTTGCATCCTCTATTCCTTCTTGAAGTCGCTCGTGGTGCTCCTCCCTGTATTTGAAAAACACGCGTCGATATGTCAGTGATTTCGCCAATCTCTGCTCTATGGTCTTGTTTTTCAGCTGTGGAAACTTTTGCTGCACGTGTTCAAGATGATGAGCGTCGAAAGAAGACACAAGTGCCGGCGATCTCAGCTTGAACTGTTCATGGGGTGCTGGATTGCGAATCGTGACCGCAAGCCTCATCAGGCAGTCGATCACATTCTTGATCTGTAGCATAATTTGCTGAAAGTCATCAAGCTCGGGATCGTCATCGTCGAAGAAGTCGCTGAGGAACCCGTCGTCGCGCTGTGGCCTGTCTCCAAGCTCCTGACCCTCACCTCGAATAAAAGCGCGCGCTGTCGAACTGTGAGAACACTGCAAACTTTCCCGCTTTTCCGAGATGCTCTAGCACTTACATTCTTCAAGATATTGGCACATATCTTGCAACAAATCGATAATATGGTTCCGAATCATCAACGCCCCACTCAGGCGACATTCCAACGATCGATGGCCATACGGCCTGTGGGCTCCAACACTGCCCGCCCACATTTTAAAACGGGATCCATGCAACCTAATAGCTTTGGCGCTGCTCGGCTCATGAGCTTCCACTTCATTCTCAAGGCTTCGAAATGCCGCAAGAACTTTCAAGACCAGCTCTGATATCAATGACATGATGTAGGCAATTTCGATGTCGGTAACAGTTGTCAGAACATTGCTGAAAGCAAGATATAAAAGGCAGACATGTTCTGTCCTCACATGCCCGGAAGATCCTCCGATCGAGTGGTCCTTTGTCCTACACGACGATGTTTCCGATTGGTGCCCGCATACATGGTGTCCTTGATCACTTGTATTTAGCGTCGTGCTGACGCCCATCCGAGTTCTTCGAGCCCAATTCGCAATCTGCATGAAATGAGGAGCAGTATCCACCAAACTCAACAATCTTAGGAATTTCGCAGTCTCAGCTACCAAGAGTTCGTTCTTACTCCGAACCGATCATGGAAGTCGCTGGGTTGGTTCTTGGGGTCGTAGGCGCATTGCCAGTAATAGTGCAAATCGTCAAGGGGTACCAAATTATCATCGAAACTACTCAAGTCAGGCGCTACATGGCTATGTTGGAGCAGGATCTCAGCACAGAAGGAATCATTTTAAGACACACATACGAACGCCTACTGAACGGTATTGTGCCGGCCTGGGAACTCGATGACTTGCAAGATTTGGAGCCTTCTAGTTCTAAATGGAAAAAGTACGATGATCAAATCCGCATCCGACTTCGAGAATCCTACCAGGATTTCCATCTCAGAGCCAAGGCCATAGCAGAAGCTGTCCAAGACCTGCGAGAAAGGTTACCAACGGGAACAAGTAGTCAGGTACGCATCTGTCCGCTCGGAAGACCTCAACGATAGTGCTCAGGGTCCAAATCATAGAGTAAGTCATTAACGTGCGAGCAGGTCTCGGTCACAAACTGGTCCTCGAAGATTTCCGGATTCGCGTCCGAAGCTAAAGTTCGAACTCGGTTGACATTTAAAAAGAAGGACTGTACTGGCACCGTGTCCAAAATTCGCCAGAACAACATCCTTCTACGGAGGCTGATCGACCATAGTGCAGCCTTCGAGCCCACTCGACGAGCTAATTCCCAAGCCAAGTTCGCCAAGAAAGTCCGCACCACGGCCCGAGGTCTTTTCTCATCTCTTTGCAACGTCATGCGTTGCCAATGTGTCGACTCGCACATGATTGGGCTTCATCTTCGGCAAAGGGCTGAGGGAGATGTATTTTCCGAGGATGCTGCCGCACCCTTTGAAATGATCTTCGGTACCAACAATGGGGACCATGGCCAGGATCCAAGCTTTGAGTTGCTCAACATTCAATGGACGGGGCAGAAAACTGTTTCCCCGGAACAGACTTCATCAATGGAGACGTCGCACTGCTTTGAGTCCCTGTCGAACGACAGAGAAGTTTCTGTGCAAAAAGCCAGATTCTCGTTGGGGGCCAGCCTCGGAGAGGCATTCCCAAAATTGCGCCGATCGCCATCGCCTTCAAAACCTGAGTGCCGCCGAAAAGTCCGCTTCTCGGAAACGGTCACGCCCACACCAAAATTCGAGTGCTCCGTGACGACAATTGGCACCAGGAGCATTGTCAAAGGCGTTTCTCTGTCACACATCACAGATCTATGTTCTAATATTAAACGGGGTGAGGCGATAGCAAATCAGCCAATTGGCTTCATCCCGTGCGCCGAGATACCTGAAGGATTCAATATATACCGCCATGATTGTTTGCGAAATTTCAACAAAGCAAGCTTGACACTAAGAGATGCTCTGAGCAGCAACAAGCCCGGTTCGGAGGACTTCGAACTGGCCGAGAGGCTCAATGTCGCCTTGGCTCTGTCCTTTGGCATCCTACAACTGTGTAACACTCATTGGCTGGAGAAGGTCGTTTCACTCGAAGGTATCGTTTGCCTCCGGGCGGTGAGCCTGGAGCAGCAGCACCTCGCTCTCGATCTTGAACACCCTTCCTTGTTTCTGGTTCGTCAACCTTCGTCAGACCTCAGCCCGGAGAAGCCAGGAAAGCCAATTAACTTTGCGCTGTTGTCACTTGGAGTCGTGTTGACACACATAATCATGGGCCGCCGGGTTGAAGCTATTGACATAAGCGAGGATATGACAAAGGAGACGCTGCTATCGAAAAGAAATATTGCATATAACCAGGTTGAGATTTGCGATTATGCGTCCACAAATTATGTTGATGCTGTCCAGTGGTGCTTACAGAATTGCTTCACATTCAAGACACTGGAGGACGAAAACCTGAGCCGAGATTTTCACGATGCAGTGATAGCAAGACTGGAGAGTGATTTGGGGAGCATTCAAGCACTCAATGTTGAAGTATAACATGGGAAGAAGAGAAGAAAAGAAATTAAATCAACTGAGAAACCTCCTACTACGATTCCTGAACAAACGATATCAAAATTGATTGCAGATAAACTGTCTGTGAAGCTTGTAGTCAGATACTGCGCCTGAGAACTCAGTACTGGGCATACAGGTGAAAGGTTATTTGCATCAGCTTTAATGGCATCAACGTTTTTCAAACGGAACCACTAGGGTTTGGTCATTTGACCGTTAGTAAATGTTTGCGTGTGTATTTCCAGTTTGCTAAAGAGCGATGAATGTGCCGCCCAGAGAGGAGGTTCGCTCCAGCATCGCGTTCAGTGACTAAGTTACTGGTCGGCAATTATGCGAACGGACCTGAGCCTGATATCACTGACCAACAACACGCGATACGTCTCCCAGTCGGCCGTGGACGGCATCGGGTCCTACTTTGGGAGCACATTCGCCAGCGACCTTCAAGTATTCGTCATGCCCGACGACAATACAACTGAGTGGCAGCTGAACGGGTACTATATGACCAGCGGCCAGGTCCAGTACACCCCGAGCACAACGCAGGTGCTATACCCGACCGAGGACCTGAACAACACTTTCACCAGCCTGGCCACCAGCATGAGCAACGCGCTCCGCGACGGCTCGGACGCGACGTTCAACGGGGCCGACAGGGAGCTCACCGGCGAGAAGGGGGTCCTCACGACCTTCTACGAGATCCAGTGGCCGTGGCTGTCACTTCACTGCGCCAGCGTCGTGCTGGGCGTCTTGTTCTTCGTACTCACGCTCGTCCGGAACCGGTCGGCCCCGGCGCGGAAGTCGAGCAGCCTGGCTGTGATGGCCCGGGGCCACCAGGTGCAGGATGTCGTCCATGGGGCGGAGTACGTGAAGCAGATGGAGGGAAGGGCGAAGACCATGAGGGTCACGTTGATTGAGAAGTCGATGCGGACTGATCAAGTGGAGTATGATCCTTTGCAGACTCCGTACGGCGAGGTCACGCACGTTACTCGCTGAACAAGTTGCTGTGTTATGATTGGTTACAGGGCATCCTATGCATATTGTACATAGAGGTAGAAATTACACTATAAAGTTCCTTATACCCACCAAGCTTAGCATCGTAATCTGTTTCGTTTCGCAGAATCGGGCTATAAACGCGGGGTTAGCCTTCACCTGGTGGCTGAAACCGGGGCAGCTTGGCCCAGAGCCCCCTAACTTTACCTCGGGCCCCGTCCAGCACAAGCTTGCCTGCACACATGAGTTCAGAGGGACTTGAGGAGACAAGTGTGTTTTTGTATGAGGTCACCATCTTAGAAACATTGAGCCCTTGAGAGGGCAGTTGGAGCGTACACAAGGATCGTGCCAAGCAACCAACATCAACATCGATAACACCCCTCAATTCCCACGGGAATCCTTCCTGCGACTCCAAGGCAACCGCGGCAGTCGTGCAGTTTCGTCTCTTGCCGATCCCTTCTTCACATCGTTGATGCACTTATGGCGCAATCCAACACGATAATCATGGCAGAATCTCGCAAACCCTACGACCCGGTCGAGGCTATCGAGCCACACATCCTAGCCAAGCTGGACCCGGAATTCGTCGCGCGATGGACGGAGCTGATGAACAGCATCCCGGACCCGGCACGCGTGGTCACCATCGAGGAGATCCGCGCCGACCCGCGGGTCCTGGCCCCGCCGTGCGCGCTGGACACCAAGGGCCGCCCGAGGACGGCCGACAGGGAGGTCACGTCCGAGGACGGGGCCAGCATCCCGGTCCGGGTCTACTACCCGGACGAAGCCAAGCACGGGCCCGGCCCTTACCCGGCCCACCTCAACTTCCACGGCGGCGGGTTCGTGCTCGGAAACCTGTCCAACGAGTCGACGCTGTGTCTGAGCATGTGCGAGGGCGCCGGTGTCGTCGTCGTGGACGTCGACTACCGCCATTGCCCCGAGACAGTCTGGGGCAAATGCTTCCAGGACGCGTGGGCCGCGCTGAAGTGGGTTCAGGCGGGGGCGGGGGCGTTCAACATCAGGGCGGACTCTATTTCCTTGGGCGGGCTCTCGGCCGGCGGGCATATCAGCATCGTCCTGCAGCATCTCGCCCGCGACGCCGGCATCCCCCTCAAGCTTGTCATGGCCACCGTGCCGCCGTCCGTGGAGGGCCTGTTCTACAGGTACTACACCGACTCGCCGTTCCCGTCGTTCCACGAGTTCTACCGCGGACCCGTCCTGGCGTTCTCGCGCATAAAGTGGTTTGGCAGTTTTACGGCCCCGGAGGAGAAGCAGGATGAGTTGAGAAAGATGTGGCCCAAGTGGTGGTTTGCGCCGCTCAACGCGCCAGATTTCAAGGGCCTCTGTCCTACCCTGGTACGGACAGCTGAGTGCGATCCTTTACGGGATGAGGGTGAGGCGTATGCCATGAAGCTTGTCGCTGGGGGAAACAAGGTCACGATGAAGAGGTATCTGGGTGCCCCTCACACATTCATGTATATGGACTTCATGAAACAGAAGCAACAGTACGACGTTGACTCGATTGATGCCTTGAAGGAGGCACATGGGATAAAATAGAAAATTAGAACAGAACATCACACACCTCTGATTATGACCCGCTTTCTCACATCGATGAGGTCTGAATTTGCACAGGTTTGAGGACTGCTATGCCTCAGATAACCGGCTCTAGGTGAACATTTTCTTAGCCCTTTCTACGGGCTTCCGCCTTTATGATGAAAGACCAAGATACCAGATAATCCAAGGCCACATTTCTCCAGCATGGGTGTAGCCAGTATAAGATGCAGTGACAGATATATTGAGCAAGACAACCTTGAATTGACCTCGAGAACAACTTTGCCCATGAAATAGACATCAATACCTAGGCAGCTTTGCTTGAACAGTAACACAGTATCAAATTACTGGGAAATGAGACTCAACTTGGAAGTACCACTCATTTTGTGATCCGGCGAATGCAATAATGGAAAACAGATAGAAATAGACATCGCAAAATAGTGCCAGCTCATAATAGACTCAGGGGCACAGGCACAATTATACAGGACGTGCCTTGCCGTGGGATGAAACCCCCTGGATTGTTCCTGAGGGACGTCACTCTGTATTAACATTGGAACTGTGAGACAAAACCCCATTGTAGGACATTTCATGTTATATGGTGGCAGCCGAGCTCCCTTCTGAGCTCTCTTGACTCTGGGCTTTCTGGCAACCCTGTTTAATTCCGACAGCTTCTAGGGCCTGGCTCAAAGAAAGTCAAACCAATGCCCGGATGCGTCCACATTTGGGGGGTGGTTGCACCAGGGCTTCCTTCAGGGTTAGGACTTAATCTTGCTCCCCTCCTTCTTTCCCCCTGCAAGCAGTGACGCACTGACCATGCACAAGCTGTACCGGTGGTGAATGGGCTGCAGGCCTTTCGTCACCAGCCAGCCACTGGTGTCATGGCCAGCCAACTTTCCCAGCTTGGGATCCCAGGACTTCTCCCATCTTCCACGACACTCGAGACCACGTCTTCAATTCAGCTTGCTTTGTTCTGCGCCGAACAGCACCAGCACCGCACTCTGGCGATAGCCTCGACCACTACGAACACCATTTGCGAGCCTTGCAGCTGCAATATCCATTACCAGCCGACTGACTGACTCCCATTGACTGATTGCTCAATCCCAGCCCACCTCAAGATGGCTCCCCCACCTCCGGCGAGCATGCCTCTCCCACAGCGCCTGGCAGCTGTCGCCCAAACTTTACAGTGTACGTTGCCCACGCCAGGAGGCAGCCCACTCCGGCAGCAACCTCAATGACCGGGCACGATGCTGACTCTTCTCTCTTCATGAACAGTTGCCTGGTTCGTTGGGTATGTCATCCTCCTGCCTGACTATCTCTTTCTCCTGCCTGCTGCCACAGACGAGAGCTTTGTCCCCGCCCTCGCCTCTGCCAATCTGGACAGCTTTCGCCTAGGCAAGACATGGGACAGCTTCGAGGGCAGCGTCCGAGTCGCGAGAGCAAGACTCGAGTCTGAGACAGCAGCGACTGAGCAGGATTGATTCCGAGGCTAACTGTCCACCATCACAGGCATCTAACGCTGATTCTGTCTGTCCTGCGCTACTCGCTATCATGGATTCGGATGAACTATTACACCCGCATGGCCCAGTTCTCCTACCGTCTGGCATTTGTCGCCGCCATGCTCACCTACGGCATCGTCGTCTACAAGACCCTTCGCGCTCGCGCCAAGGCCGGCATGAAGTTTTCTCCCCAGGTTGCTATCTCTCTGATCGGTGACGAGAATGTCCAGTACTTCCGTGCGTTATCCCCTGATATGGAGCGATGCAAGAGTGTGATGGCTTCGCCTTTGTTGGCGCATCCGGCTAACTCTTCCCTCCACAGTCCTGGCCTTCGTCTGGCTCCTGGCTCCTCAGTACCCAATCGCCTTGCTGCCCTACAGCGTCTACTCCATCTTCCACTTTGCAACCTACACGCGTTCCACCGTCATCCCGACCATCATCCCTCCCACCCAAGCTGCGCCTGCAGCGGGTGCCTCTCCCAGCGCGAAGCCTCAGTACAACACTCATCCCATCGCGGATGCCATTGGAAGCTTTGTCAAGGAGTACTACGACACGTCTATGTCCGTTGTCTCGGGCCTTGAGATTGCCCTGTGGGGTCGGCTTCTACTGAGCGCCATCCTGTTCCAGCGTAGGAGCTGGATTCTGCTGGCCATCTACACTGCCTTCCTGCGGGCGCGCGTTAACAACAGCACCCACGTGCAGGGCTCCTTTGCTAGACTTGAGGCCAGAGTCGATAACCTCGTCGGGGCTCAGGGTACTCCACCTGCCGCCCGACAGATTTGGGATGCCGTCAAGGGAAGTGCCAGGACTTTCCACTCGGCTACTGATCTCAGCAAGTACGCCAATGGTGCCGCTGTGCCCAAGAAGACGTCGTAAAACGTATCAGCTACAGGTGCCGGAACGCGCCAATCTGCGCCATGGGTGAAGAGACGGCAGCTACACGCCTATGATTGGGCGTCTGGCAGGGACAACATCTGGGTAGTACTCGGTTGGCTCAATCAAAATGGATTCCCACAGTCTCTGGAATACGACATCATGAGTACAAATTTGAGAAGGGTTATGGATTGGGGGGTGGGGCTCATGCATCACCGCAAGCCGACGGGATGAAGGGCTGGGAGCGTCGAGTCAGTATCGGTGGTTCATCTATAATGGGACGATGGGAGGAGGCCACGGTTCTGCTAGTGCGCATGAGCGGGCATACGGGGGAGTTCACAGGGCGACTGAGGCCTGCTCTTTGTTTTTCTTTGACTGTAGACTCTGTTCTTGCTTTTTGCTTACGGTAGGACTTGCGGAGTATGGTCTTTCAGTCAGGAAGCAACGCGTTACTAGAAAATGTTATGATCGATCGTGATTTTCGACATAATCTCGCTCAGTTGGTGATACGACGAGGAACTCGACTTCAGGGAGGCATCCATGCAACTCTGCGGCATGTATCCCACGAAATCGAGCAGTTCGTGCAGCAGTCCTGGGCCTAGACCTGGGCGCTGATCCGGCCCAAGATCGGCAGCCGGGGACCCATTGGAGGGAAGCTCCGGTCGAGCTCTTTGTGCCCCACATATTCCCACCAACAAGACGTCAGTCGGGCCATGACGTAGCTGTCATTGTCTCATGCGCCTACGGGCTGCCTCTGCAGACCAAGCTTTCATCCTCGCAGCCAAGCTGAACTCTCGCATCAACCCACCTGCAGGCCATCCACTACTCCGAAACAGTTGACAGCTGCCTCTCTCGTGACGTTCCTAGGATCTTTCTCCTTGAATTGAAGATCTCTCGCCGTGCTGCAGACCGAGCCCCGTCTCGTGTTCTCGTTCTTGAGACGCAGCAGTTTGCTCACATCAGTCCAGTCGCTTCTTCGTTGTAACTCGAGACATCGTCTTTCCCCCCAGAGCACCATCTTGGCCCTGATTGCGTATCACACGCTACTGGTCCAACACAGTTATAGACTATGGCCTCCCTGTTGCGGCAGATCGTCGCAGGCCCTCGAGCCAAACACGCCGAGACGGGACTTGACCTTTGCTACGTGACCGACGACATCATTGTAACGTGAGTTCCAGCCTCGTTCTCCATCTGCGTCGACTTACTGCCCTTGCAGCCATACGAAATGCACGCAGACTGACAATGTACCGCCTCCGGCCAGCTCTGGACCGAGCCAGACATATCCCCAACGAGCCTACCGCAACCCTCTGGACCGCCTCGTCGCCTTCCTCGACGCCAAACACCCTGATAACTGGGCGATATGGGAGTTCCGCGCCGAAGGGACAGGATACCCTGACGAGGCCGTCTACGGTCGCATACGGCACTACCCCTGGCCTGATCACCACCCGCCGCCTTTCAGGATGGTGCCGATGATAATGGCTAGTATGAGGAGCTGGCTGCACGAGGAGGACACTCACTCGTCTGATACTAAGAAGGATGCAAAAGGAGACAAGGGCAAAGAGGTGGGTAAAAGTGAGGGGAAAAGCAAAAGAGTCGTTGTCGTACATTGTAAAGCCGGCAAGGGGAGGTCGGGTAGCATGACGTGCTCGTACTTAATTTCAGAGTGCGGGTGGAAGGCCGAGGATGCCCTGGCGCGCTTCACCGAGAGGCGGATGCGACCAACTTTCGGCGCCGGAGTGTCGATACCGTCTCAGCTCCGGTGGATAAGCTATGCCGACCGGTGGACGAAGGGGGGCAAGAAATACATCGATCGGGAGGTTGAGGTCCTGGAAATCCACGTCTGGGGCCTACGCCATGGGGTCAAGGTTAATGTCGAGGGCTTCGCCGACGAGGGCAAGAAGATCAAAGTCCTACACACGTTCAAGAAGGAAGAGAGATACGTGGTACAGGGCGATGCCCCAGGCGGAGGCGGAGTAATGGACCTCCTGGGAGACGCCTGGAGCCCTACCAACGAGGACGACGAGATCTATGAAGACGCAGACTACAACGAGATTGTCGGTAACGACAGTGACAAGAAGGGCAGCGACAGCAGCAACAATGCCAGCAAAGATTCCTCGCCGGCTCGGAGCAAATCTAAGAAAGGCTCACGGGCAAGCCGGCTGGTGTCCGGCTCACCTGCCCGCAACTCCAGCGTCAACAAGGCCAGCAAGAGCAAGACAATCAATCCTGCCGACTTCGCCGGCGCCTCGGAAACGTCCTCGCCGTCTGCCTCTAGCCTCATCGTCCCTAACAAGAACACATCCCAGCCGTCCCTAGCTCAAGCGTCCACATTCGCAGATACCAACGAGCCTGGGGGCATGGCGGTTATCTTCAAACCAACGTCCCCGATCCGCATCTCAAACTCGGACGTGAATGTCTCCCTCGAGCGGCGCAACCGCGCTCCGTCGTCGTTGGGCTTAACGATGGTCACGGCGGTGGCACACGTCTGGTTCAACGTCTTCTTCGAGGGCGGGGGCCCAGAGCAGAACGGCCGTGCTGACGAGTCGGGCGTGTTCGCGATTGACTGGGACAAGATGGACGGCATCAAAGGCTCAAGCCGCAAGGGCACCAGGGCAGCGGACCGCATCAGCGTTGTCTGGAGGGTGGTCGGCACCAACGGTCCCGTGCCGGAGGTCAAGGAGCCGGGCGAGGGCAGCCCGGTGCCTGAAATGAGGCCCGCGGACTGGAAGGGAGAGCATGACGAGGATCCCGGCGCAGACCGGAAACTCGGGCTGCGGGCAGAGACCTCCGCGAGCGCGTCGGTCAGCAAGGCGAGCTCTGTGAAGAGTGCTGCGGGTGACGGCGGTAAGGAGGGCGGGGACAGTGCTAAGGAGAGCGACGACGAGTCGCTGACTGGCGTGAAGAGTAGTGATCCCACGGGCCAGGAGCTCAAAGACAGCGACTCGGCGAAACTGGCCGTTTCCCAAGGAACGCCTCAGGAGGGCTCCAAGGGACAAGCTACTGGGGACGAGCTGTCGGACCACGAGAAAAAGGTCGAGGCGACGAGGGGCCGTACGGCAAACCCTGAAAAGGAGGCCAGCGGAGCAACGAAGTCCGAAGAGCAGCTTCTCGAAGCCGCCATGGCGCCGGTTCGAGAGGCTAGGCTCAGCAAGGCCAGCGAGACTGCCATCGTGCAGAAGAAGGCCGAGGAGGAGGCCGCCTCAAGTACAAACCCGTCTGAAGAACATGGCGGGCAAGGAAGTGACGACGGCAAGGACCACGACAGCGGTGAGCGCAAGCTCGGCTTCGTCAGGGCAGGTAAGAAGCTCTTGCCGCTGCACTCGAAGAAGACTGACGAGGACGGGAAAGATCCTAGAGTGGTGAACGCGAGTGTCAAGAAGTAGATTCTGTAGATGGGCTCGGCGCGGAGCTGAGGTGATTTCCACACTTGTTTTGGTCTGATGGCATTGGGTAACAGCAGCATTATGCCGTATGGGGGTTTTGTCTTGTTTCCTGTTGGGGGAAACGTCTTGTTCGAGCAACAGCGTGCGTGCCTGCCGTAAACGTGTTGGACAATACCCTGAATAGACTGCATTTCTTTTGACTTGTACGCGTGACCTAGGACTATTCTGTCACAGCATCTCAACCGCCTCACATTAGCACCCTTGAGGGAGCAACGATAGCGTCGTAGCCTCTGAGTGATCGGCCATTGGGAGCGTGCCTGTTACTCAGCAAGGCCGAGCCCGAGAAGATGGAGACTGGCTGCCGGCGCACGCGGCGGAGGGTGGTCAGAAGCCTAGCCTCCATGTCTCCCCGCATCAAGCTACGTAACACCCTGGTCGGGGTTATTCCGGCGGAGTAACCTTTTTGAACGAGAGTTTGCATGGACCACTCGTGCGGCGCAAAGAGCGAGTTAGCGCGAGCTCTCAGCGCCGAGGGTTGGGCGCGAGGCCGGGCCCGATGATATGCGGAGTCGAGGGCCCGGAAGAACTTGAAGGTTTGTCTTGTCGCGTCCAAGGTTTGATGGTGCTGACGTCGTGGGACCCGGTGTTGTTCTGGTTTATCTCTTATATCTGTCATAGCCCACCTCTCTCGTAGCACAGAGGTTCGGGTATATAAACCTGGGCACCTCTGCCCGGGCAGTGATCGAGGTCAACTGTGAGCTAGAAACATCGGAAACACGACACGAGCCCCAGCCAGCCTGTGAGACCCCGAACGAACCGGCGACCATGTTGTCCCTCATCGACCAGCTCCTCCCGGCCCTCCAGGAGAGCCTGGCCGAGCACCCCTTGCAGACGCTGCTGGCCGCGTTCGTCCTCACCCTCGTCTCATATGTCGTCGTCAACGAGGTCGTCCGCTACCAGGCCCGAGTGCCCGGCATGTCGGGCCCGCCGGGGCTCCCGCTCATCGGCAACCTGTGGTCCATCCGGTCGAACGCTGCGGCGCAGTACCGCGAGTGGTCGAGGCGGTATGGCGATGTGTACCAGGTGCAGATGGGGAATGTGCCCGTCGTCGTTGTGAACAGCGCCAAGGCGACGAAGCACCTCTGGGTTGGACAGAGCCAGGCGCTGAGCTCGAGGCCTGTTACTTATACGTTTCACAAGGTTGGTTGGCTCACTTATATCCGAAATCACATGCGGGACTCCTCTGTCTATGGACACGATGATAGTACTTGACTTGGGCCTGACTGATAAACATTCCTAGGTGGCGTCCAGCACAGCTGGCCTGACCATCGGCACGTCGCCATACGACGACTCGCTCAAGCGCCGCAAGAAGGGCGTCGCCGTCGCCGTCAACCGGCCCGCCATCGCCAGCTACGTGCCCTACCTCGACATCGAGTCCCGGACCTTCGTCCGCGACCTCCTCGTGTGCGGGGAGGCGGGCAAGAAGCCCATCGACCCGCTGCCCTTCATCCAGCGGCTGTCGCTCAGCCTCGCCGTGACCATCAACTGGGGGGTCCGCATCCCGACGGTCGAGGACCCCATGTTCCGCGAGATCGTCGCCGTCGAGGAGGAGCTCAACCGCTTCCGCAGCACCACGGGGAACCTGCAGGACTACATCCCGCTGCTGCGCCTCAACCCGGTCAACGCGGCGAGCGCGCTGGCCCGCGAGATGCGCGACCGCCGCGACGCCTACCTGCACCGCTTCAACTCGGACCTCAAGGCCGAGGTGGAGAAGGGGACCAACAGGCCGTGCATCCAGGCCAGCGTCATCACGTACAAGGAGGCCGCGCTCACGGAGACGGAGCTCACCTCCATCAGCCTCAGCATGCTGGGCGGCGGCTTCGAGACCGTCAGCACGACGGTGCAGTGGAGCATGGGGTATTTCGCGCAGCACCCGGACATCCAGGACAGGGCGTTCGCCGCCATTAGGGAGTTCCAGGGATTGCAGAGTGAGGCGGCGGATGGCGGCGTGGACCCGCTGCCTGACGCGGCTGACGAGCAGAAGTGTGCGTATATCAATGCGCTGGCGAGGGAGGCGCTGCGGTATTTCACCGTGATCCCGCTTAACCTCCCGCGTGAAAGTATACGGGATGTTGAGTACGAGGGGATGAGGATACCGAAGGGCACGACGGTTTACATGAATGCCTGGGCGTGTAACTACGGTGAGTCCACGCATTCTTCCACCTGCCCTTTCCCCCCGTTGCCCCAAAAAACCGCAATGGTCTCCCAATCACTCGCATCCTTCACGCTTGGACTGCCTAAAGGGAAAAACACATTGTGAAAGACACAGCCGAGCTGACCCCACGCACCGCACCACAGATCCAGAACTATGGGAAGACCCGGACGTCTTCCGGCCGGAGCGCTGGCTCGAGAAGCCGGACGCGCCGCTCTTCACCTTTGGCCTGGGGTACAGGATGTGCGCCGGCCACCTCCTGGCCGCGAGGGAGGTGTACCTCATCTTCATGCGGCTGCTGGCGAGCTTCAGGCTCGAGCGGCCGCCCGGCGCCGCCGCGGCCGACGTCGACCCGGCGAGCGGGTTCAAGAACCCGCGGGACCTGATCATGGCGCCCAACTCGTACGAGGTGCTCTGCGTGCCGAGGGACGAGGCCAGGCTGAGGGGCGTCCTGGCTGAGGGTGGGGCGGAGGGTGGGGAGAAGGTCTGAGGTGGGTGCGAAAGGAGGGCGGTTAAGGGTAAGGTGTGGCACTGTACTACTGAGCCTATGGATGAGTCGACGTGTAGCATCCTCCGGAAGAATTGCAACGGCGCTGCAAGCTGGAGACTAACTAGTGTATTTGTTGGACAAGACTTTGGAAATAGATTGCTCGTGTCAAAGCTAGGTGAGTACCTAGGTACTTAGGTACGAGAAGTCAGGGGCCCCAGCCCCAACTCTTCCCCTTAACATCCTCTTCCCTCCACCCCGAGATATGACAACACCGACAGCGACACCCGCAAATGAACCAGCCTTTGCACCGCGGCCATCCTGGATCCAAGGCCAGGTCGCCTTTCACGAGCAAAATCACGGTCCGCTCCCCGATGTCGTCGCAACACAAGGCCAATATCTTGTAGCCCAGCCGCACACGCCTGTCTTTCCACCCCTCAGATCCGAGACTGAAGCGTTCGCTACCGAGCTCACCGCGTCGCTGGGTGCCCTCACCTCTCGCCAGAATCGTCGCCGCCTCGGATACGGGGTCGAGGCCGCGGAAGAATGGCCCATCGGTCGAACACCGCCGAAAGTCCGACGTGCTCAGAAGGAGAGGCTTAGGGCGAAACTCCGCGCATCACTAGAAGAGGACTCAGAGTCGGATATCGAGGCCGTCCTAGATAGTTATTATCCGCTCTCGCCTGTCCCGTCTGAATCGCAAGGCTCTCCCTCTTCGTCCTTCGCCATCGATCCCAAAACCGCCATTGTGTCGCGCGATGGTCAAATCGACTCCGAAAACGACTTCGGCAAGAAGAGGAAGCTGGAAAAGGTTGAGGAAGCACATGACCATGCCGGAGATACGGAACATACGATAAAGAAGACGAAGGCTGAAGATGTGTCTGGAGCTGATGACGGGCCTCAAACCAGCATGGTGGAAGACCTGGGGTCTACGGATGGTGTTCTTGAGCGCCCAGATAGTACAGCAGCGCCAAAATCGCACTCCGAAATGGGAGACGGCTCATGCCTACAACGGACTGCGGAGAGACATTCCTCACCAACTGACAACGCCCCTTCCGCAGTCACAACCGATACGCCTCGTAGAGACAGAATCTACCGTTTGGGTAGGGCCGGTCAGCGCCACGCAACCTGTTCTGCGCTGGAAGAGGTCGTTCATGGAAAGGCAGGGGGTCAGAACAAAGCAAGTCGTCCACGAGCGACACGACCTCACCTGCTTTCAGCGGACGAGGAGCCCAAGAAGCGAGTCTCACCGATTGAGTCCCAACGGGGATCGAAAGAGAAAGACTCTTCACCGACGGCCGGGGAACACAAGGCAAAACAGAGCCGCAAGATCCATGAGCGTGGTCGTGGTGATAGTCAAAAGAAGAAGCCCCCTAGGCGGCACGGCCGTGCACCTACAACATCTGATGAAATGAACGCAGAGCCACTCGAGAAGGCCGATGTGTCCTTGATGGCCCAGGAGGCGGCCAAAGTAATCATGGACAACAGGAAGTACAGGAAAAAGGCGCCTTCACATGATACGCAATCTCTACGCCGGAGTGAGAGGCTAAGACGGAAACAGGGCTTTGCTAAACCTCCCGATTGAGGAATCAAGCCAACCTTGTCCCAAGCCCCATTGCTTGGTGCTGACACTCAGCAAGCAAAATCCCATCACTGTACGTTATTTCGGGCCAATTTCCTGGTAGTCCGCAACCCGACGCCTTGTATTGTGTCGTCTGGCTGTAGATTTCCCAGCCGCCGAACACCGGGAGCAGAATGTTGCTTTCTGACAGGCCTGAGGCGTGTAGTGAGGACTTGATCCAAACTATCAACATATCATAGTCTACTTGATGCAGCCTCGTCCAGCCTCGTAACTCCACGCATGGTAATCCGTCCCGGTGGAAACTCCTACTATATTCAGCCTAGTACGTCTGAACAGTCTCTCGAGACTTTCTGTGGTCTTGGAGCCACCGGATCGTCACATTCAGGAACGCGAGAGACTGGTAAACGGATCGGAAGTCAGAGAATCTGTCGCCGATCCAATGTTCAGAGACTCGAGTGATGTCCTACCAGAAAAAACAGTGACGATATTTTCCGTGCCAGGCCTGGACTCGGTTAACCTAATTCATGACCGGCTTGTCGACCGGATCCATGGCGGAGACTATTCAGATCGCATGATCCAAAGTTTTGAGCTTCACTGACATTGTGAAGCCTAATCCTTTTCATATTTGGCGTACCATCTTTGATCTTTCTGAACTGGGCCGAAATGATAATGGCCTTTGTGTGGCTGTGACTTCTGGTTACTAACTCCAGTGTATCACATACTGACTTGAACATTGCTCGCAGAGGCTATGATTTACACTCATTTGCTCACATCACACGAGCGAAATTCAACGCTAGATATGCATATGAAATTTCATAACCTCTAGAAATCGAGAAACATTCAACAATAATGATTTGAACCCCATATCCAGCTCTGGTCCTGGATACTGAAGCAACTGCCAGTGGAATTCTCTGCTTCCGCATGAAACATTGTCCCTCCAGCCGACTCATCAGGGACATAGCTTACAGCTGTGCAATGGAATCAAATCAGATCAGCCATGCCTCATTCGTGAAGGGAGCAATAGAAAAAGAAAGAAAGGAAGGAATGAAGGGGGGGGGGGGAAGGTCGACGCAGACCGACAGAAATAGCACATACCTTGTTCAAAATCCAACAGCGCTTGAGTTATGGTCGGATCCTTGTAAAAGCTAAAACCTTGGCTCGCAATGTCACCGACAGCAGCTGCCGGCGTGAACACCGAGGACGCGTTGGCGGAAGTTGAGTCGATCGATTGATTATCGAGCTGCGAAGCCGTCTGGCAAGCCTCACGACGCTCGGCAACCGAGGCCCGCACCTCTTGTGCACCTGGCAGCGGTGGGTTGAGATTATTGTCAACACCTACCTCGCCATCCACAGCTGCCGCCGTCGCAGTTGTCGTGTCCTCGCTGGGGCGCGGAAACTCGAGCATCTCTTTCATCTCCTTGGTAAGCACGAGGGACATGAGCTTCTTGAGGATTCCGAGGCCCTGTTCTGCGACGATAGACCTGACCCTCAGCCGCGACTGCATCTCCATCAGCCGCCGGATACCCATCTTGCAGTCGTGAGACTCCTGCGTCAGGGGCGCCAGCGTCGTCAGGATGGAGAGGGCTATCGCAGCTGTGAGCAAGTGCAGGGACACGAATGAGACGGCGTAGGTGTCGGCGACGCCCTGGAACAGAGGCAGGGAGCCGATGTTGGATATCTCTAGGGCGGCGTCGCGGCAGACTTGGGTGGATGACTGGCACGTATCTGAGGTGCCTGGGATGGTGGTCGTCGCGGCAGCCTTGTTTGTTGGCGGAATAACCATCCGATATGATAGGAGCGGTCTGTGGATAAGAAATTTTGGCATTCTCATAGGCAACCTTGAGAGAAAGTGCTTGAAGCTGAAAGAGGCGGTTTTGAAACGCCTCAACACTCAACCCATCGGTGCCGTCAATGCTTGGACCGCGCTCGATGGATTTGCTACCAGGACCAGAGAGGCACGCAGGGCGCAGCTGCAACGGAAGTCTTGCGTGCCACTCGCGGAGCCTCTTGTCCAGGCTCGTCACACCTGCCATCATCCCCTGCAAACGATCCCTGTCGGCTGCGCCTGAGTTGCCATTTGCGTGCGTGCGGCGTTGGCGCAATCCATACAGGTCTGTCAGCGCAGACTTGACGATGATGGACAGCTGGGCCATGGCGTGCTTGTACGAGAGGAGCGTCGCCTGGCCCATCTGTTGCCGGATGCTTGAATCCCACGACGCATCACTCGACCGCAACGGATACGGGCAGAGAAGCTGGACATCGCAGTCGTCATCGTTGATGTTCAAGGGAAAGCCGTAAAGCATGGAGCACGTCGTTTCGATCTCATACACCGCCCACCAGCACCTCTTGCGCGTCTCCTCGGCGCGCTGCCCCGGATCGTCGAGGTCGGGCGGGCCAGGGGTGCCTCCTGATTGGGGTCGTCGCCGGTGCAGGTTCAGCGCCTGCGCAATGCGGAGGCCACACCCACAGATGGGCCACGTCAGCTCCGGCTCGCCGTGGTACAAGTAGAAGCTGCCCAACAGGACACAGGCTTGCACGGCCTCGATAGACCCTTGTGCGACGACCTCTAGGAGACGCATCCGGAGGGCATCAAGCAGCCGTTTCTGTAAATCATCTGCCACGATCACACAATCGCACAGGTATTTTCTCTGACGGTCGTCAATGTACTGTAGGCTGATGATGCAGACGGCCGTAAGAACACTCAGAAAGCCGAGCCCGACACTGGTGGGCTGCCGCGGGCCTTTCTCGTCCAGTTCTCTGTATAGCTGTCGGAGCGCCCCTCTGAAGTCACTCTGGTGAAATATGAGCATGAACCAGTGCACCTTGTCAAAGTAGTTGTTCACCAGGAGTATTGCGGCAGTGCGGGAAGGTATTATGGCTAAGAGCTCGGCCTCGGCGGGACTGATCACGTCACGGCGGCTGGCTTCTCTTGGCTGCTGTCCGGCAGTGTTGTCCCTGGAGCCACGAGGGTGGCACAGTCTCTGTTCGGATGGTGGGCCACCGGAACAACTGTGTGGTGTTTTTGCAGCGCTACCAATCCGGATACTTCTGTCTTGTCCTTGCGTCCAGTGGCTGGAAGAGAAGGCCGAGGTCTCTGGCCCGCCTGGCGAGGTGGTGTTGTGCTGGTGGAAAGCCTTCACCGAAACATACGTGAGCACATGTTCAAAAGCTCAAGACCGATGTGCGATTTACCTCTTCCATGAACTGCATAGCCCCCGAGCTTGAAACCCAGGAAGACGAGCCAATCTCTGGCGGTGAAGAAGGAATTTGATCCCCGGGCGTGCCTCGCCTGCTCTGTGTACCACTTCCACCGGCTGTGCTTGGGTCACCTGGCGGGGATGCAGTAGGCCCAGCAGGTGAAGCCATGTTCTCGACAGAGGTAGCACGGCGCGGCCGCTTCGCTGCCGGTAAATCTACAGGGGCTTGACGGGAGGAACGACTAGGCTTAGGGCTCTGGCCTGGGCCTTGATTCTTCCACACGGTTGGGCCTTACAGCTGCAGAGCAGGTCGCACCAGCCCTCACGCAGAGCGTACATGGGCGCTGGACATCGCACTGTGCTCGACGTGCACAATTAGCCAAAATCCCTTGCTGCCTTCGATGATCACATCCTAGCTTCCAAGGCCTGGACAAATGGGGAGAGGGACGGCAACATGCTTGCCTTGAGCTTCTGCTGTCTGCAGCGCTGGCACGCGCTCGGCACTCTCTTCTTTCTGAGAGGCCCCGTCGGTGGTGATCCCGAAGCTGGTCCCGAAGCAGCCGGTGGCTGCGAGTCTGCCGCAGATGGCTCCATATTCTTTCGATCCGTAGCCAACTAGGAAATACAGAGGGGCGGACGGAACATACAACAAGGGAAATGGATGGCTGACACCAAAACTGTTCCCGGTGAGGTCAAAGAGCCAGAAAGGACTTGGACCCTCTGGAGAGTATTCCGGCGGAGCTAGAAAGGGTAATTCTGTTCCGAGACGTCTGATCTAAACTCTAATAGGCAACGCCTTCCGTCGGCACGGAACTTGGTCCTCTTGCTTCCATACGAAACTTGCGCTCACCTCACGACGTTAGACATTTCATGGTGCAGTTGATACATAATTCAATTTAAAATAGAGCCTGGTGTTTTGTAAGAAATCAAAAGAAGATAGCAATATCACCTAAACAATCCGTACCCTTTTCTTCTCACAACCTTCTATGCTGAAATGCTCCCCTTCGAGGCGTCGAATGAATACTTGCCCGCCAATCCAAATATTTTCCGTTCTCTTCTATCTTATGTCTTCCGTCATTCCACCAGACCAGTTTTCCAAGAGCAATGTAGACTTCAGTCGGCTTTATGCAAGCCGGAATCACGGCGCAGTACAAGCCGACAAACCCATGCGTGACTTGGCCTGTGAGTGAAGAACCGGCAGGAGAGCACCTAGCGTCGAGAACAACAACATAGTGTCTGCCCGTTACCTGTGAACTACATCTGTCACGATATAGCATCCAATAATAACTGATTGGCCCGTGAACCAAGGGCGGGCCCAGCGGACCCTGAGCCCCACGCCGTTACACTTGCCAGTGGAACAAAGTAGCATTCGCGCTTAGTCGTCGGCACCGAACAAGACCCGTCGTTCCGGCGCTCCGGCAGATCGGCATTCAGGTTTTGTGGATCCACGTTTTGCAATGGGTAATGCGTAGGTGGCCTACAGGCTCACTCAGGAGTGATATTGCGGGGCTGGGCAGCACGTCGCAGGGAATAGTAGTCATGGTGATTCCAATCCCGATCGATCTCGGCACTTCATCTCATTCATGGATTGCTATAGGTGGACGACTTTTTGCTGGCGCGGAGTCTGTTGCAGTGTTGTAGGTGACTCGGCAACTACGGTGGATACGTGTGGTCCCGAAATCCGCTCGAAGGTTGCCTTTGCTGTGTATTATTTGTACGGTGGCGAGAACGAAGAGCGGAGGAACCATCAAGTAGTCGTTCCGGTGGATGTTTCTCAAAACGAGAACTATCGAAACAAAAAGTCTGCTACAATACTTAGCATCGAACTTTCCATTTCGCCGTGACTCAAACCTGTAGTTCAGACTGTATCCCGGCTACCATTGCTACAATGTTTTCGAACATCGACCAGGCTACTGGTTTCGCCTCGGTGGCGCTGACGCCCTTCATCGCAATTGGCCTTGTAAGTCTTTCAATCGTAAAGCCCATCAAGACTCGCTTTCATCGGGCTCTGAATTAACGGTCAGCCATTGATCAGCTTCTTGCATACTTGTTGTCGTATTGCGTCTACCAACTCATCTTCAGCCCCCTGCGCAAGTTCCCAGGCCCCAAGCTATGGGCGGTATCATACATCCCCTATGTTCGCCTCTACACCTCCGGGAATGGTCATCGTGAGATATTGAGACTTCACCAAAAGCACGGCCCGATCGTCCGCGTTGGCCCGACGCACCTTTCCATCAACCACCCCGACGGCATGCAAGATGTCCGCGGTCATCGGAAGACGGGCGAGAACCCCAAGGAAACCATCCATGCCATTCCTAACCGGGACAACATCATCGGTGCCAACCGCGAGGACCATCAACGCTTCCGTCGCGCACTGGCCCACGGATTCTCTGCCCAGTCCATGTTGGCACAGCAGCCTGTCATCAAGCATTATGTCGACCAGCTCTTCGGAAAGCTGCATGAGGCTTCTGAAGGCGGCACGAGGCCTGTCGATATTGAAAGGTGGTTCAACTTCACGACGTTTGATGTCATTGGCGACTTGGCGTTCGGCGAGCCTTTCGGGTGTTTGGAGGGTGGTAAGTATCATCCTTGGGTCGACATCATTTTCAAGAGCATCAAGAACATGGCATTCTTGACTGCTAGCAGACGGCTTTCATGGATTGGGCCGTTGCTCATGATGACTGTTCCTCGCAGCTTGGGTACCAAGCTTGCTGAGAACAAGGAGCTATCTCGACAGAAGGTGCGGAAGAGGTTAGACCTCGGAGCCGGCCGTCCGGACTTCATGGACGCCATGATTAGGAAATCGGAATATGCTGGTTCGGTGAGTTGTGCTATGTACCTGGGCCACTGGGTTCGTCCACCACTGATGCGTCACAGACGATATCCTTTGAAGAGCTCACATCCAACGCTTTTATACTCATTGTCGCGGGCTCGGAAACAACGGCCACGTTGCTGTCTGCGGCGACTTTTTTCCTGGCCACTAACCCTGCGTCCTTGGCGAAGCTCAACGACGAGGTTAGGTCAACGTTCCAGAGCGAAGATCAGATCGACATGCTCAGTGTCCAGAACCTCAAATATCTATCAGCTGTCTTGGACGAAAGTATGCGGTGTTACCCTCCCGTGCCCAGTTCTAGCCCGCGTATAATTGGCGAGGGAGGCGATAGAATCATTGGCGAATTCATACCAGAAGGGGTAAGTAAGATTTTGTGATCTGTTTCTTCAAGAAAATGGATTATCTCACCTGAGTATCTCATAGACAAGCATTGATGTATGGCAATGGGCCGTTTACAACAACCCCGACCATTTTGCGATGGCTGAAAAGTTCATCCCTGAACGCTGGCTGGATGACCCGAGGTTTGTTGGCGACGCCAAAAGAGCCCTTCAGCCCTTCTCAATTGGGCCCCGAAATTGTATTGGAAAGAAGTAAGTTATTCGTTCGGAACCAGGCCTGGTTTTGTAACACGCCGTGGGACCAGCTGACAGGTGCTCTTTTAGTTTGGCCAACGCAGAGATGCGACTGATCCTAGCCAGGTTAATCTGGAACTTTGAGATACGCGCTGGGGAAAAGTTGCAGGACTGGTACGATGATAGTGAGGTATATATCCTGTGGCAGAAGGGACCAGTGAATGTGTATTTAATGCCTAGAATCTGAGCCCATAGATTTTCTGCCTTGCCCTATATGTCGTTGCAGGCCTAAACACATGTGTCATTTTAAACCAACATTGATATTGTTAAATCCTTGATTGTATGTTAATACTACGCTGCTATTCAATTGATATACCATTGCTGTGCGTACTTGCACGTGTAGCTTAGATAACACTGACCACTCACCACCACGTTGATGTCTGCAGCGTCGACAAATCATAGCAACGTGGTGTGGGGGCCAGTCGCAAGTACTCTTTACTCTCATATGCAATCAATCGTATCGTTTTGGCGCTAGTAAGCTGTATAATACACATCACACCCTTTTTTAATCGCACTTTATTTAAGTTTCTTAATATAGCTTTAATTTAATAATTATTTATATTAAAAGAAAGCTACTTTCTTTTTAATTCTTTTAATATAAATTTAAGGAGGGAAAAGAAAATATTAAGGGTATAAGATATATTTAAATTAAGGTTAAAAATAACTTAAGTTAAAGTTAAATTTAAAGGGGTAGTAAAGAATAATAAAATTTAAGAATTATATTAAAATTACTATAAATAGGGGGTAATTATACTTAAATTTATTTAAAAATACCTTTTTCTTAAAATTTTAAATTTATTTTTAAAATTAAATATTAATATACCTTATACCTTAAATAATTCCTTTACCCTTCTTAAATAAATATTAAAAAAATTTAAAAAAAGTAATTATTTTTTAATATAAGGTATATTTAAATTAAGGGTATATTTATTGTGTAGAAGGTGAAAATAGTTGAAAAACAAAGTGAGGAGGAAAAAGGGTGTGGTATATGTTGTGCAGCTTACTAGCGCCAAAACGATACGATTGATTGCATATGAGAGTAGTGCGCCACGTTTTCCCCTCACTCCTTTCCGATTCTTCGCTCGTCTATTTTCTCTTGCCACTGGTTAAATCACTCTATCGGCCTAGGAATTGATCCCGATCCCGTCGACACCACGCTCAACGAGGGGTTGTGATTCTAGGAAAACCAACAACTTACGAAGTCAGCTCACAGGGCTTCTGTAGACCTTAACTATGCCGGACGCCGACGAAGCAACCCGATCGCTCGTCCCTAAATACTCGCTCGAAAAGATTGAGCAGCTGGCCCAGGAGACCACATTATGCCAACTTTGTCGGATCATTTTTGACCCCAAAAAACATTGGGAGACTGAGGACAGAGACCTATCATTCCCATCAGACGTCTTCGATCCGCAGGATAGGTATAAGCACCATCGATCACAACACAGCCTTCTGCGCTCCGCAAAGGAAGGATGTTGGCTGTGCAAAGAACTGGAATGAAGGATGTCACGCTGCTCGACTGTTTGTTTCTTACCGTATGACCCGTGCGGCTCATACCCTTGCTGGTCCTTGGAAGCACACCATCCCTCGCGGGATGAACTCCAGGTGGCAGATGTGTCGTTCCTTCTAAAACACAGTAATATCTGTTTATCCATTCAGCAAACTCGCTTAGAAGAAATTGTGTTCTGACAGATAACAGTTGCTGACTTAGAAGGAATCTCGATTGCTGCCCCACAAAGAAGTGACAGCCTTTGGACTGTCCGAAGTTGGCTTGAAAGGTGTAGGGGAGATGACCATCCAGCTTGCCAGATATACAGAAACCCCGGCCTATCTTCAAATACCAAACCGACAACACTTCTAAATATAAATACCGACCGACCGGATACTATTCAGCTTATCGAGGTTAAGCTGAATAGTTCATTTCACTACTTTTACGTAACTCTCAGCCATAAATGGGGTCAGCCTGAGCCCCCAAAACTCTCTGAGCTCGAGGGGCCATCTCAGAATGGGACCGTCTCGAAAGGAAACTCGAAGAAGGCATGTGTATCTCTGAGCTCCCACGGACATTCCGAAACGCAATTGAAATCGTTCGAGCCATGATAAGGACACAAACGTCGATCAGCGGGAAGACGCCACAGTCGTTATACAGCAGGGAGCTTATGAACAATTCAAACAACATATCATCTACTCAGAGCTTCTTTCGCGTGGTTGGACATACCAGGAAATACTTTTGTCTCCTGCAAACCTCCTCTGTACACGGCAGATGATGTGGTGGTCTTGTTCTGACGCTAGTTGTTCCGAGCTATTTCCCGAGAATATCTTAAATCTTGGCCACGAAATCAACGAACCCCCTCTGTTCGTGGATAAGCTTCGGAGCCATAAGGTGGCATTGAAGAGCGACAAGAATCCAATCGACATCTGGATGGATGTAATCTCGTCCTATAGCAGAACATCTGTCACTTTTACAGTACGCTATATAGGTGATAGCCATGGTAATGCTCTCGGCATTACAACGTCCCTCTTTTGTGGTGTTTGGCATAATAGGCTTTCTTGTGCCGTAACAGTTTATAATGCCTCCCTAGGGGTTTTAAGTTTGAGCCAGACTTTGTAACTTTGTTTTTCCTTTGGCCATGGATTTTCTCACGTAGGCAGGGACCTGATGTGATCTTGGATCTACCCACGGGAAGAAGGCGAATTACAACCGAGAAGCTGGATAACTTAACTTAGAACTTTGAAATAGTGCCTTTGGATTTATTTCAAGGGGTACCTATATAGCGGGAAGGAGGTAGCAAACTAGCCTTATTTAATTTATTAGGATAATGAATCTTAAGGTTGAGCAATTGTTATAGTACGCTATATAGATGATAGCCATGGTAATGCTCTCGGCATTATAACGTCCCTCTTTTGTAATGTTTTGGCGCAATAGGCTTTCTTGTGCCGTGACAGTCACCTTCCGCGACGGCCGGATAGTCGCGATTGCAGGAATTGCCAGACTCTTCTTATCTTGGTTTCCTGACCTGCTAGACTCGGCTGATCTTTGTGGTCACTTTCACTCCGGAATATGGTCGACAAAAGTCATACAACAACTCCTTTGGAGGTGTGAGTCTCTCCAAGCGGCCCGCCGTTCACAATACTATCAAAGCTGTATACCTTCCTGGTCTCCGCTTATTTCTTTACGTTGCTACCCCATGTATAATCGTACAGACAAAGTTACTACTCTCGCTGAATACGTGGAGATAGGGTCCTCTGGCACTACTGGTGTTTTTGGAACCGATCGATTTGGGCGCGTTCAAAATGAAAATGAGGCGGTATTACACCTTCGAAGTATTCTGGTTCCCATAATTGTGAGGGACGAGTATACCGGACTGACTTTCCAGGATGAGGAGGGAGAGGAGGGAGAGGAGGAAGGGGACGAGGAGATAATCCGGATACACTCAGTGGTACGGCTGAAGGATTATAATGGGGAAGATTTTGACATGAAATGGGACACAGTGGAAGATTGGGCACGGGCGATGTCGCCTTCAAAGGTCAACGGGGTTGATTTGAGAGCTCTTCCCTGAGAGGTACGACAGTGGGATGACCCGCGTGAATATCTTGAAATTGTTGGAATTGTTCTGAGGCCCGACTATGAAGCTCGCCATCGACCAATCAAAAACGACGAGATTCATCGCAACCTACCAGGGGGAGGGGGGGTTTTTGTCAACATCACATCACGATGTCAATGGAATAGCGACATAATAGTGACATGCAATCAAGGTTCTAATATGCTTTTTTGTATATACATTACATTATTTACATATTACTAATATACAAATATTCCTAATATATTGTAATATTATATTAATCTTAATATTATGTTAACTTTTAATATAGGGGTAAAAAAAAAACTCTTTTTTTTCCTTGTTCCTAACCCAACTACTTATTTATTCTTTATTAGCTTAACTATTTATTATAAAAGGATTTATGGAACTACGGAAATATTTAAAAATAGAATTAGGTTTAAAGTTAATAAGGTTTAAACCAAAGCTTTTAATATAGAATTACAATAATATTAGCTGATATATAATTAACGCTAACATAAAGTTAATATTGATATGATTTAAAGCTTTGATATAATTTGGTTCTGATAGTATTTTGATAGCATTTCGCTAGTATTATATTATATTTTCAAAATTTTGTTTAGATGTCAAAACATGATTACATTGCGTGACCCATACAAAGACCCCCCCTCCCCCTGGTAGGAAGTTGTGGGTGTGATGCGGCTTTTTCAACTGCTACTTAAGACCTCAATCCGCGAACGGATTCGAGAGAGCATTCGCCTTTCAACGGTACGGATGGACTTTCGAGACTGGAGTTTCAAACAATCGAGGGGGAAAGGAACAGGCTTACGTGCATCTTGCCGGCATGGGGACAGCGTCAGACCTGGACGATGTGTTTATCCTCTGATGAGCAACCCAAGAGCCTGGCCAATTTCAACGAATATACGTGGGTTCGGTTTGAGCTAGTCACGCCTTGGTTGGCCATATACCCATATCTAAAGGAGACTCGGGGCAGAGCAGCACTTGGGGTATGCTTGTGTAAGGGGATATTTTTTGGATTCCAGAAATGACAGATCTACGCTACCATTTGCAAAGGCTGAGCCCCGGCAAATGTACTTTGTCTTGTAATATCTGCCGGCTGCACTTCTGAGTCCACCCGTAGAAGATAAAATTGATGTATTGCAGAAACGGGTCGATGCTGTAGTGGCAAACGTATTTACAAGGTTGCAGGAAATCTTGGTCGGTCGGTCGGTAGACGCACGCAGTAGTCATCAAATGACATGTATGTACGGGCAATTAGATCTGAATGAGCTGAGGATGCAGAGAGCATGCAGAAGGGACCTAGCTGGGTCACGTCTTGTACTGCCTGATATCCACCGGCTCGGGTGAATGAGAGGCCCACAAGCCCACAAGCCAACTTCAGCCTAGTCTGTATGTAGTCATGCTATCCGACATCCGCTCACATCATAGCACGTCCACCAAACTTTGTTATGGCATCCACTCTAGGACTTAGTTTGTCAATCGCAAATTGCTCAAAACGAGCAGTCTATTTTTATATATATCACACCACCTTCTAGATTTCTTCTGCAGCTGCTGCATCCTAACCGTACGATCAAACTGCAGCACACTTGCGCCAGCCAACATTGAAGTGCGGAACATCCAATCCCAAACAACCAGTCAGTCAAAATGAGCCACTTCGCAGACATCAACGCGGTCTCGAGGTTCCTCTCACAGGAGGACATCCCCGACCTGCGCAAAATCGAGCCAGTCGACGCAATCATCCTCTGCGTGTGCTCGGTCCTGCTCAGCTCAGAGACCGTATTCGAAATCATCCGTGAGCGCCCTGGGATCACCAAAACTCTTGTCCTCTGCGGCGGCATCGGGCACTCGACCACATTCATCTACGAAGCCGTCGCCCGCCACCCCAAATTCAAGTCGATTGCACCCGAGATCCAGGGCCTGCCCGAGGCCCAGGTGCTGCTGGCCATCTTCAACCGCTTCTTCGCCCCGGACTTCACGGCCGAGCAGCCTCCGCCGCGGATCCTGGCCGAGGACCGCTCCGTCACCTGCCACACCAACGCCAGCGAGACCCGCAAGCTGCTCGAGGCAAACGGGGTTCCCACGCCTGCATCCGCCGTCCTTGTACAGGACCCCCTCATGGTCAGGCGAACGATCGCCTGTTTCGACAGGGTCTATCAGGACCTGCCCAAGCCGCCCAAATTTGTCGGCTGTCCCGTCTTCATCCCGCAGGTCGGGCCGGACAGCGGGGACAAACTGGTCTACACGGCGCCAAGTATAGCGCCAGAGCTGATGTGGGACATGGACCGTTTTCTTGATCTCGTCATGGGCGAATATCCGCGCCTAAAGGATGATGAGAATGGGTACGGACCTAACGGCAACCACACTATCGTTCATGTCGACATCCCGGCCGAGGTTGAGGAGGCATGGAACAGGCTGTCTGAGAAAGTCAAGAATGGTCGACACATGAAGCCTCAAAAGTCAGCCTAACAAATCAAACGATGACGACGGAATGGGTTGTGATCACTTTGAACTACTCCGAGAAAGGCACGTCGTAACTCAACACTAGCCTTCATCGAAAAAGAGTAATCTGAAACAATTAGAAAAACATTGTTAAGCCAGTTCGTATCCTAGGAGCCTAAGTAGTAGATTGTATATGCAACCAAAGAGTCCGCTCCGTAAATGACAATCTAGAGAAACAATTACTCAGCACAGGGACACGTGTCAACTCGAGTGATACCCATTTCCTTCCATTGAACACCTGACTTACTGAACATGAGGCTTCTTAAAATCAAGCTCTGACCCCGTCATGAAGTACACTTCCTCTACCCTCCAAGATCTGGGCAACTCGATCAAAGGCAGGGACCTACTGCCCATGATACAAGAAGGCCTTTCCTATATATACAGTATGTAATTGGCTTCTAGGCCCCAGCATGACCGGAATAGACAAGGAGCTGAATCTTCCTTTGCCCACAACTTTACTTCTCCCCGTGTCCAAGGCTGAGCTCCTGGATAATGATGTCGGCGGCCTTCTCTCCGATTGCCATTGCGAAACTGTAAGTGTTAGGGCCTACATTTCTGGGTATGATGCTTAAATCTGCGAGCTTGAGCCCTTAAGCACTATACACATTGTCTACGACTCCCCCTTCCTCTCAAAATGCCAGTTTGCAAGCGGTCATTGAATGCTAGCGACCAGCAACATGAGCTCTTAACCACTCCTCTATACTCTTAATACATTGAAATGTGTTTAGCATCGCTTGTTGGTGCTTAACTCTAAATCTTAGCTATGCAAAGGGAACACCTAAAATCCTCCGAAGCTGTATTATCACGGCCAAGATAGTATGGTCATTGTGTATGCTTATAAAGTGTTCAACAGAAGTCCCCGAGAGCTAGTTAGTTGGACTCAAGGGACTTGCGAGGCATTGTTATCCATTTTCATTCCTCATTCAAACCTTTCCGTTGCTCCCTGGCCCAATTTACCGGAGCACAATAGTCGTCATCTTTGAAGTCACCTGAGGTGGTTTAACTTGATAGGCCGACATGTACACTTCATCCACCACGTTTTCGGGTTGATCTCGGAGCGCCCACATTAGACGTGCTGGATCCCCGGGCTATGTCGGCGGTGCTGCGGCTATTTTGAAATTAATTTTGCTATGTGAGGACTGGTAAAGTTAATGTGAACCACATTCCAATATAGGTCTCAAGTGTGAGAGTGAGGTAGGGCAATGGCGCCTGACCCCTGCACATGATAGCTGCAGGGTCCTGTCGATAACTCTTACTAAGCCATGATTTCACTTAGATCCGGTACATGCCGTCAAGCTGCATAGTTCTAGTTGCAACTTTGGACACGATCTACTTTGGGTCCTGAGAAATCCCTGCGGCTCCGGGAAAAAGGTTTTTTCAGTGGAACTGGCCTCACTTTCCCCTCTCGTGATCGACTCTCCTCACTAGAGTGGCTGTGACTGTTGTGACAAGATACGTTACAAAATTGTTCTTCTTTTTCTGCCCCATCTTAAGAAAGCGAAGGCAGCTCTTCCAAAGGTCTATGGGTTTGTTTTACATAGCGAGGAGCCTGTACTATTCTACCCTTCGCCGGTATTCGGTGCAAGCAAAAGCGTCCAGGGCGATATCGGTTTTGGTTGGCAGACACTAGAGACGTTCGCGCTTCTTCTGAGACACAGGCGGCAGTAAGCTCAAGCGCGATATATAAGATGGCCATGTGTGCGATTTGCCTCTTTAAGCTGCCGCCTTCCGCACAGCCACTGGTGCCCCGACCGCATCCTGATCGAATGCTACGCCCTGGTGAACCAGCGATATCTCAATATCTTAAGAAACGCTACGCCGACCTATCAGAAAACGACGGCTGGGCCAAGTTCGGCGAGGAACCCGAGTTTGATCACGACCTTGGGAATCCGGAAGATTTGCTCGCTTGGTCGGCTTCTCGAGGCTGTTTCACCTGCGCTGCCATTCTGTCTTTTGTGACGGAAAGCCTTGGGCACTCTTTCTGGCGCGCCGTGCAATGGCGCAAAAAGCGCGACAGACCTCCAGAACTGCATATGCACGATCCAAGAGCTAATCGAGGACGCTTGAGAGTCTTTGAGTTGTATACACCAACCTTGAGCTCCCTGGAGGATGGCTTTGCAAGTTTTTCAGGACGCCTCATAGTGCGCACTGGCAAACACCTCACGACCTACGCTCAAGAAGGCCTCATTCAGGCGGCCGACTGGCTGACAGAGTGTAGCAGCGATCATGATAGCTGCCGTGGGCGTGATACCGGATTCACGCCAACAAGGCTCTTATTCATTGGCGACCGGACTGCTGAGAATATTGGACTGATTGAAAATTCACCTCAGAACACTCAATATGCAACCTTGAGTCATCGCTGGAGCCCAGAGACTGAAAAGGTCAAGCTATTGGAGTCGAATTATGGAGAAAGACTAAATCAGGGTCTGCCTCTCCGTCATCTGCCCCAAATGATGCGCGACATCATTGAGATCCTACGCTACCTACATTTCAGCTTTGTCTGGGTAGACTGTCTGTGCATCATCCAAGACTCAGAGGACAACCAAGACTGGCGCAGCGAGGCCCAAAAAATGGGATCTGTCTACGGCAACTCCGCTCTCACCATAGCCGCCACCTCTTGCGACACCAGCAGCCGCAGCGTATTCTCGGCGCCTGCAAGAAGTCACATTCAACTAAACCAAGGAGACGAAAATGTCGTCTTCATGCGACGGAAGCCAGATCACTTCTGGGATATTCGCAACTGGATGGACTCCCCGAATAACCCGTGGATCAACCAAACGTGGCCGTTGCTGCCGAGAGGATGGGTCTTTCAGGAGAGAGTGCTCTCTCCACGAGTTCTTCACATCACACATGACGAACTTCTCTGGGAGTGTAACCACAAAATCACATGCGAGTGCTGGTCAACGATTACTCACGAGGACAACAAAGGTCTTTGCTGCAAGAATCAAGTTTCGAGCCTGAAGCAGATACATTGGACAGACATTGTCGAGGAATATTCCAGCTGCGGTTTTACCTATCATAGCGACCGACTCCCCGCCTTAGCCGGCATCGCTCGTCGTTGGGGCGAATTGAACGGCGGCGAGACCTATCACTGTGGTCTATGGCAGGGAGGATCCTCGATTGCATCCCAGCTACTTTGGCACAATGGCTTTGGCTCCGCGTGGCTTCGGCCTCGCGTTGCAAGTAAGCTTCCCAGCTGGTCCTGGGCCTCTGTAGAAGGCCCCATCAAGTTTGGTTACGAGCAATTCAGTCTGGGGAGCCAAGAACGTAAATGGAACCCCCAGATCACCTCCGCTTGCGAAGGCGATGTCTACATGTGCGAGAGCATGGATCGGGCTGAAATTATTATCACCGCACAAGTCTTTCCCGCGACTTTAGTGTACGATAATCACGGATTGAACAGGGATCAGCGCCGGCATTGCTTAGGCTGGATTGAGACCGGTCAACACGGTTTTGCTGTTCAGCATCTTGACTACGCGTTCTGGCATAAGGATGAGCATTTTGTGAGGTCAGGGTCACACGTTCTTGGCCTTCTATATCACTGGAAGCCCCGTACAGGTGAAGAGAAGGGTGAAAACGTCGGGTTCTTAGTCCTTCACGAGTCCGCTGAGGCGGGCAAATATCGCCGGATCGGACTTGGTGACTCTTCTTTGGGCTTCAAACTGGACACACGGGTCATTGAGGACATCATCGAGGAGAAAACTATCATTCTGATTTAATGACTAGAGTCTGGTGGATCTGTGGCAGCCGTAGCCCTGCCATAAACTTTGCATGGTATCTTTGAAGGACCAGATCATGGAGCACCGCCGACCGCGTTCTGCCCGGGGAATGGGAGAACCATGCTGCCCATACGTCGTCGAGACACTCATGTCTCATTACACTCCCTGGTGTATAAGACTGGCCCAAATAGACCGCATTGCCACTGGAATTGGTCCATGCTTGTATTGGGTGATCAAACACTGGCTTGAGCGATTCAAACTCGGAACTAAGTAGTAGGGCTGTGATAATAGGTGCAGTCGAAGGTTTCAAATGCTGCGGAGATTAAGCTTAATCTGCCTCCCGAGGTTACAACAATCAGGGAATGTGACCATTACGGTTATCTAACAGCTATGCAAAGTGATTATAAGGTTGGCTGCCCCCAAGTCTATCTATCTTGGATGATTACCCTTCTCCAAACTAACGTCCCCGGCCCCGTTTCCGATCACCCCCTGATCCTGATTACCTCGGCACCCATACACTCCCTTATTATCACTCTTAATTGCCCGCCATTATAATGCATAATCCCTCTTCCATTAATATTTTTAATTCTCTAAAGGCATTGCTTTTTTTTAATACTTTCCCTATCTTTATTTAAGTCTTATAAATAGCCTTAATATTAATAAAAGCTATATTTAAGTTAATTTAAACTTTTTTTTTTATAATTCTTTAGCTAGCTTTAATTTAAGCTTTAAATTATTAATTTTTTTATAAGGTTATTATTAATTAAGTTTTTTTCTTATTATATGCTTTAAAAAGCTTTTTAAAAAGTACTTATAATATAAGGCTTAAGTATTTTATTATAATATTAATAGGTAATTAATTAATGCACCTTTTATAATTATTTAAGAGTTTTAAAAATAAGCTTTAGCTATTAAAAAAAAACCTTTAATATAAAAAATTGCTTAATAAAGCTCCTTATGCCATTAAATTTTAGTAATTTATGCTAAATTTAGCGGTTTTTAAGAATATAGTAACTTTTAAGTGCCTTATGCTTAAATATTAATTAAAAACCTATTGCTCTTTACCTTAATTAAATATTTAACTTTATAAATACTTCCTTTTATACCTTATAATAATAATAAAGAAACCTTTTTTTTATTATAATTATTAATAAATTATATTACTTAAGTTAATAAAAATGCTTTTTAAAAGCGTTTTTTAAAGGTAAAAAGATTATTATATTAAGAAGCTAAAGCATATGCAATATATATACAAGTAAAAAAACTATATATATATAATTTAAATAGCACTTTTATATAAAGTTAATAATTATATATATATAATGCTTATTAATTATAAGTAAATGCTATTTAAAAAGGTTGCTAAGGGTAGTATTAAGAATAAAGACTTTCTTTAGCTATTTAATAGCTATTTTTTTTTATTTACTTTTTTTTAATAATTATAAATTACTAGCTAAAGTAATTCTTAAGGGTAATTAAAAATTATTGCTATTATATATTTCCTTTCTTAAAAATAATAAGAAGTTTAAGGACTTTGCTTAAGGTATTAATATATTTTATAAAGAAAGTTTATGCTTAAGAATTAAAGTTCTTTTAAAGAAAAAAATTATTCTTTAAATAGCTAAGAGTAAGGGTATTTTTTAAGCAACCCTTTATTAACCCTTTTTTATTAGCATTTTATTAATAGGTTAGTTAAATAAATTTAATAATAAGTAATTAAAAAAAGTTAAATTAAAAGATAATATTCTTTTTAATTATTAATTAAAGATAAATAGCCTTTATATATTAATTCTTTTAGCTTTAAAGAATAAGATAATAAAAAGAAAAGCCCTTAATTAATTCTTTTTAAAAAAAGGGTAGTTTTTATTTAAGAAAGCTAATTAAGCTTTTAAAGCCTTTATTTTAAATTATATTAATGCTAACCCTAAGCTATTTTAATTAATTATAAATAAAGTTAATAAAGCCTTTTAATAATTAAAAAGAAGCTTTTAAGGATTAATAATAATATAATGGCTTTAAATATTATTAAGGTAATTATATAATATAATAAAGAGGATATATTAAGTTTTAATAGCTTGCTAAATTAATATTTTATCCTTAATAGCAATAAGGGCGTTAATAATATTATCTTTAAAATATAGCTTTATAATAAGGAGGTTAATGTTTAAGAAAAGTTTAATAATTAGAAAAAAATTCCTTATAAAGATATTAAGGAGTGTTTATATAGTGGGTATAGATGCGTTTATGTATGTATGCGGGTATGGGGCGATTGGGATTAGGGGGTGATTGGAAACGGGGCCGGGGACGTTATAGTTGTGAAAGATTGTGTTCTATTGTATCAGTACTATCCTGTCTTGCTCTGCTGTCTTTTTTTTTAGCCCCACTCGTGCAGCTATCGATTACCTGTTAACGTTCTTTGACGTGTTCAGTGTCGCCTTACTATGATATAGAGATTTCCATCACCCTCCCACTGTGCTTTCAGATGGAGAGAGCATTATGCAAGCGGTAACAGAAAAGCTGTAACATGTGTCCGATAAAATCATTGTCCACGACCATTCGACACTCGAGAACGCCATCGATGGTGACGATGAGACGCGCGCACCCATTTTCGCGGACGAAATCCAGCACCCGGAAGGAGGATGGACGGCCTGGTGCCAGGTCATAGCCGGTAACATGCTCAACATGCTGGCCTGGGGGCTACCGGCCTCATTCGGCGTATATCCAGCTGTACTACACTGAACAGAAGCCATGACTTCAGGTAGCGTGCGCCGTACCCGAACTTTGACGGTCTGTTTGGAAAATCCATAGCGTCCGCCTTAGTTGCCCAGCTCTGCTCGTCATGAAGACGCTAATAAGAGCCGTTGCCGGCCTTCTGTAGGCCTCTGCATCCTATGCGGCCACTAGGGCACGCAAGCCCAATCTCGTTTTCGTCTTCACTGATGACCAGGACTACCACCACAACTCGCTGGACTATATTCCCGCTCTGCAAGAGCATCTTGTGGCCAAGGGAACCTCCTTTACAAACCACTACGCCACAATCGCGATATGCTGTCCCAGTCGGGTGTCTCTGATGCGCGGTCAGGCTGCACATAACACGAACAATACTCAGGTCAATGGGCCAGGGTGAGTATCATCAATTCTTTGCCCCCGTAACCTTCCTTTTGTGCTGGTTCCTGGGCTGTAGCTAACTGCCGCTGAAAAGTGGCGGCTATCCCAAATTCACCACTGCAGGCGAAGATGATGACTATTTGCCACACTGGCTGGTCCAGGCCGGCTACCAGGCTGAGTGTGAGTTTCCATGTGTTTGGAGGCAACTTTGCTCTGTCATGGAATAATGAAATGCTGACAGTGCCTTCTCGCGCGCTGCAGACATTGGTAAGCTCTACAACGGGAATTCGCTGTTGAAATACTCGCCGGCGCCCAAGGGCTGGAGTCACATCGACGTTCTGGTGAGTATTGGGCCCTGAGCCAGACTGCCAAATACACACGTCTCTGACAGCGCATGAAGCTCGAACCATACATCAATGTGCACAATAGCGTCGTGATGTCCGAGGATGGCGCAACGCCGACGTATTACCATGGATGGCAGCAGAGCGATGTCGTACGCGTCAAGGCCCTGGCACGGCTGGAACACCTGATCGAGCTACAAGACCCCTTATTCCTTATGGTAGCCCCGACAGCACCGCATGTCGAAAACCTGACGGACCCGCCAACACCACCATCGCGTTATGTCAACAAGCTCGCTAATTTGACGATACCATACCGGCCAAACTTCAACCCGCCAGACGATCTGCACAAGGATATGCCCAGCTGGTGGGCTACACTCCCTCGCTTGAATGAGACCCAGCTCAGCGAAACACAACTCCTGTACCAGCGGCGTGTGGAGGCGCTCCAAGGCGTGGATGATATCATCGAGGACGTGGTGAATGTTCTTGAAGAGAAAGGCGAGCTGGATAATACATACATCATCTTCTCGACCGACCAGGGCTACCACTTGGGAACGCACCGCGACGTGGGCAAATGCTCGCCGTACATCGAGGACGCCAACATCCCACTGGTGGTCCGAGGGCCGGGAATCAAGCAGGGCCAGGTCTCGCGCATCCCTAGCACCGTCACCGACTTCGCCCCGACGTTCCTCGACATCACCGGCCTGGCCGAGGAGGACCGGCCGCCCTTCCTCGACGGCACCAGCATGCTCGAGGCGTGGGAGGACCCCCACAACCTCACCATAGGCCGAGCCAAGGAGGCCATCAACGTCGAGTTCTGGGGCCGCGCCTTCTCCGAGATACCCACCTGGACCGGCGGCGACCGCCTGCCCGGCATGTACGCGAACAACACGTACAAGACGATGCGGATCGTCAACAAGGACTACGCGTTCGTCTACTCGCGCTGGTGCACCGGCGACACGGAGCTGTACGACACCCTTAACGACCCCTACGAGATGACCAACCTCGCCGGGTCGGCCGGCCCGGACGTCGCGCGCGTCATGTCGCGCCTCAACGCTCTCCTGATGGTCATGAAGTCGTGCGAGACGGACGCCTGCCGCGACCCCTGGGGCATTATCTAGCCCCCGCAGACGGCGAACGCCACCGGGTCAGCAGTCTCGCCGAGGCCTTGGACCCGGTGTACGACGATTTCTTTGCCGCCATCCCCGAGGTCGCTATTGCTGAGTGCATGGCGTATCAGTTCGCCGCCAATGAAGTTCCGTTCTACCCGCCCGAGGCCCAGTACGGCCTGGGTCTGGAGTATCGAGGCGAGCCTGAGTACTACGAGTACCCCGACGTTAAACCCGTCAAGAGGGTCCCATGTGTCCCTGGTGGCGGGTGGGAGCAACGGCACGCCACGTTCGAGACGCTCTTATCTGATGCAAGGACTCTCACAGCGGATGAGCTGCAGCAAGCCTGGAACCAGACCACTTGTAATGAGGGGAGCACTTGCACCGATGTAGGCCTAAAATCTGTACCACATTGAGGTGTTGCTTCTATGAAGACACCTGCTGCCTCGGCGTCGCCCCTCGAATTGTCAGCGACTAATAAATGAGATTGTGTCTTTTTCTCTTCGGACATCGTCGACGTCGCTGGGCGTCACATCTTCAGAGCCCCAGCAGGATTGCAGATTTTTCCACGTGTTAAATATTATTCTCAAGTACATAGAATATCGACAAGACGACAGTCCTGGAAGAATTATATCCAGTACATATCTAAGCCCCATGCACGTACATTACGAGCTCCACCTCCTCTTCGTGTGCCATGTCTGCACGAAGGGCAGCCTGTCGACAATGGCCTCCGTCTTCGGGCTCCGAGGCGCAGAGTAGTCGATGGTGTACAAGCTAACGGCAACAAACCCATCAGCCACAGCCGCCGTCTCGCCAGTCATGCTGCAGTCACCGTTGATGCACTCGTTCACGCCAGCCGACAAGGGGTCGATATTGCCCCACGTGAACGTGCCCGGGTTGCCCTCCACCGGCAAGGCGACGTTCGTGTTTGCCTCGCCCGTCATCCTGGTCTGGAGGATGGGGATGCCGGACCAGTTGGCGCCCAGCCTGGGGTAATTCACATTGGCGCCATATCCGAGCGGCAAGATGGGCTCCCCGGGGGACGAAGAGTTGACGAAGGCATCGACGATGTTCCCCGACAGCTGAGCGACGTAGGTGTACTCGTTGGTCGTGTTGGTGACGCTGCGGTAGTCCAGCGCGCTGTTGGACGCGCTGAAGGCGATGGCCGGGATGGAGCGCGAGGTGGCGGCGTATGCGGCGCCCGCCGTGCCCGAGAGCGTCCAGACGAAGGGGCCCAGGTTCGTGCCGTAGTTGGGGCCCGTGACGACGAGGTCCGGCGTGCTGAAGTTGGCGAAGTTGGGGAGGACGTAGTCCAGGGCGACAAAGGTGCAGGCGGCTGGCGTGCCGTTGTAGTACCAGATGTGGCTGTCGATGGGATCTGGGCCTAATGATGGTGCTCCGGCGGGGATGATGCTGTATTGAGCCGGTGAGGTGAGGTTTGGGTAGGTGGTGAAGTCTGAACGGCCTCCTTGGCCGCTTTGCTGGACAGCGGGCGCTACGATCCAGACTGAGTGGTCGGGGTGTTAGTCTCAAGTACTTAGGAAGGTAAAAATTCATTTGAGGATTCACCATTGTGTCCTTTGCTTTTGAGGACCTTGTAAAATTCTCGCAAGTTCGCTGAGCCAAAGCCGTCATCGTTGTTCATGAGGATGTTGAGGCCGTGCGTGAAGCCGAGCATCACGCTGGCTGCAGCGAGGAGTGAGGAGCGCATCTTGTCACGAGCCGCCTGAAACTACCTAAATTATAAATCCGTGAACCTCTTCAACAAAAGGGTCTCATATACAATAAGCGGACGTTATCGGCTTAGAGGGAGAACATTGTGAATACAGAATTGAGGTGGGTTGGATATATACTCCCTGATCTCGCTATGGTATCTCTAGGCACGCGACATACCGGTCCCGGCCGATAGGGGTCTGCGGAGCCTCTAATGCAGGAACGGCAAGCCGGCACCCTCCTCCTTCCAGAGGCAGTCTAGCTTCAACATGCCAAGAAGCAGCTTCTCAGCTCGCGATAAGCAAGAACCCGGCCATATGTAAACAAGAGGGTCTGTCTGGCTCTTAAACAGCGACGGTCGATTCTTATCCCTGTATTGAATCTCCGATACTCACATGGAGCAGGGGAATAGCTCCACGGCATGTCCAGGTTGAGTTGAATGGTTTGATGCGTCCAAGGAGTTATGTAATCACTGCCAGTTGACCGATGTGAGTATTTCGTCAACTTCAGTATCTGATGACGCCACTTGCAGAATTGAAGCAAAACATGTTACTGCAGTTATAGTTGTTGGGCTCTGGAGTAGGCATGGTGGTGTCGATAGACCCTGAAATTGGTAAAGCAGACAAAGAATGGAAGTCAAGCAATCAGATCTCAAGAAAGAGACGGACGTGGTTAGTTCTTTTTCAAATGAAAGAAGGTAGGGAGTATATATGCATACCGGGCGTGGAAAACGTGATCTCGTGCATCAGGCAACTCTCCTGCAATTGCAACTGCACGCCATCAGAGTCGAGTGAATTTCACATTTGAGACGCTAAGGCAACCGTTGAAGGTACCCCACTACGGCCAAACGGCGCGGGGTTACTTTCGCATGTCGACGTTGACTCAGCCAACTGCCATTTCTGCCTAGCGAGTCGTCCAGGTCAGCTTTTCACCTTCGTCCCGGGAATGAATTTGCAGGCCAACTAGTAGCTCGCTGGCAGTCACCATTCAGCTCAAGATGGCACCCAAGAAGATCCGAATCCTGTTCCTGGGCGCGTCGCTGGTGGCCGGGTACTCGTCCATGGGGGCGGTGTACCACCCGTTCTCGCAGAATGTTGTAAAGATGCTCAGCACCATCATGCCAGACACGGAGATCGAGAGTGTCGTCGACGGGGTGCCTGGGGATCTCGTGACAAGGGGCAAGTTCCGAGAACGAATGGAGAAACAATGTAGGTATACAAGACGCCGGTAGAGCTCAGGCTTGAGGAAGTACTCTAGCTAACAGTCTGTCGTAGTCGAGGAGGGCCAGCAACCGTTCGATTGGACCATTGTGCTAGGCGCAACGAAGTAAGGCCATTTCTCCTAGCATACTTGATATCCGTGAATCTCCCTCTGACACAGTGTCACAGTGACATAGCATTTGACATCCCAGGCGAGGAGATCCTCGCGGCCTTCAAGGAGATCTGGAATATTCCGCTCTCGCACGGAAGCAAGGTCCTTGCGCTCACTGTTCCCAAAGCATCCATCGACAGAAGAAATAAGATCCTCGTGGAGCGGCGGAACAACCTGAATCAGATGATCAAAGAACACAAGGGAGACAACTTGTAAGTAACTTATCCTGTGCTAGCTGAGAGACCTCCGCCACCCAGGGCTGACATGTCCATACAGCCACGTCTTTGACCTCCACGATGCTCTGCCGTGTGACGGAGCCCATATAGAGTATTGGGATGATGCGATTCATTTCACCCCTGAAGGATATGATTTTATCGGTGACAAAGTCGGGGTCGCTCTAATGGCTATTATGGCCAGGGAGAAGACGACGGCTGCATAGAAAGTAGGCCGTGTGAGGATGTGCTTCGTGGAGATATCTGAACTCGAGCATCCGCATCATCCCACAAATTGAGAAAAGGCAAGTGAGAAGGGGTTGTGACCCTTGCACGTCGATCTGGGCCCTTTAGCGGGACAGATCTTGGGAAGGTTACTTCAAGCATGATCCTCTAGGGCAAATACTACCTCAGCTCACTGCTACATAGTAGAGATGCTCAAGTCGTCACCGAGCACTGACTCGTATTCTCAGCTCACCCGCTCCCGGATAAGAAATCTCCCACTGAATTGGCTGTAAAAAAGCAATACGCCATGTCGTCTATCGAAACACAGGGGCAGGGTCCTGCTGTAATAAATAGCATCCGGTAAGTCGGACAGCCCGCCTGCTGAACCGCTACCACCTGTTGGAACGATGCGGGCCAGCATCCCCTGCCCTCCGCCGTATTCAAAGTTTAGATGCACCGTAACAAAAGATCAGCCCAAAAGGCTCATGACAGCCCCAAATGGCCCCCTCGTCTTGACAACGGGCCACATCACACAATTGATCTCAACGGCCTTGAGCACGACCCATCCATCCATCCACCACAATGGATACACACCTCAGCGAGAAGGGCGCCGCCGCCGCAGCCACGACGACGACGACGACGACATCCAACGCCTCCATGACCACTCTCGCCAAGACCGTCTCGGCCTCGTCCCAGCAGCAGGCCAACATCGAGTCCCTGCCGGCGTACGTGATGGAATGGAGCCCGCAGCAGCGCAGGGTGCGGTTCCTGCGCACGACGGACGACCTGGCGACGGAGCTCAGCCCGGCCAACTGCGAGCGCCTCAACGACTCGCTCAAGCGCCTGTTCGTCGTCCACGGCAGCCCGCAGCAGTACGTGGGCCCGCTGCAGCGCGCCCTCGCCATCGACCCGCTCTTCATCAGGGCGCACGCCCGGCGCCGCCGGTACTCGCCCGTCCACCGCCGGCCCGGGGACCGCTGGGCCTGCTTTGAGTACCCTGAGCTGTGCTCGTATGGCAAGACTGATGGGCAGGACGCTGAGGCGGAGGCTGGGGCGCAGATGGAGTTGCCTGCGTATCCGCTCTCCGATGGGAGCGCTGATGCTGTTATGTTCTGTCGGGCGTCACTGTGGCTCAATGGGGAGAATGATGGTGGTAGGTAACAGACAAATTAATCTCCTTCTGGGGGACAGACAGGCTAACCTCCGTCCCAGTCCTGTTCCTCGAGGACCCCCCATGGGCAGGCACATCGCCCCTCATGCGCAAGCAGACGACAATGGTCGCCCTGCACGCAGCAGCAACGGACAACACCGGCAGCCGGGATGACGAGAGCGTGGACGAGCACCACGCGAGCCTCGAGATCATCCTGCAGGAGGCCCTCCGGGACCCGGAGCACATGCGCCACGGGATCCGCGCCCTGCTGTCGGAGCTCGTCTACACCCACTGGCTCGCCTACTTCGAGTCGCCCCTCATCCGGAGGCCCACCCGGCGCACGTCCTCTCGCTCGCGTGGCGCGTCCAGCTGGCCGTCGAGCACAACCTCAACGTCACGCGGTACCTCACGAGGTGGCGCATGCCGATGCCCATCACGGCCACCGAGTGGGAGGGCCTGCTGGACCGCAACGCGCGGCGCGTCGACCTTGCCACCGTCGCGGCGGGAGGGGCGCGCGCCATCGCCGAGGAGTTCCGCTCCATCCAGGCGGGGAGTAACCCCAAGAGGGCGCTCGCGCCGGGCGAGAAGGACGAGAACTCGCGGGGGCTGGACAGGATCTCGTACCTTGGTGGCATCCTGCTGCCCTTCACCATCGTGCCGTCCATCCTGTCCATGGGCGACCCGTTCGGTCCCACGGGTGGCATGTTCTGGGTATTTTGGGTCGTGTGCGCGCCGCTGACTGTCCTCGCCCTGCTGTTCATCTACGCCGACTCTATCCGCAAGGCTACCGTCTGGATCGAGGTCGCTGCGGACGAGGCCAAGATGGAGGAGCAGGCGGGTCAGTCGACTGGGGTCGTCGAGGATGATGGCACTGTTGAGCCGAAGCCCCTGCTCGGTAGTAGTGGCACGGCCAGGCCTGATGACGTTATGGAAGAGGGCGTCGAGACCTTCCCCACGGTGGTCATCCGGAAGCCACAGGATGGCCGGCCAGCCAGGGCTTACAAGAGGCAGGAGCTGGGGTGGACCGGTGCCATGAAGAGCATGGTTGGGTACGGGTACAATGATCGGTTGCAAGAGCCTGTGCCCGTTGAAAGTGTGAGAAGGCCGAGTACGAACCTGCGGCGGCCCATGAACAGGACCTATACTGGCCAGTCCCGGGGTTATGCTTAGTGGAGAGGGCTTTAATGACAATACCAATAAGCGTTTCTTTTTGGACAAAGGGTTGATCTATCATCTTTTTTTATGCACTGTGAATCTTCTGAGATGGTATCCAGTATGATGGACACCAAAATCCAAAACGCACACCCGACAGCAACACTCTAGTCTTGAGTAACCGTGTCCTCTAGAGTCCGCAACCTGTCTACTAGTCCGCCTGACAACACATCCTCTATCGAGAAGTCTCACCCTGAACCGACACCTCGTTGCCTGAAATTGCATGAGAGTTCACCCAGAAATCTACAGCTTCAACTTGACCTCTACAAACAACGCCTCAGCCCTCGCCAGCTTGTCACCCCGCCCATCCTCCATAGAAGCCTCCACCCAGATCTTCCTCCCCTCCACCCTGGTCGTGCTGGCCACGACCAAGATCGTCCCCGGCGTCCTGACGGGCCGGAGGTACGTCGTGTTCAGGTAGGCCGTGACATAAGACGGCACCGGCCTCCCCCCCGCGCCCTGGCCCTCGCCCGCGAGCCTGCCCGCCGGCGCGGCGTACCCCAGCACCTCGTCGAAGATGGTGGCTACTATGCCGCCGTGGCAGATGCCCGGGTGGCCGTCGAGGTCGCCGCCCAGCGTGATCAGCCCTTTTATCTCGGGCAGGACGGACCGCGGCTCCGTGGGCCGCGGGTAGAAGAGGATGAAGTGGGAGAGGGTGGAGGGGCTGTTGATTGTTCCTGAGAAGAGGGCGTCCTCCGAGTTGGGTTTTCGGGAGCGGCTGTATGCTGATGTGATGATGAGTTCCGTGTCAGGCGGTTGCAGGTGTTTCAAGCACCATGGGATTGACCTGAAGTGTTTGATGTCGTCCTCCGGTGGCGGTTGGTTGGCTGAGGCCATGTTGGGGACTCCGAAAGGTTGTTGCTGGAGACACACAAGTGAAATTGATTGCCTTGTGTGACGTTGGAATCGGAGGTCAAAATGTCATTGGCGCGTATAATTCATTTACACCGCAGCCTCAGAGTATATCTAGATGTATCTTGTATCTACAGCAGCCAAGCGGCCGGAGGTGAGAGGGGTGAAACGTGACAAGAAGCGTCGATCCAGATGAGCCGAGGCAATTCCAACTGCATGGGAACGGCTCTGATTGGGTCCAGAGAGCTGGAAATATGGGTCCACACCACCTCAGCCAACGAGTGCTTCTCTGAATTGTCGTCTACATGTCTATCTTACTTGCACGATATGAACAGAGTACGTGGGAAATGCTCTGAAGTGATATTTTAGAGTGTTGCCTTATGCCTTCTATGACATTCTTACCAGTTACTGATGTACAAAAATCCTTTCCCTTGCGCCATACCGGTTGCAGCCAACCCAAGGAACACATCAAAACGTCGGCGCAACCTTCTTCTCCGCCTGCCCATACGAATGCACCCTCTCACCCAGCTTGAAAGACTTCAGCGACCCAGCCCTGACGCTCTGAACAGACGGCGCCCTCGACCTCATCATCACCACGTGGTTCCCACCCGGGCTCATCGGCGGACCAGCCATGGCGCTCCGCTGCAAGGGGGGACTCGAGCCGCCCGACGCCGACACCGTGCTCCTCTTGCGGCCGTGGAACTTGTCCATCATGGCCGTGATGGCCGTCGTGGCGTCCACCGGCGGCGAGGGCGGCACGTTCGGCCCCGCCCCCATTCCAGCCCCCATCATCCTGCCGCGCGCGTCCCGCCCGTCGACGCTCGACCCCCTGCTGCTAGGCGGCGTGGGCTGGAACCCTCCCAGCCCTCCTCCTCCCCCAGACGGCATGCCAGCGATGCCCAACCCGTTCGGCCCCCCATGGTGACCATCGGCAAAGTTGCCCAGGTTGTGCACGACCGGTGGGCATCCTCGACAGCCGCCGGATGGACCGCATGTTCTTGTCGATGAAGGAGCTCATCCGCGTCAGGGCGCCTCCGTTCTCGTACGACTCGAACGCGCTCGCCCCGTTGGCCGGCGCTCGCCCGCGCGCCGCATCTATCGCGCTGGGAGTCGCCTTGGCCTGCTGCTGCTGGACGTGGGGGGCGCCCGCGCCGAGGCCCTGGCGCACCTGGCTCATGACGCGGTCGAAGTCGATGTTGGTCTGGAAGGAAGGCCTGCCCGCCGCCGCCATGGAAGCCGACGAGGAAGACGTTGCCACTGCGACGGCGGAGTCCATGCTCAGGTTCTGCGCGAGCACGAACAAGGACCCGTCCCTGACGCTTCGACCGGACCAGCCTCCAGCGCGTGCGGGCCGGGTTGCGCTCGATGGTGGGCTGGTGGACCGAGTACTGCGCGAGGTTGGCGTAGAAGATCTCGAGGCGCTTGGCCACGCGCTCCAGCAGCTGCATCAGCAACGTCGCCGGCGCGGCGACCCTGTCCTCGGGGTTCTCGGCCTCCTGCGGCTGCGACATGAGCGCGTCGGAGGCGTCCACGCCCGCGCACGCCTCGGCCCGCACGTCCTCGAGCAGGCTGATGTCCAGCTCGACCGACTTGCTGGCGTAGTCGATTATCCCCCGCTCGTGGAACCGCGCCTCCTCGCTGTTGCCGACGAACTCGCCCACGCGGGCGATCTCCCTGGATGTCTTGATGGCGCTGCCGGATGTCTTGGCCCGGGCCACGACGCCAAGGACGTCTGGCGGGTTTGTTGATGGCCCTGCCGAGGACGCGTTGGCGAGGCTGAATGACAGCTTGAGTATGAGCTCCTGGAACTTGGAGCCGAAGAGGGCGCTGAACCCCGTCTGCAGCAGGCGTGATTGGTACTGGTAGAAGGACCTCACACCCTTGATGTTCAGCAGCCCGGGGCCCTGGTACCACCACTTCGGTGGGTCCAGGGTCTGGTTCGTGATCATGGCGTTCATCTCCATCTGGTGCGCCACGAGGGTCTCGACGGACGTCCGGAGATACGACGACCACAGCTCGTACAGCATGTCCAGGTCATCGTTGCCGTGGAAGTCCGGCTTGGGCGTCAGGTGGCCGACAAAGTACTTGGTCAGGAGCGACGACACCTCCGGGTTGGTGGTGTGCGCGAGGTTGTCGAAGGACGCCGTGCAGTCGACACCGGCGTTGGACTTGATGATGAGGGTGGCGCCTGGGTGCATCGGACAGAAGTCTGTCACATCGTAGACCTTGCCGCGGACTCCGATCCAGATCCTCGATTGGCCCCTGTGGCCGGTGTTGAGGGCGAGCTGCGACAGCGGGATGGTGGGCAGGTTGCATGGGAGAGGCTTGGGCGTCATGAAGACGTCGAGCATGAAACGGCGCTCGGCGAATGCGGCGTTGATGAGCTCCTCCGCAGAGTCCAGCGTCGACGTGCGGTGGTTGTAGATGGCCTGCCGTATGCCTTTCATGACAGAGTCGAATACGGCCACAGATCCGCACACGTACAGGTATCCGCCCAGACCACCGTATTTCTTGCCCATGACCAAGTCACAAATTGTCAAGCCCTACTCGATGATCAGGGTGTCAATATACCGGGGCGGCGTGGTCTTCTCGACCAGCTCGCGGCTCTGCATGGCCAGTCCCCTTGAGTCCCGAGAGAAGGCAACGTGGACCTCCATCAGCCCCTCGTTGACGTTCTGGCGCAGTTCGTGCTCATAGCAGAACTTGTCGCGCGACTGGACGCCGAGGTACAGGATATTGCGGCCAACCGCACCACTCTGGATGCGAGACTGCCAGAAGCTGCGGAAGGGCGCGATACCACTGCCACCCGCGAAGAAGGCACAGGGCGACGCGCCACTCAGTGGCAGCTGGAATGCCTGCGGGCGAGACACGCCGATGAGGATGTCTTCCTCGATCGGGATCATCTCATCGTTAGAGGCGACGATGGGGTTGAGGAAGCCACTGCTGACGCCACACCTCGTGATCCGGGACTCCCCAGCAAAGGTGGAGCTGAGCTGGTACTCGGACCGGGAGACGCTCAGGTCGACGGTGCTGGGCAGCAGCTCGTCGGGGAAGCTTGAGATGGAGTACGTGCGCGGCATCTCGACCGGCACGAGCTCACACAGCCAGGACAGGTCCTGGAGGTTGAAGGCCGAGTCCCAGACAGCCTGTGGCGTGTCCATCACTGCGGACTGGAGAAGGTCGCCCAGGGATCGACGGACGGGCCATTCGTCTGTGGCCAGGACCTGCAGGGCCAGTGTTGGACGATGCTCTCAGCATGGAGTGGATCCTCAGGACGAGATCCTGGGTGAGCGGTGCGAGATGACCTCTCCGGAGGATGTCCTGCACCGTGATCGCCCCCCTTGGAGATCTTGACACCGACCCCAGGTGGTCGGCGAACCGGGCCCAGCATTTATCCACGGGGACCTGGACGTTGAGCATCTCGTCCAGCCCCAGCGAAGCAGCGGCCTTGGCACACTCCTGTTGAGGGGCATCACCGCCAGCCGGTCGCCGGGCTGGAACGTGATGCCCGTGTCCTGGATGTCCAGCGTCACCATGGCGATGCCCCTGTCGGCGTCGTTGTTGACAAACGACCGCCCCAGGATCCTCGCCTTGTACCTGCACTCGGCGGAGCTGCCGCGCATCTGGTGCGGCTCGACCGAGACGTCGGTGCGGTACGGCTCCAGGCGCTCCTTCACGGCCTCGGAGAACTGCTTGTGCGTCTCCTCCCAGGGCCTTCCCGCGTCCGCGGCGCCCGACGCGCCGTTGGTCTCGGTGCGGCCCGTCTTGCCCGCGACCTCGAGGATGCCGAAGACCTTGTACCTGTGCACGCCCATGAAGCCCCGCTCGCCCGTGTAGGCCTCCACGATGCCGTCCAGCACGCCCATCAGCCTCGGGTCGCCCGACTTCATGACGAACTCGGGCACGGAGTAGTAGCCCTCGACGGCGGCGATGAACGCGCGGAGGTTCGAGGGCTCCCAGGCCCGCAGGTGGATCCCCTCCGCGCCCAGGAAGGAGTCGTACTTCTTGCGGCCGGGGAAGGCGTCCATGAGCAGGTACGGGGGGAACTGCAGCCCGCTCGACGCCGGGCACCGCTTCGAGAGCGGCGCCGAGAACTTGGCCCACCGCACCCACTCGTTGGCAGTGACGTAGTTGTCGCCGGACATGGGGTTGGGGCTGATGGTGTGGAAGGCGTTGGGCATCATCTCGAGGATCTCCTTGAGGCGGATCATCTCCCTCAGTAGGCCCTCGATGTCCCTGTTCAAGACACACTCCTGGCACGCGGCGATGGCGTCCGGCCCGTGCTGGAAGCTGGCCGAGGTGTCGGCCACGCCCTTGAGGAAGGCCATCTCGGCCTGGTCGCCGAACATGGGCCACCGCATGTCCATGTTGTCGAAGCGGGCGACGTACGGGTGGTTCGAGTTGTGGTCGCGGATCTTGACGTTGTAGCTCGACTGGTCGACAAACGTCAGGTGCGGGATGGGTCGGCCCATGCGCTTGGACACCTGGAAGTAGGGGAGGCCGATGCTCCTCGGCAGGCCCTTTACCTCCTCGACGACGTCGTCGCTTAGCTCGCATTTGGGCTTGTTGGAGCTGCCGAGGCTCACGCCCTCGTGGCCGTCGTGCTTGTCCTCGTACCGGCAGATCGAGCACAGCATCCCCAGGGCGACCAGTGCCGCCCACAGCGCGTTGTCCGGGATGATGTCCTCCGTGGCCTCCACGACGGGCAGGGCGGCACAGGAATCCCGCACTCGTCAACGGGCTACGCATCCTGGCATGCGCTCGGCGAGGTCTGACCATATCCTTGCTGGCGAGTTGGCCAGTGATGCCACCGACGAATCGAGCGAGTCAGGAGGGACGAAGCCGTACTCGGCTGTGAGGAACCCATCCCGCCATCCGGACTTTGGCCCGACCTCCTCGGCTCGGATGGTGACCTGCCGTGCTGGCGCACCGAGGGCTGCGGCCAGGATGTCCTTCTCGCTCGGTGGGAGCGTGTCGATGTTGTCCTTGGCGAACCTGTTCAGGTCCTTTGCTGGTGCATCTGGGAAGAGGAGGGCGTTGATAGCCTTCCGGTCTCTGTGTATTGTATCCAAGGATCAGTACACTGATCCTTCTTCCAACTGTGCATCACGTGTGGCACTAAGCTTACCTTCCCCTCAGCCACTCTTCTGAGTCAACGCCATGTGGTATCTCAAATGCTGTCCGCAGATCCCCAGTCTGGCAGTATCCTGAGAATGAGCATCCCCTCGGTCCAACTCGGCTGCTGCTCCTGCTCGCCCGGCCGCCTGCTGCCGGACACCGTCCGGCCACCGATTTTGATACTGGGCAAGATCGCTCTGACATCTTGATATTTTGTTTCTGCGTAGTCTGTATGGAAAGAGGGGTTATTAAACTTGTATGGCCGTATGGAGCCGCCGGGGCTAATGACAGAACATAAACAACGCCAGCGCGGGTATAAAGTACAATGAAGAATATAGAGTGAGACTGAACGAGAACGAGATCAACTGCGTGAGGCTGTCATGCGTCGGGCGGCTTTTGGGAGCAAACAAGGCCTACTATTTACCTCACTCCAGTTTGGTCCCCAGACAAGGCCCTGTCAGTTGTTCTCCTGTCGTCTGAAACCACATATGGCGGGCCGGGCCTCGGGATGTGGGATATAGGCGGCTTGTAATACCTGGGTACCTATCATTTTTTTTTCCCCTCGGCCGCACGCACGCCCCACCCGGGTTTCTCCATGCAACGCAGTGGCTCTCGCTAGGAAAGTTTTGGAGCCGGCGGATGCTTGCAGATGCTGGAGACGAGGTGCGCCGTGCAGAATGATGGTGTGTTCTGGCGTCATTCCAACGCACCCGATGTTGTGGCATGGGAAAGGCTAAATCCTCGAGTCAGCATACGCCCACCCAGCTTCTACAGTACGCCCACCCAGCTTTTAGCGTTAGCCTACCTAGTATAAGGAAATTAGCTGCATATACTTTAAAATATAAATATACCTTAGGAGTTAACTTTTTAAAACTATAGCTATCTTATTATTTATATAAAGCAAATATTTTAAGTATTTTACTTTAAATATATATTTATTATATATTAATTAATATTTTTTTAAGTTATTTCTTTATATTTATTAAGGCTAATTATTAAATTAAATTACTTAAAATTATTAATAAAAGTATTATTAAGATAATAAATTATTTAATTTATATAAGATATAAAGATAAATAAGCTTTATTATTAATATTATTAATAATTATTAAGTAAATAAAAATTTTACTTAGCATTAATAAGTAAATATTAATAAGCTAAGTTATATAATATCTTTTTTAATTAGGAAAAGGTAATAAAGATTTATTTATAAAGCAATAAAATTCTTTCCTTAAAAATATTTAAATCCTTAACTTCCCACCCTTTTTTTATTTTTTTTTCTATACTTTTTACTCTTTATTTTAATTTTATAAATATATAAATTAAATTGCATTAATTAATATTAATTACTTAAAGATTAAAAAAATATAAAATAATAATATAAGCCTTAAGAAAGCAAAGGTTATAATTATAAAGCTTAAAGGCTAAAAGGCAATATTATATTTAAGCCATTACTTAAAAAATATTATGCTTAATAAGCTAGCTAAGGATTTTAATATAAAATTATTAATGCCTTTAAGCTAAGATTATATAAATATTAAGATTAATAGTTATAATAATAATATAAGTTATAATAATAATATAAATTATAATTAAAATAATATTATAGCTTTTAATTTATTAAATAAATAGCCTTAAGAAAAAAGTAAGTTAATTACTTAACTACCCTTTAAGGTTAATAAGTTTAAGCTTATATCCCCTTTAAAAGCTTTTAAAAAATTAATTAAGGTATTAAAATTTAAGAAATTAGCTTAATTAATTAATACCTTAAATAATAAATTAGCTAAAAGTAATAATATTTTATAATTTAAAGCATTTTATAATAATAATAATCTTTTTATTATTATAGCTTTGCTAAGCTTATTTAAATACCTTAAGGTTTTTATTAAGAAAATTAAAGTTAATTTTATTAAAAAGAAGGTTTAATTAATAAAGTATAACTTACTTTTAAATTATAGCTTTTTACTTATTTATAAGATTAAGAATAAAGATAATAAGGTAATTTACTTAACTTAATAAGATTTTAAAAATAATATTATAAAATGTATTAAATTTAAGCCTTAAATATCCTTAAATATAAATGCTATATAAAATTAAGGATAAGTTAAAAAGTAATATTATTAAGTTATACTTTTTTATTATTTAATAATTATTAAAGTAAATATTATAAAACTTAATAAGATTCTTAGTCTTAAAATTATAAAGTATATTTATAAGCATTAAATAATAATAAATAAGATAAAATAAAAATAATATTTAATTAATTTAATCTTTAAGTTAGCATTAATTAATATAAATTTAATATTATTAAATAAAATAACTTTAAGTTTTCTTTATTAATATTTATTATTATTTATTTAACTTTATATTAAATAATTAGCATTAATTAATATAACTTTTATTATAATAATTTATATTAATTAATATTAACTCTTATTTTAATCTTTTCTTTTTTCTTTAAAGATTTATATAAGTTATTATGCTTATATACTTATATTAATTAATGCTAACTTTATATTAATCTTTTTTAATATTTATTATATAAGCTAATAATATTATAATATTTACTTTTTTTAATATTATTACTTAAGCTAAGAAATTAAGCTTTTAAGGTTATTTATTTATTTAACTTAATATTAATAAGTAATTTAATAAGTTTATAAGAAATTTTAATTAATTATAATAATATATTATCTTTTAGCTTATTATTAATAACCCCTTATAGCTTATCTTAATTATTTAAAATAGTAACTTAAGCATAATATCCTAACTAAAGAGTATTAATATTAATATAATTGCTAACTTTATAATTTTATAATACCTTATATATTACCCTATTAATATTAAATTAAGCGCCATTAAAACTAAGTAATATAAGCAATATAAACTTAATAAAAAATACTTATATAAGTTCTTATATAATAACTTATTTTATAAGGTTATTTATTATAATAATTATATTATGCAGTAATTTATATTTATTAAAATAAGAAAGAAAAAAATAAGTAATTTGCTTTTATTAAAAATCTTGCTTAATAAAAAAATAATTATTTATAAGTTTGCTTATATTAAAGCTTAATATTATAATAAATATCTTATTAATAATATAAATAATATAATAAAAATTATTTTTATTAATAAAGCTTAAAAAGTAATTATAATTATAATAATATAAATATATATTTTATAAAAGTAATATATAAAAGCTAAGGCAAAGTTATATTTAAGGAAAGGTTTTGCTAAAGATAAGATTAAGAATAAGCAAGTTAATATAAATTAAGTTTTTATAAATTTATATAAATATATAAGCTTCCTTACTTATATTAATATATATAATACTTTTAATTAAGAATTTAATGCTAATTATAAAATAATTTATTATAAAAGTATTATAAATGCTATAAATTACCTTCCTTTTATTAATTATTAAATTATTATAACTTTTATTAAAGAAATTTATATAAAAGGTTTATTTATATAGTTAAGGATTATTTTTATTTAAAATAAGAATATTTTTAAGAAGTTTAAGGTAATACTTTTAAGCTATAATAGTATTTAATAATATATAGCTATAAAAAAGCGAAAGGGTAAGGTATTGCAATAAATAATTAATAAGGGCACCTTATTTATAAATAGCTAAGTAAATAAATAATATTATAAGGATCTTAAGTAATGCTATATCTTATTTATATTTATATTAAATTAACTCTTTATAATTATTAACTTTATTAAGGCCTTAAAATTTTTAAAATAATATAAGCTAAATATTAAAAGTAATATAAAATATATTAATTTATATATTAATTAATATAATAATGCTAATAATAAACTAATTAATTAATATAATATTAATTTTATAGCGGCTTAAGTTATTAATAAATTAAATAAGCTAAGTTAATATTAATTAATGTAAAATAAGGGCATAGCTTTGCATTAATTAATATTAATTTAGCTTATAAGCTTTTTATTTATATGTAAATTAATAAAGATTTTATAAATATTATTATTATATATTAAATAATAAATAGCTTATTAAAAGATATCTTTTTTATTAATAAAGTAAGTATAAGTAAAATATTAATTATGCTTTTAAAGCAATATTTCTACCTTTTAAAGTATAAGGCTAAGTTTAAGGCGGCTAGCTTATTTATATTTAATAACGTTATTAAAAAAAGCTTTAATAAAACATAGCTTACTATAATATAGGCACTTATTAATATTATTAAGCAGCATTTTAATAAAATTTATAAGTATTTTTTAGCTAATATTTTTAATATAAAAATGTTTTATAAATTAAAGAGCAATATTAACTATAAGCTTGCTTTATAAGTAATTATAATAATAATTAAAGAGCTTTTTATTTAAATAAAAGTAGCCATAAAGCATAATAATTCATTTTAAGTATGTATTTTCCTATAAGTTAATATTAATTAATGCCAACTTATAGCTTATTTTTGCACCAATTAATGCTAACTTATATATATATAATTAATTAATTATATAAAATATAATAAAGATTTAAATATTTTTATATTTTATAATTATTTTTTGCTTAATAAAAAAGATTTATGCTATTGCATTTATTATAAATATAAGTAATTAATTATATTAATAAGGTTTATAAAAGTATAATATATATAATAATATGCTTATAATAAATAAAAAGTAAATTAATATTCTCTGCTTAATAATTATTAATACTTACTTTAAGGCTTAAGTTACAAAAAAGGCTATAATAAAAAAGTATTTAGCTTTAAAAAATATAAAAAATCTTAATAATATTACTTATAATAATAAGGAGAATAATTTAAATTATATTTTTAATATTATAACTAAGGTTAAAGCTATAAGCCGCAAGGGGTTTAATATTAATATTAATATTAATATTAATAATAGGCTTAATAAGCTTAATAAAGGTAATAAAAATAGCAAATTAATTAAATTTATTCTTAAAAGCATTTAAGCAAAGCTATTGGTTAATTATATTATAAATAGCTAATTAATGCAATATTTAAATAAAAGAATAAATATAATAAAGAATATAATAATTTAATATATTAAATGCTATAAGATAGCTTTCTATCCTTATTAATTTCATTAAAGCTATATAATTTATAATAAAGTTTATCTCCTTTATAAGGCTAATATATTATAATTTTGCAAGCTTTAATTAAATATTAAGCTATTATATTAAGGCCCTAAGC